TTTACTTCCAAATGTGCTTCGCGCCACAACGCCGTGCACTTTTTCAACATCTCAACTTCCAAAAGTGGTCCGGCGCTGAGGTGTTTTGTATCTGTTCACTTCGAAATCGGCTTGGCGCCACGACGGCGTGCAACTTTTCATCTCTCATCTCCCCAGATGTCTCCGCACCCGCCGCTTTAGCGAGCCTACTTTTTGACCCGCCGGGGCCCCAAATCATTGGAACTAGACGACGGTTGGCCCGAGAGCGAAAAAGATGTTTTTCAAGCAGCTCTGAGGATGATAGTCGTAAAAGATAGTCGGTGAATAGTTGGTGAATTTTATATGAGCTATGGAAAGATATGGTGTGAAAAAGTAAGATTGATCAAGAAGAGAATATTTGGTAAAGGGCATCAGATGACATGTGTCTTGCAACCACAGAGAGAAAGAGGGGGCAGAGATAAAGAGAGAGAGAGAGAAAGAGAGAGAGAGAGAGAAAGAGAAAGCAAGAGAGAGAGAGAGAGAATGAAAGGGGGAGGTAGAAAGAAAACATGGAGAAATGTAATGTGAGCAACAAAAGTGCGCAGGAGGCTCGGTACCATGAGTCTGCGAATGACATGTGCTATCTCATTTTATTATGGTAATTCCCACACACATTGCGGAAAAAGGCTCGGCACCATCATTCCGTGAACGCGAAGAAACGCGAAGCTTTTATACAGAGACGCTTTTACACACAGAATCTTTTACACACAAACACTTTTACACACAGACGCTTTCACACAGAGACGTTTTTCATGCACACACACACAGACGCATTTCCACATAGAGACTTTTACACGAAAACACTTTAACACACAGACGCTTTTATACACAGACACTTTTACACACATACGCTTTTACATGCAGATGCCTTTTTACAGACGCACACACACTTTCACACACAAACGCTTTTACACACAGACGCTTTTGCACACAGACACAGACGCTTTTCCACACAGACCCTTTTACACACAGACGCTTTTACACACAAACACTTTTACACACAGACGCTTTTACACACGGACGCTTTTACACGCAAACACTTTTACATACAGACGCTTTTACACACAGACGCTTTTACACACAAAAGCTTTTACACAAAAGCTTTTACACACAAAGGCTTTTACACACAGACGGTTTTACACACAGACGCTTTTACACGCAGACGCTTTTACACGCAGATGCGTTTTACACACGCACACACGCTTTCACACACAAACGCTTTTACACACAGACGCCTTTAAACACAGACGCTTTTACACACAGACGCTTTTACACGCAGATGCTTTTTACACACGCAGACACGCTTTCACACACAAACGCTTTTACACACAGACGCCTTTAAACACAGACACTTTTACACAAACGAAAGCGTCCATCGCAATTTTTCCTCAGTTTCTGACGTCCAACGTCCATTTCGTGCGAAAAGGTTACGATTGACCAAGTAAAATCGCAATTTTTCCTCAATTTTTGACGTCCAATGCCCATTTCGCACGTAAGGGTTGCGATTAACTAAGTAAAATCGCAATTTTTCCTCAGTTTTTGACGTACAACGTGCATTTCGTGCGTAAGGGTTGCGATTGACTAAGTAAAGTCGCAATTTTTCCTCAGTTTTTGACGTCCAACGTCCATTTCGTGCGAAAAGGTTGCGCGGGGCGCATCAAAGTCGCAATTCTTCCTCAGTTTTTGACGTCCAACGTCCATTTCGTGCGAAAGGGTTGCGATGGACACTTCAAAGTCGCAATTTTTCCTCAGTTTTTGACGTCCAACGTCCATTTCGTGCGAAAGGGTTGCGCGGGGCGCATCCAAGTCGCAATTTTTCCTCAGTTTTTGACATCCAACGTCCATTTCGTGCGAAACGGTTGCGATGGACACCTCAAAGTCGCAATTTTTCCTCAGTTTTTGACGTCCAACGTCCATTTCGTGCGAAAGGGTTGCGTTTCGTGGCGCTCCAGCGGCACCGCCCCCGCCTAAGAGAGAATAGAAGAAGAGCGAGAGGAGATCTGCAGATGTGAGGGTGTGAAGATGTAGATCTGCAGATGTGAGGGTGTGAAGATCTAGATCTGCAGATGTGAGGGTGTGAAGATCCAGATCTGCAGATGTGAGGGTGTGAAGATCTAGATCTGCAGATGTGAAGGTGTGAAGATGTAGATCTGCAGATGTGAGGGTGTGAAGATGTAGATCTGCAGATGTGAGGGTGTGAAGATCTAGATCTGCAGATGTGAGGGGGTGAAGATCTAGATCTGCAGGTGTGAGGGTGTGAAGATCTAGATCTGCAGGTGTGAGGGTGTGAAGATGTAGATCTCCAGATGTGAGGGTGTGAAGATGTAGATCAGCACATGTGAGGGTGTGAAGATGTAGATCTGCAGATGTGAGGGTGTGAAGATGTGAAGGTGTGAAGATCTAGATCTGCAGGTGTGAGGGTGTGAAGAAGATCTGCAGATGTGAAGGTGTGAAGCTGTAGATCAGCAGATGTGTAGGTGTGACGATGTAGTATAACGGCTGCTTTTTTCCGAAGAACCCTTCGCAGGCGCTCTCGGGAAAAACGCAGTGTTTCGCGACTTTCCTACCTTTTCGCGCATCTGCATCTGCTTTCTTCTGACTCTTTCTCTTCTCTGATCTTCTCTCTTCTACTCTCTCTCTCTCTTCTCTCTGCCTCTTCCCTGCTCTGCTTTTCATCTGTCCATACTGTCGGAAGTTTGACTTCTAAACTTCCTTCGATTATTGTTATTGTTGTCATTGCTATCCATGCGTTGTTTTTGTTGCCAAAACATCAATTTCCTATCTCCCCTTGGCAACCTCGTTGATTAGATCGGCTGTCCCTATTGCTTCTAGATGCTTTTGGATGTTTGTTAACTAAATGCCCATGATGACATGTTGTACATGTTGGTTGGTCTCTGCCCAATACGTGTCCAAAATGTTAAGCTTCTAAACAGATCATCATTCAAGGTGATTGCTTGCCGTCCCATGGCACAATCCCAAACTGTTCCATAAGTTCAGGCCTTTGGTTGCTACAAGTCCTTCAAGTACATGGTTTGCTTGGTTGAATCATGTTGAATCCCCGAATCCCTGTGGGTTCGGAACCAAGCCGTCACTGAACCTTCCCAGAATTGGAACCCCCACGTGGGATGTTCCCCCAACGCCTTGCACAGTGGGCAGCGCACTACATTCTACATCGGGACTTGTAATCAGATGTGGGAAAGGACATCTCGCCATGTGTACATACCCTCCGGTAATCAAACGTGGCAATTGAGACTCCCCTGATCTCCCCTGTAAATGGAGGTTACAGCTGGGAAAATCATCTATACAATCTATAAATGAGGTGTTTTGCATTGCCAGGTTTGATTACCGGAGGGTAATTCTGCTTTATGGAATGTGGATTTGCTGTCCTTAGTGTCTTGGAACTCTTTAACAAAAACATGGGAGCATCATTAAGAAAGCGGCCGATTTCTCTGCGGCTGGTGATCGGAAGCGTCAAATTCCAGCGCAAACATCGGGGTACGAGGCAACATGTTTGAAACCGATTCTATGGGGGCGATGCTGAATGAACCTAGCTAGGTCAGCTAGGTATTCCTTATTTTGAGCATAAAACCATTTCAAACCCCTTGATGACGTGGTGCAACGATTGGTTCATTATAGTTGTGGGTAAAAGAAATCGGCACCCTCTGGGAACCAAACGTGGCAAGGTATTTTTTGGGGGATTTTATTTGGTGGGGATTGTCATCGCAAGGTTAGACTATTTCATTATAAACCCCTTAAAAAAAAATAAATATATAATCAATATAGGTGGTGGCAAGTTCAGCCAAGCACCAGTTTTGCTAGTTGTTTGTTTTGAAACATACCTGTATTCCTAGGAAGTCTATGATCTACCCTGGATTTCCCTGGATCATTGCCAAATTTGGGCACCTGAACATGGCGGCCTTGGATCTCTTGGGCAAAAAAGTATACCATAGATTACCAGAGTATGTCCTTATGCCAGAAAGTATCCATGGAAAGTTCATAGGTTTGCAAAGAACCCAGAGCAGCCCGCTGAGCCTCCTCCAACTCTTCTGCCTTGAGCAAGGTCTAAGCTGGGGAATTTCATCCCTTGCCCCGTTCATATCAAACATCCCTATAGAAACCACGGGGATTTCCATATTATATGCATATAATTTTTGGGACTTATTTGGGACCATAAAATGAGGGTGTTGATTATTAGGGGGATGGGATTCGTCAAATGGATGAAGGATGAACGCAATGACACGACTCAGCTCTAAACAATGATTTGCAGTACAGTACGATAGATCATGGGACGGTGTACTGATGTGTACTGGCTTCTTACATCACCGTACAGCCGAGTAAGGTGTAAACAACTTTACCTCCACCTTCTGAGACCAGCGTGTTCACACAGAGCAAAGCACCTCTCTTAACTTTCCTTGAGCCTGAAAAATCCATCAGTGCAATATGAGTACTTTGGGCCATAATTACATACTAGCAGTCTTTCCAGTAGTCTTAAAACCATACCCCTTAAAGATAAATTGAACCAGTTTAAATCAACGAAAAAATGACCTGAAGGGGTGTTCACCGACCCATGTGTTCAAATTGTTTTGTTTCGACGGCTTTTGACTCCCTGGTGTATGCCAAAGATTAAGTTGGGCTCCATTGGTAGGGTTCTTTGACAATATATATATATATGTTATAATAATAATATAATATATATAGTATGTTATTGCAACATATCGAAACATGTTTCAACCCCTGCTCTATTGAAACGTCATGCCATCCTCATTTTGGTGCTTTCCATGTTGAATCACGTTGCTTGGAAGATTGGCAGATCCATTCTGTCGCATCAGTTGAAAACCACAACCCTGGGGTTTTCAACTTGCTGCTCCCACCTTCAAATCGAGGCCTGCAGTGCAGGAAAACTATCGGCAGTGAAGAGCTGCAAGGAATTTGATTCCATTTCAGGGAGACAGGCCTTCCAGTCATGGCACTGAAAATTAGCATCAGCTTGGCAGCGGACAAACCTTGAGTTTGGATTCATTGTTGGTCTGGCCTGCCGGTGCTTTGCCGGCTTTGTCGTCCATCGATCGTGGCATCATGGCACCTCAAACAAAAGCCATGCACCTTTCTGAGTGTCCACATTCTTTGGAAAGCCAGAACATCAGGGCATGCCAGAACCCCTCATCGATATTTTGGAAATCATTTTTGTGTGATACTTCCATCGTGCTTTATGATCCCACAATGGATTTTCACACTCTCTAGGCTGCAAGCAACTGTGAAACATTGGCAACATCATCTGAATCATCTGCATGACTTCATGGACCTAGTCGCTTTGTGAGAATTCCTCATTCTTCTTGTGATCATACGAGAAACATGTGTGGATCTGGCAATAATATAAATACATAAGTTTACATAAGTAAGCTAACAAATACACACATGTTGCAAATCTATTGTATTGACATGTGTAAATCTCCCGTTTTAGTGACAATCCTCTTTTTCATGGGTCAATAGTATCGTCAGTTCATCTCGTGAAGAAAGGGGCGACAAAGGGCCGACAAACCCACCCAAATATCGAGTCTGCGGCTCTTAGATGTGAGCAGTGTTGGGCCGACCTGTGGACATGACCGATTTCGAAGCCTTTGATCACCATGTCTTCAGACTGTCTTCATGTTTTTTGATTTGTGGGCTCGGTATTACTGTATGCTTATTAGTAGCCAATATGTAGAAACATCAATGGTTGGTTTTTGGGTGTTTGTGAAAAACATCATGAAAAACCAGCATTGTTGGTGGGATATCCTAATCCATATTGGTGGTTTTAAGTTCTTCAAAGCATAGTTCATAAACCACTCACTTTAATATCCCAGAAAAAATGGCAAAACAGGGAAACTAGGACAGGACAGGTTGGAGGTTAGGTGGGAGGCTGTTGTGTTTTTGTTCAATCTTGTAATCTGACATGTTTGACTGTTGCTTTTTGATTATCTTGCTAAATGTCCTTTTCCCATTTCCCTTATTGTTTGCTCCAGACCGTTGCCACTGTGTCCCTTCTGACAAACAGGGGGGTGAATAAATGGGAAGGGGGGATATACTATATCTAATCTAATCTAACCTATATATTGGGGTATGTGTGTGTGTGTGCATTTATTTCGTTGGCATTTATGCCATTGGTTGGATATATTTATTCCACATAAGATTTGACAGGGAAGTTTGCCATAAAATGTTTAAACACTGCCACAGGGAAACGACCCTCAATGTAGATGATGAATATGTTGTCATCTCAACCTCGGCACGGTGCGGATGAATACACTTGAAACAGTTGTAGGCTTGTAGGGGTGAAATCATGTGTTGGGTAAAGTCTGGAAACTCTGCATTAAAGTTTGTCATCCATCTCAACTTCACCAATGAAATTCCACTCTTCTGGAAAAACCGTGCAAATTAGCAAATGGTTCATGCAAAGATTATGCAAAGCATCTGCGAACATCTACGAACAACACCTTTTTTGCACATGTTCACATGTCGTCTGCTCAGTTTGGCAGGTGTTCTCTGACATGAAGCCACAACTGTACAACTGTCTCCCTGGCATACCTTCTGGCTTTCTATCTGGCATATCTTCTGGCAATCTATCTGACATTTTATCTGGCATTCTCTCTGGCATACATTCTGGCATTCTATCTGGCATATCTTCTAGCATTCTATCTGGCATAGCTTCTGGCATTCTATCTGGCACACCTTCTGGCATTCTATCTGGCATATCTCATGGCATTTTATCTGGCATATCTTCTGACATTCTATCTGACATTCCATCTGGCATATCTTCTGGCATTCTATCTGGCCGTTCTTTCTGACATTCTTGTCTGACATTCTTTCTAACTTTCTTCTGCACATTCTTTGTCCCATATCTTCCTACCTGAGGTCCGGCAGGGAACACTTGGCATGGATACTCGCGGTTGAGGTCCGGCAGGGAACACTGGGCGTGGATGGTCGTGGTTGAGGTCCGGCAGGGAACACTGGGCGTGGATGGTCGTGGTTGAGGTCCGGCAGGGAACACTGGGCGTGGATGGTCGTGGTTGAGGTCCGGCAGGGAACACTGGGCGTGGATGGTCGTGGTTGAGGTCCGACAGCGAACACTGTGGATCGCGAGTCGCAGTTGAGCAGGAGGACGAGGAGGACAACGAGAGGAGGAGGACAACGAGAGGAGGAGGACAACGAGAGGAGGAGGACAACGCGAGGAGGAGGAGAGGAGGAGGAGGAGGCAGGAGGAGGAGGCAGGAGGAGGCAGGAGGAGGAGGCAGGAGGAGGAGGACCAGGCAACTTAGATAAAATCTAACAACCCTGACCTGGCAGGTGGGGAATTACTTTACTTCGTGTGATCCCCACCATGACATTTATCGATTTGTTACTGGCAAATCTTCTGGCATTCTATCTGACATATCTTCTGGCATTCGATCTGGCATTCTATCTGGCATACCTTCTGGCATTCTACCTAGCATATCTTCTGGCATATGTTCTGGCATATCTTCTGACATTTTATCTGGCACATCTTCTGGCATATGTTCTGGCATATCTTCTGGCATTCTTTCTGGCATTCTATCTGGCATTCTATCTGGCATATCTTCTGGCATTCTATCTGACATTTTATCTGGCATTCTCCCTGGCATACCTTCTGGCTTTCTATCTGGCATATCTTCTGGCAATCTATCTGACATTTTATCTGGCATTCTCTCTGGCATACCTTCTGGCATTCTATCTGGCATATCTTCTAGCATTCTATCTGGCATAGCTTCTGGCATTCTATCTGGCACACCTTCTGGCATTCTATCTGGCATATCTCATGGCATTTTATCTGGCATATCTTCTGACATTCTATCTGACATTCCATCTGGCATATCTTCTGGCATTCTATCTGGCCGTTCTTTCTGACATTCTTGTCTGACATTCTTTCTAACTTTCTTCTGCACATTCTTTGTCCCATATCTTCCTACATGAGGTCCGGCAGGGAACACTTGGCATGGATACTCGCGGTTGAGGTCCGGCAGGGAACACTGGGCGTGGATGGTCGTGGTTGAGGTCCGGCAGGGAACACTGGGCGTGGATGGTCGTGGTTGAGGTCCGGCAGGGAACACTGGGCGTGGATGGTCGTGGTTGAGGTCCGGCAGGGAACACTGGGCGTGGATGGTCGTGGTTGAGGTCCGGCAGGGAACACTGTGGATCGCGAGTCGCAGTTGAGCAGGAGGACGAGGAGGACAACGAGAGGAGGAGGACAACGAGAGGAGGAGGACAACGAGAGGAGGAGGACAACGCGAGGAGGAGGAGAGGAGGAGGAGGAGGCAGGAGGAGGAGGCAGGAGGAGGCAGGAGGAGGAGGCAGGAGGAGGAGGACCAGGCAACTTAGATAAAATCTAACAACCCTCACCTGGCAGGTGGGGAAAAACAGTCTAAACAATTCTCCCCCTCATCTTAAACCAAACAATGAAGTGAAAGTTCGGGGCAAAATAGTCCCAAAACCCCCACCAGAAAAAACATCAAAGGTAAGGAAGAAACATTTGAACAGCAAAAAAAAACACCCTCAACAAAACCTACCCTCATTCAATCCAAACATTATTACAACAACCTCAACAAAACATTTAGCAAAATAATCAAAAAGAAACAGTCAAACATTTCAGATTACAAGATTGAACAAAAACATAACAGCCTCCCACCTAACCTCCAACCTGTCCTGTCCTAGTTTCCCTGTTTTACCATTTTTTCCCAGTGTTTATTGGTCTTGCTGGGCTCGCCAGTGGATTATGTCGACATTTGTCAGTGGCCATATGACCAACAACGACTATCTACAGTACCAATCTGAATAATTTGTAGGTCCTAACCTCAATTTGGCCATAGGCCCCACTTGGTCCTGAATCATTGCAGAAATCCTAGCTGCTGAACACCCTTCCTTCAAACGTAGATAGGAAATGATAGGAAGTCATGTCGAGGGGGTACAGCTCCAGGCGATCTAGTTGGGCGGCTCATGGCTATCAAAGCACGGCTTTTAAATGCTCTTAAGGTTTCCTTGCCTTGGAAAGTGTCCCTAGCAATATTGCTTCAAAGTTCAACCCCGAATTTCTTTAAAAAACATTTCAGGCCTAAGATGAGATGATCATCCGATGGACTTGCAATCCAACCAAACAAGGGTGATTTCCCCACTTTTAGGGCCCGGCTGGCTTGTTCTTCAAATACCACAAGAGCCTGAGCAACACGGCAAGGTGCCAGAAATCTGATGGGATATAATTTATATTAATATAATTTAATATATACATCGAATAAAAAAGAAATCAAGAAGTATAATTAGTTGGTATGAGTATGTATGAGTCAATATTTGATGCCCACAATTGGATGGTTTGGTGCCAAACATTTGCTCGAACGTATGACGAGACCACAACATGGCCCCGCTCACTATGGCCCTCACCAATGATCGTCCGCACCAATGCCAGATCCCTGGCCGATGTCACACGAGTCAAGATTCAAATGTTGTGGCATGTTGTGGTACAAACCTGCTGTTTTGACCACAACACTAGTGATACATGAAAACCCTGCGAAAAAATGTTAATTAGCTGACATCATTGGGGTCAAGAATGCCAACCACATGTTGCTGGTCTCTATTAGGATTTTTTCCATGTGCAAGTTCTGGTTGTCACAGCCACTGTACGCGCACTTCGGGCCCCAGTTTCTCCTCTATGTCGTCCCACACGCCCCACATCCTCTCCAAATGGTCCTCGGCCAGCAGCACCAAATTGGGCTGCCCAGCTTAGTTTCACCACAACCACACCGGTTTATATTGCTTCAGAAACTCTCCTGCCCTTGAATACCAACAAATACCAACGAATCCCAAAAACAGTTGATCGTTTGAAATTACGCCAAACAAACATAACCAAACGACCGGCGCAGCCAGAACCAGGTTACAGCCATGATGGGCGAATCAGCACCGCAGCACCGCAGTGCGTCAGTAAGTCACAAATCAGAGCTTGAGCTGCGCGAGTTTCGCCCCCAATGAGATAGTATGTCTATGATTCAGATTGATTCAGTATGTTATTCAAAACATGTTCAGTATGTTACCTCTAAACATGTTGATGGCCAATTTGTGTAGTGATGTGTAGTGCAAATTGTGCCTCTCTGCGTATTGGTTCCAATTGCCACTTGATTTGACAGTGGAAGTCGAAGAGTTTGCCGCGAATTGTCCCTGGCACTCTTTTTTTGCCTGACTTATGAAGGACTCCGGCGCCCAATGACATAGAAACTGTACGGTGTTGAACCGCCAGACCTGATCAGGAAATGCTTGACATGAGCGAGTTCGTTCTGTCCCAAACAGAAGGAATTGAAGCATATGTGCATCGTCAAATCAAACCATATCATCATAACCGTCATAACCCAAGCAATGGCCCGGTGTTCCCCCAGTCTCGAGCTGCAAACTTCTCGGGCATTGGAACTTGAATCTCCTGCCACAAGGCTGAACACATCAAAGCTCCGCAATCTCTATATCCCACGCTGCTTCAAACTCATTGATACAGCTAGTTCTCCTAAATGTCGCTTTCTCAGAACATGAATGACCATTATAGACCATTAATGAATATTAATGATCATTAATGAACATCGTAAAACATTATTTTAAATAATTTTTCACAACGCCCATGAAGTGTCAATAAGAGTCACATGAAACCTGCACCAAAAAATATGATCCGCTGGGCCTGAAAGCCCGCAGTCTTCAGGAATTCCACCTGCATCATGGTCTGTCGAGGCTCTGTGGCCTTGGTTTCACAGATGTTTTTTTGTGTCGACAGTCACTGAGAGTCGCTGAGGCATCAGCCAACAAGACCCTGCTGGTCCTTCTCAAAGCTTTCCAGGCACTCCTCTGAAGCGCAGCATAGCGCAGCTTTGTTATGTTTGCGCCGGGGATGACTCACGAGCCCTCTGAAAAAAAGGCCACATGCCGGATAGAAAAGTCGAACCCTCGTTTTAGATACTTGAACCTTGAACCTTTGACGAAATTTAACTTGTGTTTCCCCTTGAAAAAACTAGTTAAAACATGTTAAAACTAGCAATTGTCCATCATATCAATTGATATAGAGTTGATATAGAACTGTTCACATGTTGCCTTTGCATGCCTTTGTAGCTTCAAATCCAGGGTTGCGACAGGTCGTAATGGGGGTGCAACCAGCCTCAAAATATCCATGGATGAGATCGAGAGCTTCAGAATGTCGATGTGATCAAAGCCAAGTCGTTCCACTTCATGATCGATGCTGGTGGCCAAATGATCCACCACGCCGTTGTCGCCGTCCTTGGCCCAGCAATTGGCCAGCCATAGTAATTTTAATGGTATGCTTTGGGAAGACGGGGGGGTTCCAATGGATGTACATACCCTGACATACCCAGGTCCAAGGTAAGCTTAAGCTCTGGACTGTCTTTTGAAAGCCACATCTGCGATCGTTGGAAAGATGTACATTGTCTTCCTCATCCGGCCATAGAAGGGGTGGAATCAACGCTGAAGATCCAGAACTGCAAGACCCTCAATCTATCAACCCTGAGCAATCAAGGCCATTATTGATGGTTTCACTGTTTCACCCATCTGCATTAGCCATCACTTCTGCTCAGGTTGTTTCAGGTCCCCATACTTCTCATATGTTCTCATCTATAGTCTATAGATGCCTACTATAGACTATAGATGTCATTTCTGCCCACTAGCCATCACTTGAAACCTCGAGGCCCCCACAATGTTGTCCTCGTGGCTCATATCATCATGGTCCCTGCAGTGCCACCGGACCGATGATGGTGAACTGGTCACTCTGCGTTGAAGCATATGAACCTGCCATCAGAGTTTGAACCTGATGGTTTCGGGATGGTTTCAGATATTTTTATGATTTCTGAAAATTTCTGGAAGCTAGGATTAGGCATGCTCCCACCTTTTCTATGTTACCAAAATGCGCACACCTTCCACTGATCACTATTCAGAAGTGCAAACCACCAAGAATCCATACTGCAGAAGCGAAACCACTCCAATTATCCAGGGTGTTGTCCCCATGAAATACTCTCCGGATCTCTCCAGTATTGAAGCTCTAAATTTACCCAAAAATTGTACAGGAAGGTTCGGTTCGATTATCAGAAGGTGATCCTCATCAAACCGTATCCCAAATCGATCTGTGAAGCGACGCAGCGACATCCCCGCCCAATGGGCGCAAATGGGCCCAGCCTGTCCCTCAAAGCCATTGAGCTTGATGGACCGGCGCCCTGCTGTCGCAGCAAGATCATCGGCCTGGTGGTTTCAACCGGTTGATTTCAACCCCTTCAGAACGGAGGTGTGGGATCATCATCCCGGGGTTTTTCACATCAGTGTCTGAAACAATCCACCAAATATCACCAAATTTTATATAGATTCATATAGTCTTATCATATAGTCATATAGTCCCTCAATGTCCATCATAGTGTACAAAAATGTACAACAAATCGAAGGCATTGAAGTAGGGCCTCCAGGCAAGCAGCTGAAATGCGACCGCCCAGACGATGGCCGGCCCACACCAAGCAGTCTGGAAGCCAACATGCCACCTTGGCACCCCGGGGATTGTTAGGCATCTCAGTGGAACTACAGTATGGGAAAATACAGAAAACATCAGAAAACAATGGATCAAGAATGGATCAAGTGGGTCTGCAAAGTCAAGTTGTTCCAAGAATATGCACTCAAGCACAAACCAAACATCAAGCTTTAATATGTCCCTAGCATCCCGTTCTACACGTTCTTACCCATTTAATCCCATTTATATCCATTAATCCGTTTGTTATACACTATGGACATCTATGGACATCTATGGACTATGGAGTTAACTGCAAACTCGTGTTCCGCATTTGCTGCTGCGGCACCTCCACTGCCACCATTCGATCTCCTGGCAAACCTTGCAGAGTTTCCACGGTCAGCACGTGAAGAGCTGCAGCAAGGTACTCACCATGTGGAGGTCCGTTGAGAAATGGGACCAGAAGAATCTAAAGTAACAAAATGATACGACATGTCATGTCTGATGTAGTGTACTAGCATGATCTATCACGCAATATCCATATTAAACATTATTATATAAATCATTATTAATTATTAACGTCTTATTCTTATTCTGGTGTTTTAATTCCTGTGGGTTGCAGTGCAGAATATCGCAGATTAGTGCAATCAATCTGCTCTCGCGTATCCAGTACTCCACCTCTGCGAAAAAGTCAGTGGTGCAATGGAACCGCCCAATGTCTCGATCCTTGGTGAAAAGGGCAGCAGTTTCTCTAAGGTTAGCCAACCTTGTACTTATGCACAGCCATGTGCAGTCATGCAGTTGACAATTTTGGGAAAGTCCCCAAATCCCGTAGTGAATCATCGATTTCGCCCATTCAATGGCCACTTTATAGGTAGCCAATGGCCAATGGTAGCCACCACTTTCAGAGAAAGCTGACATCAGCACCCAACAAAATCAACGCGATCAAGTGTCATGATCACTGAGGGGTTCTCGGTACGGAAGCACCAGGCTCGGAACCACCTGTATGCAGCCACTGCGTGAGTAGGGATCTGGGGCTCTCATGTTTTTCTAATATATTCTTCTTTACTCTATATACTTTTCTCCACTCTGCTTTACCCATCTCTACTCTACTGACTCTACTCTACTCTGGTCTACTACTCTACTCTACTCGTCTTTACTCTACCCTTCTCTACTCTACTCTGCTCTTCTCTACTCTACCCTGTAATCACTGATAGCTACCTGTATAGTATAGTTGATTTCTGTATGTTGTTTGTTGGCCATGAACACACTGACACTGGACACTTGCAGCTTACAAAAGGGCCCTGATCAAAGTTCAACTAACCGACTGAAGAATAAATAAACATAATAGAAAAACACCTGATCATACCATTCTTTGCTAAGCTGCATCTGGCGAAGGCAAAAATCGAACTTGTTGAAGAGTTTGGACGTCCCGTCCCATGGCTTGCAGTTCAGCCAGATCGGAGACCTCCAAGTCTGCCAGCAATTGCACCACCGGCCAATCTCGAAGTCCCCTTACCATCTCTGCCTTATTCACATCTGTGACCCACTGCTCCAAGACTCCTGCTGCGCGGCTCACCAACAATGAGACCTCCCCCAAAATGCTGCTGGCTGATAAAATGTCGCCGGAGCGCAACCGAATCTCCTGCGCGGAAGTCAGCAACAAAACAGCCTGCAGCAGCGGATCGCTACCTGCACCGGACAATTCCAGGATGGCCGGACCCAACGGCAAGGGCCGACGTGAGCGGATGGAAGCCCACAGCTGTCGTTGCAGCAACGACCAATGCGGCAACTCTGTGAAGACGTCCCAAATCACAGGGGACAAAGCTCCCATGCCGCGGAAGGAACGTTTCCTTCGCCCGGCATGGCCAAGTAAACCAAATAAAGCCAAACGGGAAGACACAGTTTGTAGCATGGTTGTTTCGCCTGACGACAGGATTTCCTGGATAACATCTGCCAATTCCACTTCTCCTTCGGAATTTCGATCTGCAAATACAGATGCGTTCAGCAAACGTATTGTCCAGCTGGTTGCTGGACAGTCCTGAGGTGTGCATCTCGTGGCACTCCAACAAACCTGCCTCTGTGGAGCATTTAGATTTCCATAGTATCTTCATGTATCTTTGCTAGTAGGTATCATTTCGCCCCAAGAAACCTCAACAAACATGACACAGCAGAAGGATACAAAAAGAAGGGAGATGAAGCCCTTGACACAACCTGCCCGCAACATGCCAAGTTCGGCCAAGCTTCCGGCAGAACCGTCCAACTCGAAGCCTTCCGCAGGAGTTCCTTTCGCGCCTCCGGGAAGAATTTGGCCCTCCTGGTGGTGATTCGTCGCAGCTCATAGCCTTGGTGACTCCATGCGGAACATACAAGCGATGTAGGCAACTGGTCGCAACATGTAGCAACCACATGCAACCACAACATTGATGTCATATATTGTCATATCATATAGCTGCCATGTGATGGCTGGCAAAGGTTGAAACCCATTGAAACCTCATACTTGTTTGGTTGTTGCATGTTGTCAGCAATACGATCATATACGATCATATAAGATCTACTAAGATCAGTTTCCGGCCTGGTTCACCTTCAGCCCAAGCCAAACAGGCATCTGCTGCTGCTCCCGGCCAGCGGCCCTGGGCCAAGCTTTCATTGCTTTCCCCTGGCACCTGCAGCGTTTTTGTTGCTCCCTCCCTGAGCACAGTCCTTGATTCTAGGGGGGAATCGTTGGTTCATGTATTTAAGAATGATGCAGGGCACAGAGGATTTGGACCAACAAAAACGTTCCGGATCACCATGGGGGTTTGACTTGATCCGTTGTTATGGGGCACAAGCATGTGCACTGCGACTCGCTGCATTGACGCTGACACCTGAACAAAATAGCCATCGCTGAGAGGCACAGCAAAAGGAACGAGCCATAGGCCGACCATCTGCAGTGGAGCTACATGACGAAGAACCTCCGGTGCTCTCTGTTTCTGTGGCAGTGTTCCAACACACCATAGGTTTGTTGAATTGCAGGGATCAAGCCAAGATACATCAAACCTGAAACAACAAGCGGCTTAAATTTATTCAAACAAACGGAGATGATCGGAGATGTTTGTCTCATTTGTTCGACTCATCTAGAATCAAACACATCAATGTTGCTGACCAGACAGCACTACTGGTTCTTTGTGTGGAACCCCGAATTTCTGAGCCAATCTGGCAAATGGCAGTGTTGCAATCATTGCCTGACAAAACAGTATGGGCAAATCAATCTCAAGGACCCGGTCCTTGTCACCTTCAAATTAAACTTTAGAGATCTTTATAATCTATATAGTCATATTATATAGTCAAACAAACAAGGCCTGAATATGTTTGACTAAGTGTTACCTGGCTCAAGTGGATGGACACCCGTGAACAGTACATACCTAGTCAAGCATAGTCACGAGCTGGTGCGAGGGATGGGATTGGATCCAAGAAATTAGCACAAAACACTGGCTTCCTTTGATCACCAACGGTCACCACATGATTAAACCTACGACAGTGATGATCCAAGCCAAATCAAATAATGATGATCAGCTCCACTTTCTTGACTCGCACTGCGTCTTGCAGCTTTTGTCAGCATTCAACCATCACAGGGTTCCACAAATGAACTACAGTACAGTAACACGACATTGTATTGGAATCTCAGCTCTTGACAAACCAAAGTGATATGTTTTTGGAGTTTTTGTGCAACCCTGCGTCTCCATTGGCAGTCGTTGCAAAAAAAACATCCCACCATTTTTTCTGCTCCACCCGGCAACGACCGCCAAACTGCGATCTATAATCTACACGCGGCAATGGCTGTACGTGTACCACAATCTGACACCTACCATCTGGGGGTATACTTTGACCCCTATCATTCACACTTGGCTCTGCTTGTGCGGGATCTAGGTGATCCCTGCAGTTACTGCTAAGTCTAAACTCTGCAATTTTGCAACACTTGGAAGGGCAAAGACTTATAACGACTTCAATGAATCACTTGTGCTGCATGCTGAGTTGTACTTGTACTTGTATTTGTATTAATATAAATATCGACTATATTAATTGTAGATTATAAATCGAAGATAATCCAATCAAATTCAGACCGCGCGTGGCTTTTCAGCGGGGTTTAGTTAAGTCCACCTCATCCTTCCATCATCAACAGTGCGCCCAGTCTCGTCTGACGCCTACTGTTCCCAGCGGCTGCTCAAAAGGTTTGCTCTAAACCCTGGCAAATCCGGCGCTGCACCATTTCTGAAAATGGGGAATATTATATAGATGAATATATATATATATATGTGTATATATATGTATATATATATATATTGATCGCCCAGTTATATATGGCAGTTTACTGGGAAAAAATATTATCATTCATTGGGTTCTAGGCTTTAGGGGTACTCTACTTTCAGACAAACCCAAATGAGGTTCAGCTCTTGGATCAACGCGAATGAACTGAGGCTCCTTCGGGTGAGTGGGGCTGTTCATTTTGCTATTGGTCATTCTTTTCAAACACAATTACTTGAACACTGGAACCAAAAACTAACTGGTAGAATCTAGTAACTAAGTATAACTCAGTCATCTATTGCTGCACCAGTGCTGCACCTCCCATGAATTGTCTAAACATGCATCACCCAGTCTCCAGCTTGGCTCCAGTGTGCCTCAAACTTCTTGCCACACATCCGGCAGAACCGGGCATCTGGCATGATCTCCGCATTGCAGGAGGAGCAATAGTTCCGATGTCCGGGCGGCGGGGCTGCAGCAGGGCCCCCCTGGCGGTCGCGACTGACAGGTGACAGCTGAGTGGAATGAGCAGCTGAGCACAACCGGATATTTTTGACGATGATGATTTCTGGAAACTTCGGATGCTGGTCTTTGCAGCAATGTCTTTGAAAGCTGCTGCGAAAAACAGGCGCACGGCCTCGGGCTTCAGGCAAGCTTTGCTGCCATGATTCATTGACTTGCCAGGTCAAATCCTACCCTCTCAGTTCAAATGGGTTTGCATTTCTCCTCTTCCGTGCAGGATTCTACAGGGAAAGCACTTACCAGGTAATCGTTCTCTCAGCTTCCAAACTTGAAGGCACTTGCCATCCTGCAAACAAAACGGCTCGTGCTGCCGTGGAACTCTATCAGAAACATGCATGTGCATATTTACCAAACTCTGAGACTGCTTGGGGATCAGAACAGTTTACAATGGTGTGACATACTTCAAGAATCAATGAGATCATATATAATATAATATATATATACACAAATATACACAGTATTATACATACAGTATAGACATATATATATGGACCAATCTATTTCAGATGTTTCAACCCAGATGACCGTCCTGGACCACACGGAGCGTTGCGGCGCTGATCCCGGAGGCCTTAGGAAGATGTGGGCCTTGGCATCCTGGGGAATTCTGGGCTAAGTGCAGTTTTATTTCAGAAGCCATTTTATCATATTTTTATCTATCCATATCTATCCAGCAATGTAATGTTGGCTTTATCTGGCAATTCAAGCTGGCTATTGGGAGATAAACAGGGTTTCAAATGGGTGAACCAGCTGCAAATCAGGGAGTTTCCATTGCCAACGTGAAGAATTATTGAATATGATTTTGGGTAGGTGTTCTGGAATTCAGTCATTGCTGAATGCCGTGTTGAGACTTGAAGCTGGCATGGTTATCTCCGTTAGCTTCTTTTCCCGTGCAATGCAATTGACCAGTTGCAAGCCCACGTGCACCGAGCCTGGTGGAAGATCGGGAAAACAGCGCCTGCTGATCAGGGATGGTGAGGGGATGGTTCAGGGATGGATCGTGTATGGCCTGTATGGCTCATGGATTCATGGATGCCTAAATGTGAATGGATTGTTGAAGTAGTTCCCAGTCAACCATCGATTATAAGCATCCATCAACCAGCCATTAACCATCCATCAACCATCAATTACCAATCCATGACCAATTGATCATCAATGTGTAAATCAAAAAACATGTAAACATGCATTGAATCGCCATATAGTATCAACCTATACAGCCTATACATTAAACATCATGAAACATATCTTCAGAATTTAATGGATGCATAACATGGGGCCACCCCCGAACCTCCCGCAGCAGAGCGCTTTGACGGGCGCCACTGATGGCGATACCTGGCCGGGATACACTATTAAGCAACTCAAAAAAGACCAGGCAACATTCTACTGAAATATGGATAAATTGCATGCCTATATTTTATCCAGTGCAAAACGTAAGATTTATTCTTGGAGAAATGCGACTACAGCCTTTGCTTTATAATCTTTATATTTCTTCCATGAGTGAAGCAAACCTCGCTACAACCTTTCAAGTTTGTGCCGTAGCCAGCCTGTGTTCAGCGCTGGGGCAGACACCTGTCACTTCAACAGGAAACTGACCCAACATGGCCCAGCTTAACCAAGGGATTTTGGGGGTATTCTATTTTCAGGCAAATTCTTATCATCCCCTATCAATAACTTTCACTCCTCTCGATTGCCTTCCAACAAATCTCGTGTGCATTTGTCATCTCCTTGTTGCTTTGCCATTCTTGCTAAAAGGGCCCAGCCGTTCAAATCTCAGCTACATGGGGATCCAACATCTATATATCTATTATATAAATTATATATATATATCATATATATCATATATATCATATATATCACAAGTCACTTCAACGATATGAAACGCTTCAAAATATCCGGATGTGCTCTTCCCCCTGTCATGTTTACTAAGTTTAGTACCTCCATCCGCTGGGATGTCCTAGCCTTCGCTTGTCTGGCTTCAGCTTCTCGCTTTGCCCGTCTGGCCTGTACAATCTGATCAATCTGCACAGCTACCACAAGGATACCACGTCACAGTGGCACAGAACACAGAACTCATGGGAAATGTGAGTGCCAGATAGTGCCAGGTTCCAAGTACTGCCATTGGCACTTCGACATGAAATCAACAAGCCATTTCACTTCGAAGTGTCCCAAGATTGAGTTGCGTGTTGCAACAAAATTCCATGCGAAGTGGAAAAAAAGAAACATCAATTGAATCACTGGGTGGATTCCAACTCCAAACCTTCAAAATCATCCTCCAATCACAGCTGTCACTGGCTGTCACTAGTTTGACCACTTGCCATCTGCCTCCTCAACTGGATCGAAGAGGAGCATTTGGGCATTGACCGGACAGTTGAGATTGTAGTCTCTTACGCGCTTGTTGAGAGCAGCCATCTTTTGCCGAAATCGGTCCTGCCACTATATTGGTCACCAAGGTAGGGTTGGTCTGGTGGTGGGGTCTCTGAGTGAAGCTTCTATCATATTATTATACTATCATATATTATCCATGCTGACTCAGGGAGTGAAACTGACATCATCCTTCAATTTACATCAATTTACCACAGCTTTTCACCGCAGTCCCCGTCCTTTTGCGCTACCCAGGCGTGTGTTGGCTCAAATTGGCTGGCGGCCCAGGAGTCCGAGAGCTCCTTGACGTGCTGCTCCAGGTCACTGTGGATCCGCTTCTGTTGCTCGATCCACTCCTGGCGGTGCCTTGATTCAGATCTTGGATTTATAATGATCATTAATGATCTATTTAGGCCTATCATGGCCTATGTTTACATAGTGTATTACATAGTGTATACATAGTATGGAGATGTATGGAGTCTATAGATGTCTATAGGCTATAGGAAGAATCAAGGAATCTATGGAAACTATCAGACAATATCAGACATGTACTTCGCTTGAACAGTTTAATAGATTGTCCTGTTCCAAGCACAGCACAGTAGAATTCTATAGGAATCACATTCACGTCCAAAAGGGCGCAACCCTCAGAGCTCCGGGGCGAAACCATGCTTCTGGAGCAAGCCGTAGCCGACACGATCCGCTTGGTCCTGCCAGGATCCAAATTTCTAGGATGCTCATCCTAGAAACCTGCACACTTGGGATCCCAAATAGGCCCTGCTGCAAGTGATGGTTGGAGTTGGTCTCATGCTGATATCCGCTTTTTGGCCACACAAAAGAGAAACACCCAGAACGGTCCAAATAGGGATTGTCAGCATTGCCCAGCAAGCTGCTCTTCAAAGGCTTTCCTTTGCCTGATGAGCGAGTCTCACCACACCACTCAACTCAATATGTTTCTGTTTGGCTTAGAAATGTGCAAATACTGCATGTTTTGTCTCCCTGCTCTAGCCTTCGATGTTGTCAAACTCTCCATTGGCAATGGCAATCTGAATCTGTTCTTCCACATCTTGCTCAATTTCTTCCAAATCTCCTTGGAATCATGTCATTTCAAGACTGTTGAAGCGAAACAATTGGATTGGATGTGGGATAATGCGGCGGGACGTGCATTTTTCAACAAAATGCCGACACGACTGACTGAAGTATAAAGACAAAAACAGTTTGCACATCCTATAGTGGTTGCCAAGAATAATTTCTTGCACTTTAAAGTTAACGACGAAAAACAATAAAGATCAATAAAACATGAATTTCTCATCAATAACAAAAGGACGAGTCCGGATCTCATCTTTCGATCTAAACCAAACTCCAGGGACTGTCTTCCATGGATGTGGTACTTCCGGACCTCAGCAAAGACCCCCTTAAAGAATTGACTAGGGGAAGTCCATTCCCAAATTTTGTGTAGAAGAAATTTCATGCCTTACCGTATCTTGCTGTTCCTATTTGATCCTATTTGCTTCAAGGATTCTCAACATCTCTACTGGATTGATGCATCGAAAACAAAGTCTGAAGTCACTGGAAGCATCTGGAAGCCATGCGTCTTCTATGCAATCCTTCAGTTCACCCGAAATGAACCACTGACATCCGCTGACTACATTGAAATGATACACTGATACACCTATGACTGTGGCAAGGAGACAAGATTTGGATAGATTTGGGATGATTTGGGTTTAACATTCGAAACAACTTTTGGAATACTTATTTGGTAGGTCCATTGGAGCCGGCTTTGCCAATCCCTTCACCACGGGACCTCTAAGCTTCCCAACACCTGGGACTTTGGTCCCTGTTGATTGTTTCGATATTCTGCTGCTGCAACCACACTGCGCTGCAGCCGATTCCTGTCCCAAGAGGCCAGCAATCAACACACCAAACTCTGCGGCTCACGGTCTCTGACCAAAAATCTACTTGAAGTTTGATACTGTGTGTCAGCAAAGGATGTGTTGGGAGATGTTGGGTGACAGAAGTCCCTTCCGCCAACTCTTCCCTGTCCTCGTAGCACTTCGAGACCGTTCGAAGATGGTCTTTCCTTCCGCCCCATCGTTGGTCAAGAAGTGTCTCTCGTCGATGTTGGACCGTCTGACCTGCTCTGGATACCACACAGGACGATTCATGAGGCATCTGACAACTCTGTGTGTCAGTCAGTGCATGTCCTTTGAACACTTTGTGGGATGACGAGTGATACAGTATGGTAATGAATGCGAAACTTGTGACCAAACTTGACAGTGTCCATTGGAAGCGAAACTCTGAGCACCACAAGGCCAGCTGTTTCCACAGTCTCCCAACTATTATGCTGGCCTCTTTTGTTGGGTCCTGTGCAGAACCAACTTGCAGCTGGCACTCCAACGCATTCAGTTTCTCTAGAATCAAAATGGAGGTCCAAAAATTGCTTGATGCTACAGCTGTGAAGAACAAAGCAGTTTTAGGAATTTCACGGATTTGGATGGATTTGGCAAAGGGATACGATAGGATACGTATCGTAAGGTGCTTCTCGGCGCTCAAAGTCCTCCAGGTTGGCCGCCACCCAATTGGGACGCCGTCGCGGAATGGATCCGGCTTTGCCAGCAATGCTGCGCCCAGCCTGGCTCCGCAGTGGCAGCAGGGTGATAGCAAAGATATCTGGTGAAATACAAGGACATTATGAGGAGGTAAAAGGAAGATAAAGCAAATATGAAATGAGTTCCCTGCGTCGTGAACATCCAGTAACGGGTATATTAGCCACTACTTTTTCCAGAAGTACTGAAAATTCATGAAAATTTAATAAAGTTTCATAAAGTTTCTGTCAATCCTCCATCGGTGCATAAGTGTGGGGAAACACTTAATCATCATATAAGTGTCATAACCCATAACTCCTTGATGTATCATGATGTATCCAGTTTGTATCTGGGATTATCTGGGAGGACCACAGCATCCATCGCCGAGGGACGCCATGTTGCATCATCCGTAAGGCACCAACTCGCATTCCTGCAAGGTCCTCTTCATCCTGGCCCCATCGTGTCCCCAATGTTGACAGCCTATCCCCCAATGAGGATAATCAGGTAATGGTGACAATTTGATAACGTTATATAATCATATATATAATCTGTATAAATATATTATACATACAATGGGGTTCAAACAGAAACAGAAACGTCTTCCAATCGCTTCTGTGATGTAATCGTGGCTCCAAGTTTCTGTTCAACGGGGTGAAGCCGTGGCCAACAAACGGTCAAACGTTGTGGCAGAAGTGCCTTACTGAAGCCTTTTAAGACCAAGATTATTTCCTCCTGATCATGTCCATGTCGTAAATCCAAATGAGCCAAAAATGGACAATCTATGGATAATCTATGGAAAACCGGTACTATAATATCTAGAATATTCTATATAATATATAATAAAAAAATACTATATATATAATATTTTATAATCATCTAGAATCTATATTTTTTTTGTAATGATGTGCCTCTGGGCAAGCTGCCGCCGCCGAGGCGCTGCCTTCGTGGCGCCTCGTTTTCCGTGTGGTTTGCGCGTGGGGATTTGGAGAAGTTGCAGGAAACATGGCGAAAATACCTGCGAACATCATTGAGAACATATATATGAAAATATCATAACATATCATATCTATATGAGAAAATGATAGAAATATATAGAAATGGAGAAGTTCAAGAAATTTCAAGTCATCAAATTGTCCGATGAATCCAGTTGCTTCCGGGCATCCCAAGGCAACCTGGAACCGCCATGTCGCTGTTCAACACTGGGCTAGCGCACTGAGCACGGAAACCATCATCACCTGTGGAGCAGGGAAGGATCCCTGCAAGTTTTTCAATGTGGATAGGTTTGGAATGGTTTGGAAAACTGGAAATCCTCATTTGATATGGTTTTTTCCATGGTTTGGAATTGTTTACACGTGTTTTGTTTTCTGAATGGAAACGTATTTGATCTGGAATATGGTTGCTTCGCATCTTGGTTGCATGTGATTTCATCCTTGGCTCATGATGATATCATTCACCTGGATTACAACATGCCAATAGCAGTATATTTTTGTCAAGGTGGAATTCGAGGTTTGGTGATCCTCAAACATGCAGCTGTCCATGACACAATATGGCAAACTATTCATATGATATCAATGATATATGATATATGTCTCGGATTGTCTCGGCGTTTCTGTTCAAACTTGCAAACACCAACCTCAAAAAAACATAAAAAAACACCATTCCCAAAGTATCGCGATACATCTCCATGTGCAAATGCAGCAAATGCCCATTCTGCCACAAAAGTCATGACCACTCAAAGTTTTGCAAACGACACCTGCCCTGGATATCCCTGGATCACTGACCAAATACCCAGTGCAAGCCATCGCCTGATGAGAATGCTCTGGAACATGGCATGCCTGGCAAATTCTGCAGTGGACTCTTGACTTTCGACAAAGGCCCAATCTGCCTTGAAGGCAACAAAGGGCCAACAAAAACGATTATATCAAGTACAGTACAGAAGTTGACTTCAGCCTACCAATTGCGTATGTGATGCGGTGCAAATCCATTTGGATGGGACAAAAACATACAAAAACCACCAAAAACCATAGTATGGATCCATTTCGCATCCTCTCGTCAGCATGACCCCAACAGCTACCTCTGGAAAGGGGCAGCACTAGCTGCCGCAAGCAGCAAGCCCGTCTGCCTTAGGGCATGTCCCAAAACCTGGTTGAGACACTCCCTTTCCCCAGAGAAAATACGCCCATGACATGTCCAGGTGGGGATGCATCAAAATTTAATCCCTTTGGGACCACGGATTTTAGTATATGTTCATATACGTTCATTTTTTGATTTATTTTGTATTTAATATATTTAATTATTGAGGTACCCACTTTTGACCTACACCCCAGGTGTGTTCAGCAAAGTTCTGAGACCCCCTGACTTATGACACATCCAATCTGCTTCGCCATGGCCGTAGCCATCGGGCAAAGTTCAAGGCTGCTAAGCTGACTCTGTTTCAGGTGGAAGCCTTATCAATTGATGATCTAAGCATACAGAATCTGAGCTGATTCAGCCAACTAGCACACTGGAACACGATAGAACATGTGTGTACAGTATCAACCTGGTCATATCTGGTTGTGGCCAGCGGGTAGTGGTAACAGTCTGCAAAAGACATTAACAGAGTTTTGCCACCTGATTTGCACTGATCTCTACACCTTGATTTCGTTCCTGACGGATGAGCCGCCAGGTGCTGAAAGAGTGAGCCGAAATGGCAGCCGCCAAAGTTTTTTTAGGAACTAACCGATCAGTCAGTACTATGAGCTTGCAAGATTCTGCCACAGGGATGCTGACAATACCACACAATTTCAAATGACTTTTGCATCTGCCATTTCGAGCTTTCAGTTCTAGCACAGGAGCATAGGGACTGAACTGCGAACCCGGTGTGCCTGCCTCGTTTTGTGACCCAAAGGTTGCGATGCTGTACTCTGTAGGTCGCACATAACCCTGACATCAAAAGTCATCAAGGGCAAACAAAAAGAGTTGAGATCGCTTTGAGTTGCTAGGTTCAATTCGGTTTAATACAAAGCCTCGATACTGTAAAGGTCGAAAATCAATCATGAGTCATTACGCCTCATCTATCCTCATCTCAACAAATTGATGAGAAATTAAGAACAGTTCATCTTCTGTTCATCTTCTATCGTCTTCCCGGTCTTCCCCTTTCAACTTCGTGATTTACGCGGCCTTTGCTGGGCCGGTTGACAATGTCACCTTGGGGCCCTGTGAAAGGACTGAAGTGGCCTGCCACATACAACGCACATTGTCGCATCAATCCTTGACCAAAACTAGTGTTAGGTTGCAGCAAACATAGCAAACTAAATGGGCATGAATGGGTACCAACGGTACCAAGTTGCATGACTGACTGACCTGATAGCGGAAGAAATGCGATGGCATGCAGTCGCATCCTTGAGGTAAACAATTGTTCAATTTCGGCAATTGGTGACCCATGATGACCCTGAAATCCACCCAAAAATCTGGTGAGGATTGGTGAGGTGATTTTCGAATCTGTCAAATGATCCATTTTGGCGCTGTAGTACTGGCACCTCAGACTGCAAACCTTCAATGATCTCCAAATCTGCTCGACCTTGCAACACGGATGAATAAACAGCATCCTAGAAAATCAGGGGCAACCCCAGTAACCAGTATCCCCAGCATCTTGTTTTGTTTTCCTGCACAACAACGTGTCAAACTCTGTCGCTCTTTTAAACCTCAAAACCCCAAGTAGTGCTGGACGCCGAGAAAAGACATCATGCTACAGTCAGGGATATTCACTGTGTGTACATGATTGATTTCCGAATAGCATCCAAGGCTGTTACCAGGTCATGCAAAAACACTTGGATTTTCCCAACGACTATTCCCCCCGTCAAAAAAACAACTATTCAAAATTCGGCAATTTCACCCTGTGCCCATCTCTCTTGCACTTTAAAGGAGACCGGGCCAAAGGGAACAACTCAACATCAAAACACAAAGAAACGGCTTGAGGATGATTGAGGCGCAAACCATCCCGATTCAAATCAAAACCAACCTCATTGGGTCGGCACAGGAAACGGAGGAGCCTGTGGACCATAACCCCTGGCCTTTCTAAAATTTTACAATCCGCACAGAAGAGTAACTGTTTCCAGCGGAACCGCATCCAAGTCTGAACCATCATGACCGATGAAGGTTTGGAACTTAATGAAATGATTTCATATATTTTCACAATTGTTCATATCATTTGGATAAAATTTGGTTATTCTGGCAAGAAGAAATGCACGTCTCAACTCATCCGTTGCCTCGCCCCAAACTGAGCTGGACACTGTGCCAAGTGGTGCCTGCAGGGTCAACACAGTTCATGGTGAGGAAAAATTCATGGTGTGGCAGTGTATGGCATTGTGGCACAACCAAATGATTTGCCAACAGGATGCAAAACACCTATGAAATTATATTGCTGTAGGGTGTTCCTGCTTCCTTTTTTCGTGATCTCAATTTTAATTTATACACTTCAATGCGCTTGGTAGCAATTCCTTGATCAAACTCGAAAACTGACACGTTTTTTACTTGACACATTTGCGCCTGCGCTGAGTAGATCACCCGAGGCCTTGGGTAATTCGGGATGGTAGAGTCAACAGGATTGACTGATCTGAAAATAGTCGTTGGATATCCAAGGATATCCTGGGTGGGATCTGGCTACCACGATCATTGGGGAACTTTCTGGAAATCTTTGGCCAGAACAGAGGAAAACGCATAGAATCGGAACTTTGCAAGACCCTCCCTAAGATTAAGTGTTTACAAGATTACGGAGGTATGGTTTCGAATTCAAAGCCTTCAACCGATATATATTTCCGGCCAACGGTCAGTGCGAAACTAACCATTGCAACTTTGTTTTTTTTGTCGGTGAAGACTCCAATTTCATCCAATTTTTCTCTTGTCTTGGTGCGACATGTGCCTCGGGGCCAGCAGTGCCTAGAAAGTGCTTCTTCAGCCGTGCAAACCGTCATCGAGCAAGATGCGACGCCGCGCCACATCCAAAGGTAAATCAAAGTTTCGGTTTCAACAGCCGTGCGGTCACGGCGCCAGCTCCATCGCGATCAAACGCATGGACGCGGGCACACGCTCTTTGTTTGACCTGCCCATCGATCTGCGGTTACCCCCCACACCGCTTTCATCCAACCAAATCAAACCACAGCCTTTGAGTAAAAGGCAGAACACCACCACTTGAAAGAAAGCGGCTGAAAACTCCTTCGGTTTTCGGCGGCATCACTTGTCTACTGTGACAATACTTCGCTAAAGACCTTTGCCTGAATGTGCCTTCGCCTTGTTTGAACTTGATTTGAGATCCAACCTTCAAAACCTCCGGCAACGAGCCTTTGGGTCTGCAACCGCCACCACAGGACGGTGGTTGTTTGAGCTTGGCCTTGGATCTCAAGGCGGCCAGGTTGAAGCACCGCCATTCCTCATCCGCCCGCAGAGCTGCTGGTGCGCTCACATGGGCCCATTCTTCTTCCAGAGCTTTTCTCCAATCACCTTGGGGCATGTCCGGTGGTTTAGAACAATCATGCGTGGGCTTCAGCAACCTTCAACTTCCGTGGACACGTTCAACAGCCCACCGAGATGGATGATCTTATGATCGCTACATGCTCATGCCTGCAAGCCTGTGAGGTCTGTCAAGTTTGAGACTTGAGACTGCTTAGCATAATGCAACGATCGTATGCCCAACAGCTGGGAATCAACTCAGATTCAGGGCCATGAACTGCACAAACTCCAGCGCAGCCAATGAGGCGTTTGTGGAGTTAGGTTCCAATCGCAAATTCGTAACCAAGGCACCTCGCGGACGGTGGCATACAAAGCAGGATTGGGCAATGTCCTCCAGCCAAATTTCCGGCGATACCGTATCTGGACTGGGATGCCTCCAGCTGATGCTGATCATAATTCCCCTTCTTTGTGCAGGAGTTGCTGTTCCACAATGTTCCACAACATGGCCTCGCACATCTTGTCGACGGGCGACCAGGATTCCACCCACACTGTAAGAGCGACCCCGGGTGATCCCGTGCCATGTTTTTTGGCGGAGTGCATGCTGGCCATGCTCTGTAACCGCAAGCCTGAAGTCTCTCTCTCTCTCTCTCTCTCTATCTGAGCTATTTTTCATTCCTGCTCATCACACCATCGGTTTAGTTAGAACCTGGCACGCGACCATCCCAAGGCAGCGTATTCAAGTTTGCGGGGTTCCATGAGCGCAGGTGTGAAAGAACGAATTTATATCCATGATTGTACTGAGGCGCATCCATTGGCTATGTAGTCTCAGTCTCGGCTGGTGTTATGATCTAGCTTAGCTGCAGCCTTGGGCTCTGCACTCATAGCTTTATTTGGCCTTTTGGTCGAATTCGCTTCCATGTCTGAATCATCTGCACCGGTTGCCCCACCTGTTGGGAATGGAGTTTCAGCAGTTCTTTTGGGAGGCGGTTTGGGGGGATTGCTCAAGAAGAAAAATGATGCGCTTTTCCTGTTTCAGCTTCACCGCTCTGGGTTTGATCTGCCATTTGCGTGCTATTTTTGTGATTGCGCGTTCTATGTCTGGACTGCATCTCGACGTCCGGCCCGTCGTGTTTGGCACGTAGAAGCCATGAAGTGACATGCCTGTGTTGGAAGAGAGAGGCTCGGGTTTCTAAACGATTGTCTTGGGAGTCTATACACGTATACCTAGCTAATATCTGCTGCCCGCACTGAGGAAGACGTCCGCCTGACCCTGCAAGCATAAACATCCCAACTTTCACCTTCAATTGCATCTATCCAAGAGACACTTGGAAGCAAAGCGGCTGTTTCATAAACAGCTTCGGCAAACCGGCGCTGGCCATTCTCACTGTGCTTTGTGCCGCTAGCTTTGAATAAAGCAAAGACTGTGTCCTGGTCGTGGATAATGACAAAACATACCGCGAATGTCTCTCTGATATCTGATTTCAAGATGGAAACGGTCTCCTATTTTGCAACAATCGCCGAGGACATCCACTGCCCATGCCCGTGCTGCTTTACCTGGCACATCAACCGTGTTTCGCCATGTGTGCCAATTAACCTGTTGATAAGTACCTGGGGCTATGAGCCGGACGAGCTGGCTTCTATGTTTCTACTGTTCTCAGCTCCCTTTGCAAGTGACCAACTTGCCTGCTGCAAATCCACAACTTGCCGTGTTCGCAGGGTCGGACTGCCTTGTGCAAAGGACATCGCCCACCAACATGCCCTAAACTGGAGCCCTTGGCGCAATGTACCTGGAATTCTGACGACCTGTCTGTTTGGATCCTCTCCTGGCACCATCTGCGAAGGCATGGGAAGTGTGCACATTGCGCGCTTCTTTCCCCGCGCAAGATCAATCATTTCTTAATACTCACCTGCATTGGCTGCAATGCCTACAAGTGCCGCTTCCTGATTGTTGGGGTCTTCCATTGCCTGTGCGTACTGATCGGGACCGTGGACAATAACGATCTGATCAGTGAGTGCGCTTTGCCAATCTACTGCTCTAGGTTTCCAACTGATGATTTCCATCTGTTTTCATCTTGCGTGCTGCGTTTGCTACTATGGCTTTTGTTCTTGCCAGTGTCTTCGTGTATCACGCTGCTGGTGCTGCGGTTGTTCCCAGTGTTTTTGTTTCCTAGTGCATGGTTGCTGCGATTTCCACTGTTTCTGTCTTTGCTGCATGCGTTGTTTGCCCTGTCCTGTTTCTCTATGTCTTGGTTCGACATTGTGCCTCGAGGACAGCAATGCCAGGAAAAACACTCAGCCCCTCAGGTTGCCATCGAGCAAGATGCGGCTTCGCACCTCAGCCAGATGGGCAATCAACGCTTTGGCTTCATCAGCAGTACCGTTATGGCACCAACCTAGTCTACGTGCAAGGGGATCATTTGGAATGGGTGGCCCGCTACTAGAGAAGAAGGGGCAGAACCAACTCAAGTGATCCCAATCTGGAATGCGCCCATTGGCAATATGGACAAAAGATGACAAAAGCTAGTGACTTGATTATATTCCATTTGCTGGTAAACGGCGAGGCTGTTGGCGGCGCCAACCATGACAGCTCTCTCATGGCTGGTGACCGTCGAAAAGGTTTTTCTGGATTTTCCAACCTGCGCCTCACAATATTCAGCACCTGATTGCAGCAATTGGCGGGAATCCCGCCGGTTATGTTCTAGAAAGGACTTGAAAAGCCCGCGCCTCCACACTTCCCTCAGCATGTGCGCAAGGTGCTGTGAAGTCTGAGTACAATTGTTAGTAATGAAGCGAACAGTGCCAAACAAATCATGTTGCCACACGAAAAGGGTTTGTTTCAGCAAAACCTGCGTTCATGAGGATGCGTCTTATGCGTGAAAACCATGGACCTCCATCAAACGTGACACCTCGCCGATGCTAAAAGTTAACTGCCCGGAGGAAACTGCAAACTGCTGCTATATCGGCTGATACAAAGGGGGACAACCAGTGTCCTTGCAAGAGGGTCCACAAAGCCCTGGACCCCATTCGTTGCGCTTTCAAAACAGACTTAAGCTTAGTGATCCATTTCCGTTCGAAATTGCTGGTATGACCATGAAACCAAAGACCCCACGAAACAAGAGGGCTACATCTAGTTCGATACAAAAGCTCTTTGAATGCTTGCCCAACCCGAAGGAGTGTAAGCCGGGGAAGAATCTTCCATGCCGTATCCACTCGTTTCTGTGCAGTGGGAGGCAAAGCTTCACGCTGGGAGCAAAAATCAACGCCGAGAACCCGAGTGGATTCCACAAAAATCTGAGGATCAATGCCGGAAGCAATCATGGCAGCACGCTTCTGCACGGACTTGCAAACGATTTGCATTTTGTGTAAGTTTTCCCGGAGACCCAGCCTCTGGCTCCAGTGTTGCCATGTTTGCAGCGCAAGCACTGCCAGCTGAGGGCTGGAACACGCAATGGCTCTGTCATCAACATAAACACTCTGCGTCAAAACTTCAGGACCAAGCTGCAAAGTTTGCACAGCGCAAGTGGCTTCAAGCATGAGAACAACTAAGGCAATAGGTGCCATGGCGCACCCTTGTGGAATGGAAGTGCTGACCCTTTCAAGGGAATTAGCAGTATGCCTGCCAAACTGCATCCACCGATGTTGATCGGACCAAGTCCACTGCAAATGCCGTATCCATTCTGGATGCATGCCAGCGTGTGGTAGGAGTCCTACTGCAAGTTCTGGGATGACGTGATCGAAACATTTGGCTTGGTCCAAAGACATGAGAATGCCAGAATGCCACCTTGGTCGAATGCAGCTTGCAATGGCAAGATTGCCGTGGCTGCCTCACGGCCTGGTATTGCACCATGGGTGCAGTTGGGCACCAAATGCTGCAGCCATGCTTGTGTCTCTTGGCGTTTTGCAAAAGCGCTGGAAATGATTCGGCACACAACAGGCTGTATGGCTATGGGCCTCATATCTTCAACGCGCACTTGGCCGAAAGGGCCTTCGGCTTTTGGGAGCATGACTTGTCTGCTGTGTCTCCAAACTTCTGGAAATTGATTTGCAGCAATCCAACGCTCCCACAGAAGTAGCAAAATGCGCCAAGCGGCTATTGGCCAATGGCAAACTTCAGCAGCGGACCAGCCATCTGGCCCGCAACTTTCTGTAGTCTTTTTGCGGGCTGCTTGTAGCAATTCCTCTGCAGTAAGTTGCCAGGATCCAGGCATTGGAGCGCCTGGAAGACGGGAGAGCTGTTGAGACCTGAGGCGTTGCAATTCTTCAGGCAAGGCGTCTCTATTCCAAATGCGTTTCCAAAAAGTACTCATGGCTTCCAAAGCATCGTTGGGGCTGTTGGTGGCAGCCCGTTCTTCTCCGGGGCCTGTTGCTTCAGCTAGCAAGGCAGGAGGGAGGACAAAGACTTGTTGCTTCAGCCATTGTGTAACATATCTGTCGTTTTGCAAAATTCTGCGCCTCCATTTGCTTATTGTTTGGGCTCGGAGACGGCCCTTTTCTGTCGCCAGGAGCTTCTGTGCGGTGGCGAGCGCATTGTCCCACGACACATCGTGCGGAATTTGTTCTGGCCATGTGCGATTCAGAGCAACTAGGAGTTTCTGGTCAACTCGCGGTTGCTGTTTGATAGCTTCTGTCAGGCGGCCGACAAACTTAGCTAAAGACCTTTGTCTGAAGGTACCTTCGGCCTGTTTGAATTTGACATGCGATCCAACTTTCATGAGCTGCGGCTGCGAGCCTTTGGGCCTATAAATGGTACCACGGTTGAGTGGATGCTGGAACCTTGCCCGAGCTCGAAGTGCACAGCGCTCGGCGGCCCTGTTGAAAGACTGCCATTCCTCATCTGCTCCTCCCGCAAGTGCAAGCGGGGGAATAACAGCTTCCCATTCTTCTTCAAGAGCTTTCCTCCATTCAGCTTGTGAAACTCCAGGCGGCTTAGAGCAATCCTGCGTGGGCTGCAATAATCTTCCTACTTCAGTGGACACTTTGAGCTTGCCACGAAAGTACAAAATTTTGTGGTCACTAACCCGATCAGGGGCAAACGATGCCTGCAAGTCATTGATGTTGGATAAATTTGAAACGGCATAATCAATACATCGAGTCGAGTTCCAACGGCTGGGGGTCAGCTCAGAGCGATGGTCACGAACTGCACACAGGCCGGCACCGCCAGCAGCTAAAGGATTCTGGTCAGGCGTCAAATTCCAGTCAGCAATTCCTAGCCATGGCACTTCGCGAGCCGTGGCATGCAAACAGGATTGGGCGATGTCTTCCATCCAATTCCCGGCATTATCAGTGCTGGGCCTTCTCCAGCCAATGCTGACCACAAAGCTTTCCAAATCAACATGATTGCTTTCGCCATCCTCGTGGAGGAACTGTTCCACGGCATGGCCTTTCACCTCCTGTCTGATGGCAACTATGATTCCTCCTACACAGTACGAGTGCCCCCTTGCACTGATTTTGGGCAGTGTGCAAGCCAGCCAAGTTCTGTAGCCATCGGCCTCAAGTCTCTCCCTTAGCTTTTTGCCTTGCCAAGGACTTGCGCAAATTTCAGCCAATCCAATGACATGTGGTTTGGAAGGGATCATAGCCGCGAGAGCTTGGTAAGCTGCATCGTGGCCACCACAATTGCAAAAACCTATGAGCAACTTTTGTAACAAATGCCCATTGGGCCCTGGATTGGGCTCGACGTCTCCATCTTCAACAAGTGATCTGTACCATCGGCATTTGGTCAAAGGCGTGACGGCTTGCCACCCCTTGGTATGCTTTTCCCTGGCTTGCTTTTCCAAGGCTTGGACTTCCACCCTGTTGAGTCTCCAGGCATCAATGCAAGCGGTAACGGCCGTGGGCCACTTCTGCCTCAACTGTGCCCACCAGCGGGCTTTGCGAATGATCTTGGTGCACCTGGAGCTAAGTTCAGGGTGGCGCTTTGGCGACACCTTCACCGGACATGGCTGCTTACCTATGGCACTGGGGACATGGAAAAGTGAAGTGCAAAGGCGACAGGTAAGCTGGGAGAACCTTCTGCTTTTTGCACGTATTTGGCCAATTGTGGGACAGCGGAGTTCCACCAAGTCATGCCCTTGAGGGTTGTTCCTGGTATAGCTATCGATCAAAAGGCGACGCTGAGCTGAATATTTGACAAGGGCGAAACCAAGCTGGTTCAAGCTTTGGCCGGATTGCAGAATGCGCTTGCGATTCTGCTTCATGTTGGCTCTTTTCCCTCCACAAAGTTTGGTATGCTTCCTAGCAGCATTCCATGCTGTTTCACGTTTCACATGATTTGCAATGCCTTTGCCACAGTAACTACATGTCCACACTCTGAGAGCAAGCGGGACATTTGTGATTTCAACGTATGCATCTCTCAAATTACGGAACTTGTGTCTTGGCACGTTGGGATGCGATCTGGCTATGTGGTTAGCACGGTTGTTACCAAGCTGTTTGCTGCTGTCAGCTCCTACCACAACACCGCATCCCTCACACTTCCATTGAAACTTTGGTTCATCTGCTTTGTTTGATTTGGCTTTAAAAATGCTGCGCTGCACTGATTTGCATTTGGAGGATGCAAAGTTTGAGAGCCGCAAGGATCTGGATGGCTTGGACGAAAATTCTGACAGGCAGATGCTGGCAGGCTGTTTTGCTTTGGCAGTGGGACTGCGTGCAGAAATTTTAGAATTGGGCGTCCCAAAGTCGGAAAGACGAAGGCTTTTTGGGCTGGGCTGGCTTCTGCCCCCGCCTCCGGCTGCTCTGGCACCTTTGGCCCCGGCATGTTGTACTGACCAATGCCGGAGTTCAGCTTCGACCGGGCCATCCAAAAATTCATAATGGCCGATATGCTCTTGGTAGAATAAGCAAATGGCGTCATCGTGTCCTTCTTGAACAAAGTGCCACACTTCTCCCCAGTCATTGAGAATTAGAATGGTTCGGTACAAGGCTGCGGAGAGGGCAAAGCATTCAAGGTAGGTGGCCCAGCATCCTTGCTTTTGGATTTGCTCGAGATAATCCTCAAAAGTGCCGTGCCAGCTGTCATCCTCATTGCCATCTTTGGCCCCTCGGCCAGGCGCATGACCGTCCCAGAGGGACTCATACTCGTCTTTGCCCTGTCCTGTTTGTCTGCGTGTTTTTTCCTCTGCAACAAGCTCGGACAAACCATGACACAAATCAAAGGATGGTCTCTGCTGTGCTTGCGTGACTAAACTCTTGAGAGATTGCAAAAGGGAGGTTGTGTTGCATCCGTGTTGCCCGTGCCTGGCTTTTAAGCAAGGACCGCAATCCCTCCAGTAGGTCTGGTGTCTGACTGGATCCTCTTGCATTGGCCCCTCCGCAAAGGCGAGGGTGGCATGTGCGCATGACGCATTGGAATACTGATGCATGGCACTGGCTTCTAATGTCTGACTGTTGCTTTTCGGTTTGCATCTGTTCTTTCTGATACGTTTGCGTTTCCGAAGCCGAGGCGGCAGAGTCAGCCCAAGAGTATGCGTTTGGTTGTAGGCTCCTAACACTCTGAAGCCATGCTTGCGGATCAATCTTTGAAGCTTTCTGCTGTGCCACCTTTTGCAGCCACCAATGAACTGTGGAGAAGAGGTGACAGTCATCACAGTTCCCTTAAGAAGATGACGCCATCAGGGACCACTCCGTGACACAGTGAACGACCACGCAAATAGCGGAGATCAGCATTCATCCACCAAAAACACTGGGGGAAAAAAGCCTTTCATCTTGAAAAGGCAGAAGGTCTGGCGAAATCCGCAACCCCCCAATCAGCAACAGGAGGGAAAGGAAAGTGCAGGACCACCACAGGGCGGTTTTCGCAAAGTCGAGCGACACTCAAACAATCTCAAACATCTTCAAAGAAAAATGGATGGTCTGGCGAACTCTGCACCCTCCCACCACGTGGAGGTGTTCGCACAGTGCGGTGAAGACTCCAATTTCTGTTGGCTTTCACCACCATTTAACCACCATTTTCACTGGCTGACCCAAGCCATCCCAACTTGGCCAACCTTGGCAATGCCAGGGGTCCCGACTGGAAGGCGTCCATGCCATCTGCTTCAGTGCTAAGCGCAGGGCCTCAGTCTGGGTGCCAGAGCGACGTGCACTGAAGAACCAAGAAGGATACGTCCAAAGATGGGGTCACCTGCATCAAAACTCAACAAAAATAGTACGTGCACTTGCATGAAAAGGGAATGCTTGTTGGGGTTCAAAAATGTCCAATGTTTTTGAGAAAGAATTTAGTCATCTTTTCAGTGCCTCTCAACATGTTGGGAAATGCATTCCAAGCCCACGACCCAGGCCCTCGCGACTGGTATCCACTCCTACCTCAGCTGGCAGTTCATGGCAGAGTCGCAACCAAAATCTACATCCCGAAAATGAATGAAAATGAACAGGTTTTACAGCCCATTGGGATGTTCACATACCACAACACATCAAATCAATTTTTGGAATTCTCTGGGAACTAAATCTTCACAGCAATCCAAACTGGGTCCTCCTGCCAACGGTGTGTAGCTAGAAGCCTGGCTGGACCATGGACCAATAAGTAGGACTGGGAAGTTTTAGTCCTCTCTGATGGTTTCTTTCAGTTTGAAATCCTCAAAATCTCTGTCCATTGACGGTAATCAACAGTTGAAATAACCAACCATCACCGAACGGTCATGGTAAGGCTGAAATTGGTGTGCCCAAAGTCTCTTGACAAATCGCTGTCAGACAATGAGTTGTGCTTAGTCTTCGTCATGTCTTGCTTCATCCATTTTCTTTCTATGAAATTCTGTATCGTCTCTGCCGTCATGTTTCCTCAAAAGGCGATAAACAAATCATGTGGGGACCACCAAGAAACTTGAGGCCGGGGGTGGATGACGAAAGCTAGCGGGGTAGGAGAAAGAAGGAAGGGAAGAGGTGAGTTGCGGAGGGACTGTCATCATCGTGTCGCGGCATTGTTCGTCCCAACGAGGATGCAACAATGATATATTGATATATGATATATATATATATAACAATGATATATATGGGGGAGGGGGCAGGGGGGGGCCCTTTCGCGGGAAAAATAACGTGATGTCCTTGGGGAGCCCCGGAATACGTGCTAAAGCAAGACTCTAGCGAGCTGACGCTAGCTTTCGTGATAATGACAATGATTGCCAATAATGATAAAATGTAATTGAATAACGATGATGATGATGATGATGATGCTGATGATGATGAATGATGAATGATGAATGATGAATGATGAATGATGAATGATGAATGATGGATGATGGATGATGGATGATGGATGATGGATGATGATGATGATGATGATGATGATGATGAGGATGAGGATGATGACGATGATGATGACGATGACGAGGACGATGACGAGGACGACGATGATGATGATGATGATGATGATGATGATGACGAGGACGAGGACGATGGAGAGGACGATGACGATGATGATGACGATGACGATGATGATGACGATGATGATGACGATGATGACGATGATGATGACGACGATGATGATGATGATGATGATGGTGATGGTGATGGTGGTGATGGTGGTGATGGTGGTGATGGTGGTGGGGGAGGGGGGGGGCCCCCCTTTCGCGTGAAAAATCACGTGATGTCCTTGAGCAGCCCCCCCAATACTTGCTAAAGCAAGAAGACTCCAGCTAGCTGACGCTAGCTTTCGTGATTTCTTGAACCCATCCATATATGATTGATGGTCAACATCATGGCTAAAGTTGCAACCATATTGGATGTTCATCCATTTTTTGCAGAGAGTGTCACCACCATCCATGCCAGTCATCCCTCGCCTGTGCGGGGACATTTGTGGTCAGTGGTACTGTGGCTGCAGTCACAGGCGGTGGGGTGTAGGTCACCACTCGTGGTGGCCTTAGTACTTTGAATGGGATGGTGTAGCACGTCTCTATCTGGAATTGTTTGGCCATTGTGTTTCTACAAACAAATAGTACACCAAGCAGTCTTTGGCTTCACTGCCACCTCGCTTCACTCATGCCAAGCGGCAGTTGCGTCTGCGCCTTGCAACAGGGCTTGCAGACCATCTTTGCTGTTGTATGCTGTTGTACCATTTCAACATCAGCGATATGGCAGTGTGTCAAAACCTTGTACCCCTGTAGTTCACATCAAAATAGCTGGGATTTATGGATGTTCATCCCACTAAAAATTGTATTTTCATAGGTATTGATCCATACCCATATGAGTTTTCTTACTTCCCAGTTGCATGATTTCTTTCGGCCATAGTGATGACATCCTCTGAAATCTCAGAGTCTCAGCCTGCACCAATCGGGGAGACGAGATGCTCACCACCTGTCCAAGGTCCCCACCGCCTTATCATACCCCCAGAAACGATGGAAACACCGTGATTGGTCCATTGGTTGTCACATGTTGTCACCATGAATTTAACTGCGCACAACATAAATGAGCAAGAAATCCGGGATAATCCTGGAATATCCATAGCCATTCATCATCATTCATCAACAAACCAGACTCTACATCATAAAGTAGTAATTAATATTAATATTAATAATGTAATAAATATATATATATATATATTGATGGAAAATCCTTATAATCCTGGAAGATTCCTGGAAGAATGTATAGACATGTATAGAATAGCCAATATCCCATAGATCTCCTGGATGTCGTCCCAACACCTCAGCAGGTCGCAGGATCAGCTGCGGTTGCCGCGGTGACAGGAGCGGAACTCCTGGAGCCTCGGAGGAATCTTCAAGGGATGCCATTGAGGTTTTTTTTGGGACTTTGAACTTTTTAAACATTGAAAGATTGAGGTTTGAAAATTTTGGGACATGGGGATGTAAGATGATGTAAAAATAGGGATCTAGTGAGGATCTTGGTTTGTTTCTTCAGAAAATCCATCAATGCTCCCCAACCAATCATGGAAAATCTATGGGGCAATGAATCTGCTGGTAATAAATTGGCTAAATATTTGGTAACGGCAAAGGTTGGTTCATGGTTGCAGTCGTGGGGATTTCAAGTCTGAGGGACACACCTCGGTCGGACCTGCAACCAAAAAACCATCGATCAGGGCACAACAACTGAGGTTGCAGGGCCAGAATGGACGGAACAACTCAAGAAAAACATAGAAAAACAACTAACATGTAGTCACTTAGTCTAAAATAAACACTATCAGTCACTAATTATCACAAATCCATGGAATTGCAATAAACTCAAAGATTCCTCAATACTCTACAAATGCATACAAATGCCTTCAAATTGAAAACAACATTGAATTCTCAAGACTTCAGAATCTTCAAAGAACAGTTCATGACAGCGTATCAGATCATTCAGATCCCTCTTTGGAAACACACCGGACTGTCTCAATCATTGCACCTCCACCTTTCAGCTCTGCTCGAAGGCCATCAAGCTGTCCCCGAAGCTGGCAGGTGATACAAATTCCATCAGGAGAAGATGAGAAAACCAGCGAAATGGATCACAACGGCAAGTAGGAACGTCTTCCGTAACTGAATCCTGAGTTACAACTGGTTGATATTGATGGCATGTATATATACATATATACAATATATATATATATATATATATATATCAACCTGAACCGCAGGAGAATGTCTGTGCCCACTCAGTTGCCTTGTCCATCGCTGCCGTAGTTGGCTGCCTTGTGTCGAGAGCTATCCAGCAGTAGATCATTTACAGTATAATATTTATAATCCTAGATACAAAGGACTACAAAACGTCTGTAATGTAATTACCCTTAAATCATCCAAAGTTGAACTACTTTAGTATTGAACCCCCTGGGTGTAGCGTAAACCGCATTTTGGAAAATACCAAGAGGTGAATCCACCGACAGCGGACCAACTCCGGGTACCTGGGACTGCCATTCATCACCTGTGCCGTCAAGGGTGCAGGACGGCTGGGGGATGGGTATCCCATGGTATCCCTGGATGGGGTATGCATAGCCGCATGGAGCCGCACGGCATTTCCAAACTGCGATCATGTTGTCGCCTCGGAACCACCCAGTTTTCGCTGATCATAGCGGGCTTCAAGGGCCTCGCGATGCAGCAACAAGCTGTTTGGAAGGACGTTTGATGACAGGTAAATAAGTCGACTGTCCGCTTAGAGCAAGTTTCATCTTAGATCATCTTAAGACCTTCATGTTGCACTCTCCTCAGTTTTGGATGATAGATTTCCCATCATTTTCGGATCCATCATGATTTATCATACGATATATATATATATACATATCATGAAACATCATGGGACCTGGTCAATCATTATCATTGATGCAGCTCGGACCAACTGACCGCCTTGATCCGGTTCAAGGACTGGTTCATCACCGGCTCCTCCGGAGAGTCGTTCCTGGAGTGCAAAGTAGCACATGCTGTGATAACCAATGGACGTTTGAGAATCTTCTGAATATATATATATATATAATATGTGGATAATATATATGTATATATATATAGCCGATGTTTCATGATATATAGAAATATAATGAAATATATAGTATGTTATTAGCAAATCAACAAGTCGAACTGAATTTCTGCAATCAACGCTTCGTGATCGGGGCCTTACAACCGGTGCAGGGCTGCTGATGAAACGCGGAGGTGAACTCAAATGACCTGCCCCGAGCCGAGAATCCAACGGAGAATCCGTGGGTGTTGAGGTTTGATGATGTCTACCTAGGCTACTATAACATATACAATAATTGCAATACTAATCACACATATCATATCATATCATGCTATGATACTACGTAATCATACTATCATATACATTCATATACTATCATATTAATCACTATTAATCATCATTAATTGTACAAAATCATACTATGATACAAACCATACAACATCATAGAAGGAAATCCGCCCACACCGCTTTGGCGGTGAAGGCGTGCTTATTGGGGGGAAACAGCTACACTAAATGCTCAATCACATTTGTTAATATAGCAGTCGCTATATCAGCTTTAGCTGGGGGGGGGGCCAAAAACGGTTTCGCACCGAGACTAGAATTCGGTGGTGTTTTCGACATTTTTCGAGGATTTTTGGGTGTCTGAGCGCAAGAGGGTATTGAAATGGAATTTTGGGTCATTTTGGTAGCTTTCCGGCAATGGAAAAACGGCCAAAAATGAAAAAAACATTGTACATAGCAAGATTTTGCAGTGTTTTTGGATGCCAGAGCATTGAAAACACTGCAAAAACAAGTGTTTTGGACTGACGTTATAGCAAAAAACGTGTAAATTACCGTATGCTTGACTGGAAACATTACAAAAACACTGTCAAAAGCAATGTTTTGGAAGGATTTACTGCCTTTATGGCAAAAAACGTCTAAAATAACCATCTGTTTGACTGGAAACATTGGAAAAACACTGTCAAAAACATTGTTTTGGAAGGATTTCTTTTATATATATATATATATGTTGGAGTTGGCTACCGGCATTGGAACATGGAAAAATTGAAGAAAACACTGTAAATAGCGGTATTTTCAACGGTTGGGGAGACAAGGGAATTGGAAGCATTGTCGAACATGATGTCTTCGACCGGTTTTATGGCGACAAAAGTGTAAAGTAATTACCGTGCTTTGAAGGAAACCATTGCAAAAACATGGAAACACATTCAAAGAACACGGGATTTGGGGGACTATCTAGGCGTCGTTGTCTAGCTATTTGAAATTCCGCTGCTTGGAGAGCCTCCAAGGGAGGGAAAAGTGAAAATTCCATAGCTTGGGAAGCTGTCACGCTTGGGAAGCGGGGAAAAGTGAAAATTCCCTAGCTTGGGAAGCCCCCACGGAGGGGAAAAGTGAAAATTCCCTAGCTTGGGGAGCCCCCACGGGGGGGGGAAAGTGAAAATTCTTAGCTTGGGAAGCCCCCACGGGGGAAAAGTGAAAATTCCCTCGCTTGGGAAGCCCCCACGGGGGGGAAAAGTGAAAATTCCCTAGCTTGGGAAGCCTCCACGAGGGGGAAAAGTGAAAATTCTCGCCTGGGAAGCCTCTACCATTACAAGAACACTGTCAAAAGCAATGTTTTGGAAGGATTTACTGCCTTTGTGGCAAAAAACGTGTAAATTACTGGAAGGATTTCTTATATATATATATATATGTTGGAGTTGGCTACCGGCATTGGAACATGGAAAAATTGAAGAAAACACTGTAAATAGCGGTATTTTCAACGGTTGGGGAGATAAGGGAATTGGAAGCATTGTCGAACATGATGTTTTCGACCGGTTTTATGGCGACAAAAGTGTAAAGTACCGTGCTTTGAAGGAAACCATTGCAAAAACATGGAAACACATTCAAAGAACACGGGATTTGGGGGACTATCTAGGCGTCGTTGTCTAGCTATTTGAAATTCCGCAGCTTGGAGAGCCTCCAAGGGAGGGAAAAATGAAAATTCCCTAGCTTGGGAAGCTGTCACGGTGGGGAAAAATGAAAATTCCCTAGCTTGGGAAGCCCCCACTGGGGGGAAAGTGAAAATTCCCTAGCTTGGGGAGCCCCCACGGAGGGGGGGGAAAGTGAAAATTCTTAGCTTGGGAAGCCCCCACGGGGGAAAAGTGAAAATTCCCTCGCTTGGGAAGCCCCCACCGGGGGGAAAAGCGAAAATTCCCTACCTTGGGAAGCCTCCACGGGGGGGAAAAGTGAAAATTCTCGCCTGGGAAGCCTCTACGGGGGGGGAAAAGTGAAAATTGCTTAGCTTGGGAAGCCCCAATTGTAAGCATTGTCGGACATGATGTTTTCGACCGGTTTTATGGCGACAAAAGTGTAAAGTACCGTGCTTTGAAGGAAGCCATTGCAAAAACATGGAAACACATTCAAAGAACACGGGATTTGGGGGACTATCTAGGCGTCGTTGTCTAGCTATTTGAAATTCCGCAGCTTGGAGAGCGTCCACTTAAAAAAATATTCACGAACCCAGCAGTTATGTATGTCAATTCTCCTGTGCTGCTCTATTCCACACCACCCTTAGCCCCTCTCACGGACCGAAATAAACCTGCGGTGTGGGCGGCCACCCCACGCGAAGCGGGGTGAATAAAGCATACATAATACTACGCTATTAATCAATATTCAATATTAATTAATCATTGCATTATATTTGTTCATATAATCATATGTAGTATAATATCAATCACATACATATATTTCATCAATTTTGATCATACATGATCAGTGATTTATAAACACATGATAGTAATCGTACATAGTCATACTATGTACATCTATGTACTATTCAATAACATTACGGGCAAACCCCTCCTTTTGCCCGCGCCGACATCCACCAGGTGTCCGAACATAAAAAACACAGTGTTTTGTGGGACAAAATGCACATGTCCATGATTTTGGCTTTCATATTGCAACGCACAGCTTAGCAACCTGTGCGTTGAATGTTACAACACAATCATCATCACCATCACCATCACCATCACCATCATCATCATCATCATCATGAAAATTCCCTTGAATATAAAGTTTAGCGGGGGTGGGGATTTATTGATTCCCTAGAAACTCTGTTGAAACATTTTGAAGATTCCCTTCAACACGCCAGTCAATATTCCTCTTCAATGTACTTGGAAACCGTGCAAATGTTGTGTGGGCGAAAGGGGCATTTGCAGGCAACATTACTGGATAGTACTGGTACATACTGGTACATTTTCCATTGACTATCAACCCATTTCATCTCTGGTCATGGTTGGTTGGTTGATCCCCAGCCTGGAATTGCGGCGTGTGCTTCTCGGACCTGTTCTTCGATCCATAGGAAGGCCTCACCGGGATTCCTGACATCAAAACCCTATCAATGCATATCGAGTATGCTTGGTATTATAATGCATTATATGCAATGATATGGTAGGATAACAATGTGGTACTACAAATCTTACTGTTGATCAGCATCAGCCCAAATGGGTAGTTGTACTGTAGTAGTTGAAACCACGTTCGGATCTCACCACTTTTTGGTCCACACTCTAGGTCTAACAAACATATACAGTTTCTTGCAAATTGATCCTCTTGTCATCTCTTGTCTAAATTAAATGCCATCAACTCTGAATCAACTCTTGATAATTTCCATTAATTTCCTATGACAATCAGTGCAGCACCTCGATTCGGGCATTCCGCTCCGCAGTCAAGGCATTGGACAACGCATCCAGCCCTTAGGGCATTGCGAAATGGCTGAGGATCCCATCCCCACCTTGAAGCTGAAACTCTTCAGATGCGTCCGTCATGTCTGAGATTACTGCAGGGGTGGAGCAAAGGGAAAAGTCTGCGTGTTCAAAAACAGATAAAAAACAGATACAGTACATACAATCATACATAACATCAGTTAGAATTATGATGACATGTGATGAACTACATAGACCCCTGCTGTGGGCCACGTTTCTCCTGAGCTCATCACGTTTCTCCAGGCGCTCAGTGTGCTGATCATATTCCGCAATGCGGGACTGTCAGGGCTGAAGTTCGATGCTGGAGCTGTCAAGTCCCAGCCGAACTCCGTTGGATTTGTCCAAAGATGGGGGATACAACTTGATACAACCATATACAACCCATTTCATGGATTTACAGTGCATTTACGATCATTTATGACCACATTCATGGGGAAAATGATGATATAAATTCAATTCCATGGGGAGACCTGCAGAGCGCAGGTCTCCATGGGATCAGCGGCCTGGGACTCAGTGATATGCTGCCGGATCTTCAGGGAGTCCGCTTTGTAACGCCCCTGCCAGGTGATCTCGATGCCCGAATAGGGAATGACCCAAAACAAACAAAAAAGGGGTCTGACATGACACCAGAATATCAAAGCAATGTGGTAAATCCATGTAAATCCAATAATAAACTATCCATAACTATCCATAACTATCCTCAATATTACCATAAATGGGTGATAAAAATCATCACCAAATGGTAGACTATGGGAGGTGATTGGGTTTACCGCATTGTATCAAAGCGTTAGCGTCAGCCCGCAGCGAAACAGCACCGACCTCAATCTCGGTTTCATGTCGGTTGAGATCGCTTCTCAACTGCTCCGTGTCTCGCCTCAAAAACGAATCCGAAAGTGAAAGTGGGCTATGGCATGGTATCACTAGTCACTAGTCCTTCACTCTGCTCCCCTCAAGAACACATCTGGATTTTGTCTGAGAATGCTGAGAATGCTAATGCTTTTACACGATTTCCTCAGGCCCCCGACCCCAGGACTCCTAAGACCTCTCGAAGACCGGCTGCCCGATGTTCAGACTCATGGACCACCAACTCCTCGATGCTACAGGTGGGGAAAGCATGGGAAAGCCATCGTCCCCGAGAAAAACCGTGGAAACAGCCTTCAGATTCAGAGTAAAGCACGTTATTTTTCAGCACTATTCGGAAATTCAGAAGCATATTCATCTATATTAATCTATAAATCACAACAATTCGCCATATTAAAAATACAATTTTTATACACTGAATATCCCTGAATTACCCCTAACCATCATCCTCCATGTTTCATGAATCCTGGACAATATGTCTAGCCTTTGAATCTCACATCCGGCGCCTGCAACTCTCTGAGAGCCTTCCAAATGGCGTCATTGTCCTAGCAGAGGAGGTTGAACCCGACTTACAAGTCACCCTAATTCCTTAAACACAAGAAACAACTTGAAATAACATTAAATAACCAATGGAGAAGAAAAATGAGGTTGCCTGTTTCCTTCAGTTTGCAATCTGTGGTTTCAGTAGCCAAGAGGAAACATCATTAATTATAAATCATCAACAGAACGAACATGAACAAACTATATAACTAGATTGAAAACAGTTCTGCTACTGTTGCGACACCTTGTTGGACATCTCTCCCATCGTTCTTGCCTGACACGGCTGTCCATGAGGTTACTGATTCTAGAATGTGAGTGACATGGCACCCACTCCACAAGATTCAACACGCAATGACTACAAACATCTACAAACATGCGCATTGAAGTGAGAATCTCTTTAAACAACTTGCCAATGTCGTCGTTTCGAGCTCGCTATCATTGGCTATGCTATCATATATCAATAACCATTTTAACATATTTTAACAGCAACACGCTCCAATCTTCCTAACTTCACCGGCGTCACCTCGGAGGGTTTGGTGAGGTACATGGCATCCATCTGTCGGAGCTGGTCTGAGATCATTTGTCCCGAATCCTCCAAGCGGTTGGTCAAGTGCAGGAGCTCCTTTCCAGCATTGGAAAGAGCCTCAATCCAACAAAAAGGGAGCAGCGCCAATTTATTGGCCTTTTTTCATGAGGCTTCCAGAACGAAGCCATGAAAACGGTGTATGTATATTATATATATATTATATTATATATATAAGAAAATAAAGAAAACGGAGAAGACAAATAGAAGATCTACCAAGCTTGAATTAGAACAGGGGTGAATTTGCATGCCGTTTCACAGTGTTTCACTCTCTGTCACTGTATCCAAATGGAACCGATTTTTTCACACCGAAAGATGGAACATGTTGGAACCGGTGGCTTCTCATATTGTCCGGGTCCAACGGTCCAAATCCCACCAAGGCACCTCCCCCAAGTTGAAGGTGCGACGCTCTTGCCCTTCCAAGAGTTTGGCCATTTCGGAGAGACCAGTCTCGGAGGAGGCCACCACCTCCTGCAAAGCACCATCAGAGACTGGTGGGAGATTGTACTGATTCTGGGTTAGACAGCACATTCACACTTGATCACCATCTCAATATGGATCTTTGGTGATATTCCCTCTGTGATGATATGAGGATCACATAATAGCATATAAGAGTCAAACCAAGTACGTATGACCAGCAAATTATGGGTTTGTCTGAAAATAGGGCACCCTCAAATTCTCCAAATTCGATGGCTTATCATTCTCCCCAATAGGAGTATATCGTATTACACTATATCATACTATATCACTGTATATCCCACTTTCAGGCATACCTCCGGCCAAAGACCACAGGGCTCGCATCGTCACTGGCCGCCTCGCGCTGCCCAGCCGTCCTTGAGATTTTGCGCTCGCCGCTCGTGGCTCTGCATGCTGCTGGCCAAGCCCGGAAACACGTCTTGCTCCAAGCGTCGAGCCGTTTCTTGCAGCCCCGTGCAGCGATCCTTCAAGGCTCGCCGTTGGACAATTCTGGCTGGGTTTGGAAGATGTGAGGCCCATTAATGGTATAAGATGGTATAAGCATGTATAAGCATTATCAGTTTGAGACTACTTCAGTATATTTACGCATGATTGTGAATGTAGATAGTTGCAAATATTGCAAATATCGTGCATCATCATAATATGTGGTACAGTACATGCATTCTCATCTGCAGCAGTTGATCTACCCAGAAAACAACTAATACTAATAATTACATGAAAATACATAATTAACAGGGAGTCTTAGCAGCTGGTCTGACAAGGCTCCTGGAGATTCTGATAAAGTTGCTCAAGCTCGCGGGCAGAATTCCTTGACTTGCGATGCAAGTTCTCCTGCTCGCGATTGATGTTCACCGCATCTGTTAGGGCCTCGGCAGCTCTTTACATTCAAAGAACAGCAGGGTCAGTTATCATGTACACCATGCCATCCAAATCCGTTGCATATTCTCTCCCTTTGCAGTGTCCTGTGAACAAAATGAATCCAAGGTCTCAAAAAGCGTTGAGCTCGGACAAATCTTTCACTGTGAAAATCCAACAACACAAGATGCTGAAATGGCAAATCTACACTACTGATCACTACTGCCACTGCAGTCTGCTGAAGAAATCATACGAGCTTATACGAGCTTCCAATCCTTAATCCCGATGTTTTGCGGATGCAAAGTCTGACAATTTGCTGCTGCTCAGCTGAAATGGCTATACATGCTGAGCTCAACCTGCCAGCAGTGAAGATAAATGCATATCTGGTGCTCCGTGAACTACCACGCAAGCTCCTACTGCCTATCTTTCACCTATTCACGCGGCATAGATCGCCTTGGCCTTGGCATAGAGAGCCTTGCCCTGCGCTGTCTTTCCGTTCACCGCGCAGAAGCCTTTGATGCCCAACTCCTTCCTAGCCTTGATCACTGCGGTGTTCCAGCCAGAGATGTGCTTGAAGGCCTTCTTGCCGGCAGCGTTCTGCTTCTTGGTCACAATCTTGTTTCGCTTGTTGATCATGAGATCGGATTTCTTGTGCCCAGATGCAGTCTTCTCTTTGTTGCCCTTGAAGACCACGACCTTTGCCAACTTTCCCTTAGCAATCTTGCTCACTGCCTTCTTCTTCATTGCCTTCATGCTCTTCATCGTGGTGGTCTTTTTCATTGCCTTCATGCTCTTCATCACGGACTTCTTCATAGGAAGGGCCATGGTGACTGAATCACGAGGGGAGCGATGAGATCAAAGCTGATGCAAGTTGCAAGCGGGCTGGGGCCAGGCATCCAAAGAACAAGTGAATGTCAGTCATCATGTACTCCATGCTTACCATCTTGTACCATCTTATACTATCTCAAGTCTTAACTTTGATTGCATGCAAATGACGTACACGATGCAATCAAAAAGTGCAAATAGATGCAAATAGTGTCCTGTGAACGAAATGCATCTGATTTCACAATCCATCACAATCCACCATTGCAATTGCATGCAATTGCACTAAAATTGCTAAACTCGGAAAGCATCGTACTTGGTGCTTTGTTGGTGGTTTGTTGTTAGATCCCCGCTTTGACTGTCTTGGACCTATGATATATGGGAACCTCATGCCAAGAAAGGCAAGGTGTATATCTGCAATCCATCCAGTTTGCGTGTTGAAAATCCACAGCCGAACACGTTGAAAAGGGAAAACATCTGAGTTCATGTCAGCTTCCCATGCTTGATCCCGATGTTGTGCGGATGCAAAGTCTGACAATTTGCTGCTGCTCAGCTGAAATGGCTATACATGCTGAGCTCAACCTGCCAGCAGTGAAGATAAATGCATATCTGGTGCTCCGTGAACTACCACGCAAGCTCCTACTGCCTATCTTTCACCTATTCACGCGGCATAGATCGCCTTGGCCTTGGCATAGAGAGCCTTGCCCTGCGCTGTCTTTCCGTTCACCGCGCAGAAGCCTTTGATGCCCAACTCCTTCCTAGCCTTGATCACTGCGGTGTTCCAGCCAGAGATGTGCTTGAAGGCCTTCTTGCCGGCAGCGTTCTGCTTCTTGGTCACAATCTTGTTTCGCTTGTTGATCATGAGATCGGATTTCTTGTGCCCAGATGCAGTCTTCTCTTTGTTGCCCTTGAAGACCACGACCTTTGCCAACTTTCCCTTAGCAATCTTGCTCACTGCCTTCTTCTTCATTGCCTTCATGCTCTTCATCGTGGTGGTCTTTTTCATTGCCTTCATGCTCTTCATCACGGACTTCTTCATAGGAAGGGCCATGGTGACTGAATCACGAGGGGAGCGATGAGATCAAAGCTGATGCAAGTTGCAAGCGGGCTGGGGCCAGGCATCCAAAGAACAAGTGAGTGTCAGTCATCATGTACTCCATGCAAGAGAGATCTGGCATCTTACCGTCTTGTACCATCTTATAGTATCTCAAGTCTTAACTTTGATTGCATGCAAATGAAGTACACGATGCAATCAAAAAGTACAAATAGATGCAAATAGTGTCCTGTGAACGAAACGCATCTGAATTCACAATCCATCACAATCCACCATTGCAATTGCATGCAATTGCACTAAAATCGCTAAACTCGGAAAGCATCGTACTTGGTGCTTTGTTGGTGGTTTGTTGGTAGTTTATTGATCCCCGCTTTGACTGTCTTGGACTTATGATATATAGGAACCTCATCTCATCCCACCCAAATCCACCCAAGAAAGGCAAGGTGTATATCTGCAATCCATCCAGTTTGCGTGTTGAAAATCCACAGCCGAACATGTTGAAAAGGGAAAACATCCGAGTTCATGTCAGCTTCCCATGCTTAATCCCGATGTTTTGCGGATGCAAAGTCTGACAATTTGCTGCTGCTCAGCTGAAATGGCTATACATGCTGAGCTCAACCTGCCAGCAGTGAAGATAAATGCATATCTGGTGCTCCGTGAACTACCACGCAAGCTCCTACTGCCTATCTTTCACCTATTCACGCGGCATAGATCGCCTTGGCCTTGGCATAGAGAGCCTTGCCCTGCGCTGTCTTTCCGTTCACCGCGCAGAAGCCTTTGATGCCCAACTCCTTCCTAGCCTTGATCACTGCGGTGTTCCAGCCAGAGATGTGCTTGAAGGCCTTCTTGCCGGCAGCGTTCTGCTTCTTGGTCACAATCTTGTTTCGCTTGTTGATCATGAGATCGGATTTCTTGTGCCCAGATGCAGTCTTCTCTTTGTTGCCCTTGAAGACCACGACCTTTGCCAACTTTCCCTTAGCAATCTTGCTCACTGCCTTCTTCTTCATTGCCTTCATGCTCTTCATCGTGGTGGTCTTTTTCATTGCCTTCATGCTCTTCATCACGGACTTCTTCATAGGAAGGGCCATGGTGACTGAATCACGAGGGGAGCGATGAGATCAAAGCTGATGCAAGTTGCAAGCGGGCTGCGGCCAGGCATCCAAAGAACAAGTGAGTGTCAGTCATCATGTACTCCATGCCAGAGAGATCTGCCATCTTACCATCTTATACCATCTTAGAATCTGATACTGTACTAGCTCAAGTCTTAACTTAGGTTGCATGCAAATGACATACTCAATGCAATCAAAAAGTGCAAATAGATGCAAATAGTGTCCTGTGAATCACAATCCACCAGCTTTGTGGACTCTATATCTTCGTTCCAGCGTACCTTCTGCTGCTACAACATCATTCAATTTGGACTGGGCAGAGCAGAATTATCGACAATCCCTTGCCAGTTTGAAGAAACCATGTCCATCCATATTTATTCCATTGTGATTTAAATCTATTGCCTTCTTGGGAGTGCAGTTCTAGTTATATAATATAATATATGTATATTATATATATATATATTCAATTATATTCATATATGTGGGATAACTCCTGGTTTGAGTAATTAAGGGGTTATACGCCACTCACGATTCCTTGGATGCACATCCAAGTACTCCTTAAGGGTTCTCACCAGTTGACACCAAGGGGCTCGCTTCAGTTCGTTCACCTCTGCCTGATGCGATGCTTCCAACGCAGCCACCCGCGCAGCTACCAGTCGACCAGAGGAGTTCTGGCTCTCATCTGCAACGGAGGCCTCACTGGGCGACTGGGGGGTTCCGATAGGTGTTGCCATGGTGCGATATTCTGCCGGGTCTTCCCATCGATAGGTGAATAGATGGCAATAATACGCAATAAATATGCAATAATAGTAGAGATATAATTAGCTGAGATATAGTAGAGTTGAGCATCCTTAGATCCAGATTTATGGTATTTATGGGGCTAGATGCGCCTGGATAACTGTGATTGGACACAAAAGTCAAATCGCTATGCTGTGGATGCGTCCCCCAACTTCACGCCATCCCCCCCACCTCGAAAGCAGCAAGGCGGGCCTGCGACAGGCATGAAAAACATCCATCCAATTTTTCGATCGCTCATGGATGTCATGTACTCATGGACGATGGCGAGTACTATCAAACCATCAAATACGTTTCATGAGTTTAACATAGTCTAACCTATCAAATACTGTCAGGTTATGATAAATCCACCTCGATCCATTATGAAAAACCCATATTAGGTCATCATATATCCATATCCATATCATATATTGCCATATTGATCTATCCATTATCAAATACATACCATCCCCAACCTCGACACTGTTCAAGGCATGTTGCTGCGCTGCCAGCCGGGCCTGGCAAGGTTCATGTCACATGGCTGCAGTTTGTGTTAGTTGTGACATCTGATAAAATGTATGTTTGTTTAAAAAAAATATGTACATCGGGTTACATGATTGTGTGTAATGTATTTGAAACGTTCTAAGACCATACATGTTTGGGGTGAGGCAAGATTTCTGAGCCAAAAGAAAGAAACGAAAAACAGCAGTGGTGGCGACCATTGGAGATGTTGGGCCTCGAGAACGTCAGTCTGGGTGGCCTCAGCGGTGCCCGAGCAATATACACAGGTTTGACAAGATCTGAAAATAGCTCAAGAATGCTCAAGATATCTCAAGACTTAAGATACTTAAGAGATTTCAAGATTTCAAGAAAATTCAAGAGATTTCAAGGCCATTTACAGCTGGAAGTAGCTGGACATTCAGGAATTTCCGAATCATCGTCATGGTCGTCATCACCATCACCATCGCCACCACTGCTTGGATCAAACCAGACCTGCTTCGGATCGGATCCCTTTCTTTCCTCAGTGCTGGACTCCAAGCTGCGTGGTCGGTTCCAAGGGCGTCAACATGCAGGGCTGGGTGTCCATGGCTGCGGCTGCCATGCCGTCCTGGATCAGAAATGGTCCATCCCGAAGTCTAAAAAATTGAGGTTTTATTGGGATATGCAATGATATCTTGTAAACAAATGTAGACTATGCTGTATATACTTCACATCAACCATGACAATTTAACATTGATAAATATATTATCATGCAAGTCCATGACAATCCACTAAACATCGAAACATCAAGAAATTCCTAGAATCATCTAGAAATCTAGACACATATTCTCAAATAACAGTTTACAACGTCTACTGCTTTTATTTATATATATTGTTATAGTGTATCACGTCTAATGTGTAATGATTCACTTCAAAAATAAACTGGTGCCAGTGCCAGTCCTGACGTGCCAACGTCACGTGCCGTGTCGCAACCGGCAAAGGCCCAGCAGCCTCGGCCACTAGGAAAAGCCCAGAAAAATATGGAAGAAATGCAAAGGCTGAGGCGGTGGACTGCAAAGAAGCCGGTGGTTCAAAGCACCAAAATGGTCGTGGGAAATATACGGAAATATACAACAATGCAGAACAGTACTTATAGAACATGTAGAAAGATGTAGAAAGATGTAGAAAGTGCAGCATGAGCCATAGTGAAATGCTCCGAGCCAAGAACGATGTTGTGATCGAACAGCACATCGCAGGTCCCTGCCTTGACCAAAATGCGTTACAGATGCGTCACAGATGTTACACGTTTTTTCACGTCGGACATGTCACGTGTCTTCCACAGCTGGCACCTCTGAATCCACACGCTTTACGACACCAGTGTCGCCCTCTGAGAAAGCTGGGAACTGTCGTCCTGGCAAGACCTGTTGTTGGCGTTGCTTGAAAAGTGGAACTTCAAGAGGGCACTTCGGCACTTCATGGTTGGAAATATGAGGCAAAATGGCATAAAATGGCTACATCTTACTACTCATGATATATGTTCATCAACTCTTTATAGTCTTTACATATATTATATATATTTACATATCAACATGCTGTGGGGAGCAAAGAAGGTGGGATGAGCCTTCTGTCTTGCCATGCAATGGAGTGACTTTGCATGCCTTACGGGGCCATATATGTCAATGCCATGAATTGAAAGGTAAGTAGATTTCACAGCCTCCACAACAGCACCAGGTCGCATCGGGAATCCTCGGGTCCGCTTGGCCACCAAACACTTCCGAGCTGAATCCTTGATTTCACTGTCCTTGACGTAGGATTCAAAAGCTTTGTGTGGTACCCAGTTCAGAAGAAAATCTCTGCCCTGACTTTCTGCCTGAACCAAATTCCTCTGACTGTTGAGCCAAGCGTCTAAAGGCTCTGGCTTCAGAATTCAGCCATCCAACAGAGGTGTTGAGCGTGCAGTTCTGCCGAAGAAAATTGTCAGTGTGACAAGTCAGTAGCCTGGGTTGATGATGAGGGTTGATGTTATCAAGTAGGATTTGTTTCCTTTGCCTCCTCTGCTAGCACCTGTCGATTCGTGCTGGAGGAGTACTGGCCCACACTTGTTTGGAGCTTGCTGTCGGATCTGCCTGTAATCTCATATAATCTCATATCCCACTTTTGAGTGAAACGCTTGCCGAGTTGAAGCAGCATAAACATACGAAGTGTTTAACTACGTCACCATCGACACCAAGAACCTTTCTTTTCTGTTTCAGCTTGCGATCCATTCAGGGGGAATCGACATCTTCCACACACTCAGGTGGATCCGAATAGTTAGCAGCAATTCAGACGTTTTGAGTTTTTGTATATTAAATAATTATTATATAGTACATTTGCCACGAACCACTAGCTATGACTTTTCTGCAGCACAAAGTGTCTCTGGATTTTGTTGATATTTCGCAAAAAAAAAGTGAAAGCGCCCAACTCACCCTGATGGAGGCTACTTTTTCCAGTGATCTACACATGGCACAGAACAACACTGCCGTGGAATCTGCAGCGGTGACAATTCCCTTGGGGATGTTGCAAGGTCAAGTTGTGTCGTTGAGGCCTCCAACCTTGATGGGGCTTCAGTATTGCCACAAAAACTGACTTTGGTTTTGAAGTTAACAGTAAACCAAGGAAGCTTCCAACCAAACTTGGAATCCGCTATCACACTTGGATGATTTTTTATGACTGATGGTAGGGTCCCTAATCGGTCAAACATCTGGGTGTTGGAAAACCACGGAAAAACGCACAATTGACCTCGCCCTTGCTGCAAACACATTAGCAGTCCCTAATCCACCTTTTGGTGATTTTTGGTGCCCCTCCAAACTGCCGAACCAACAAATGCGGAGTTCAGTTGGGGTTTCAGGTTGCTTCACCAGAGATATGACTGGAAAAACCGGGTTCTTTGTACACTTCGGACGGTGCCCCGTCAGGAAGTTCAAGCCTTGCCTGGGGTTTTGCACGCTGCGATACACTGTGCCAACACATCCAACACACCCTAAACCAAGGTCAGACGGTACAAATGAAGAGTTATGCATCCCAACTGCACCAGTGCATTATATGGAAGATTTACCTACATCATTCTACTGCAAGGGAATTTACTGCGATACGGAGCGCCTCAGTCCCTCCAAGAAGCGTCAAAGTTCAGATGTCTGGAACTCATGATTTGAGCACCTCTGCGTAGCTCAACATGACGCAGTCCAATGATAAAAGATTGCGTGGTTCCATGTCTTACATGGCACCCTAATTTGATGTTGTTTTAACCAAACATGGGCAGTCAAAATTATCAATCACCATCCATGGTTTTTGATGTTTTTGGATCCATCCCAGGGAAACCCAGGATGCAGCTGCCTGGACGTCTCAATTCCTCTCGGGCCTGAGAAAATCACTGTTTCATGGAGGGTTGGTTGATTACTATATCTTATGCCCGGTATGCCCTTCATGATATAGATATATATATATACATAATTATATATATATGTATGATTGTATTATATTGTTTATATCATCATTTTAAACCATAATATGCAAAATGTGATAGTGAAGAAGAACATAGGTAAATCTATTCTATTCCTCATTGAGCCTGGAAGTCCAACCCACTATAACCATCAACTGCCATCACCAACAAGGGTTCAGGCGGGTTCAAATCATTTCCCCAGAATCGTTCTCCCATCTACTTGTGTCACTCAAATGAGCTGTACTCAGATTCCAGCTTCAACAAAGGTTCGACGAAATTCGTCCACCTAGACGGGGATTGTAGGGGGCGATTGAGACTGCCAAAGAGAATTGTCATCTGCAAGTCTGTATGTCATCACCTTCAACCCCTCCAAGTCAAGTCAAGTCCCAAAAGCCTTCAGGATCCGAGTTGACTCATCAAGTTCAAGTCCTCGATATATTTCTATCCAGTTAAAATATGTTAAAATTAAACGACCCCGGTGCAATCCGAGCCTGAAACGGCTTTGGTCGACCCGAAGTCCGGTCAAAGCAAAGAGATGCATCGAAAGTCCAATCCTTGGCTGCTGGCTTTCGGGTGTGGCAACCAAGCTGCAAATTGTTGTGGATCCATCTTCTTCCAAAATCAGCGCCTAGAAATAACAACCTCAACCCCAGTAAATTAATGAATTACATTTAATTACTGGGATAGAGAGAGTAGTGAGTAGATGTGAGTAGTGGGTAGGGTTGGAATTTCCCCGGCCCCAGTGGCCCCAGTGGCCTCAGTGGCTCAGTCCAAGTTCCACGGAGGTCTTAGGTCCGCACCATTGAAGGAGTATTCCTGGCTGATGCCACCTTCCAAGGAACATTTGGCCAGGGCTCATTTGCCAAATCAGGAATTTCAGGAATCGGAATGGAGACACAATATACATGGTATACATAATATCATATACTGTATATATATAGATATATAAGTATATGGATGTATATAGTATCTATGGTCAATTATGGTCATAGTTTGGAAGAAAAACTGCCACAGCCACAACGCTTGATTTGTTCTGTGGGCTTAGAGAATCCTGAGTCTATAGATTACAAGTTGTACAAGTAGATTCCTGCATCCCTTTGACACGTTGGCTTCCCATTGCCCAGGACCCTAGGTACGACCTCGGCATCCTCCGCGGGCACAAATTGTTTCAAGAAGCCTCAGTTTCATCCATTCCCCAGAGGTAGGGAGTCCCTACTTTCAGGGGTACAAACAGCAAGTGGTGTAGTACCAATTCATTTATAAGATTTTGCAAGTGTCCAATCCTTCAAAATTGGGAATCGTTGGATTTACCCTAAAAGCACCTAAAGACTATAGTCTAAGCCTACAAAATGTCACAGGCAAGTCGGGCTGCAAGAACTGAAACTGCTCAATCACTTGGAAGACCAACGATGCTCCAGTGCATCCTCCACGCCAACCCGCCTGTCATCAAGTGTCAGTGGTGGGTAAACCGATCCAATCGATCTTATTGCCAACATATTCCAATCGGATTCCACCTTCCAAGCATCCTGGAATCAGAATCCCACTGTGTCCAACTACCTGTGATTGGGCAATGGCACTTCCAAGCTGGAGTCCATTTTGCTGGTGGATTCCAAACACCAAACTTTTCCCTAATACCACTTTGCCACTTCGCGGATACTGCACGTCTCGCGCTCGGTACATGCAAATGCATGTTTCCCTAATACCAAGATATACCAAGGGGGTTGGAAATTCCACCACACCTTGATGGATCGAAGCGCAACATCTGCACCTCTTGCTGACGTGCCGCAAATCACAGGTGTCGTGCGTGGGTCAAAATTGGGTGCTGCAAAATGGCGTGTGCGTGTGTGTGTGTATATATATATATATATGTGATTATATAGTATTATAAATGTATTATATAATATATGGTATTGCAGGTGGCACAACATTACCGTATCTCTGGGCCTTAAACAACTTAACATTTGACTCGTGTCCGCGTCACTCTGTGAGTCAATCCGATCAACCCATGCCATGATTCATTGTACCATGTTGGCCGTCTGGGAGCCCTACCAGCATGTCCACTGCCAAGGGATTGGTTGGAGGGCCAGATCGCCGCTTCGTCAGATTCAGGAGGCCCTGGGCATAGGCCGCTTGTGAAGTGAATCAATCTTGACACGTCAGAAAACAAAAAAAAAATGCAAAAGGCATATTCCGTGGTCCTTGATTCCTTCGTATCTCCAAGATATACTATAATACACATTAATACATATATATCTATGTATATATATATGTATATATATATGTATATATACGGATCTACATGGTATAGAAATGTATAGAATAATAAAATATTTAATGTACTTTTTATCTACACATATGTATATATTTTTTTCTTTTATGTACATATTATATATATTTATTATATATATTTATTATATATATATATGATGAATTCACCACAGAGGTGACAGGAGCAGATGGGTTCCTGGCCTGATCTGTCGGAGGCACAGACTTGTTGCCTGGGCCAGGGTTTGGAGCCATGGTGGCTATCGTGAAAAGTGGTCGCCAAAACAATCTATATCTAATTACAGTTATTTCTGTATATGGATATATATATATATTTAATCAGATTTGTACATACATGTCCTTACATATAATATATAATATTAATATATGTGTGTTGTATCCTGTTTCGTTATGTTTAAAAATTATTCATATTTGTCCACTAAAAGAAGTGACCAAGTCTCCCCCACACATCTGCACAAACTTCTGCGCCGAACTTGAGGCCGGAATCCAGGCCAAGTCCTGGAGCGCCACAGCATCCGAGTTCCAGTTGCTGATTTAGATCGATTTTTCATGATGCAAACCATACAAGCTATCATATATCACATATGTAATATATATAATGTTTAATGTATATGCTGAAAGTGTTTCAGCACTTCAGTCTGATGTTCACGCATCAGGTGCGCATCGACCGAGTTTGTGGTTCAAAAAGATCCTTTTCAGCTGTACCAGCCAGGGTGAGATATCGCATAGCCATATCCGTTGGGTTGAGAGCTGTAGGGTTTTGTGAACTGTTTCTTTGAGTGAAGCCAGCTACTGCAACTCCACCATCTGAGCACTTGGATGGTAGGCGGAGCCTTGGAAAGGCTTGAGAGAAGTGAAGTGGAACCTGAGGTGTGGATGGGAAAGAAATGAGTATGGTGGAGATCAGTACAAGCAAAGATGGAGTGCCGCAGTGGTCAGGGGATGCAGCTTCATATCAAGAATATGAAGAACAGGCACTGCAGTGGGAACAGTCAATAGCGTATGGGAAAAGATACCTATGTGGCCCCAAACTGATACAAGAGATGAGTGGGACGGCCAGGAAGCTGGTCACAGGCAAACGGCCAGACTGGCTGAGCTTCAACGGTGGAGTGGCCCATCTCATGAAGCATCTGAGACGAAGCTTGGGGGGACCACAAATACCAGAACTGTCCGAGTACTTGAACAAGCACTTCAAGCAGAGCCGCCGACGAAAGTTTGAGACAATGAACCAGTACATTGTCAGGAAGACCAAGGTGTACCAGAGGGCAAAACAGGCCTTGGCCAGGGTCTTGCCCCACCAGCGGCGCAGCATGAGTCTGAAGATTTCCAAGACGCAGCTGAGGAATGGGAGGCTTATAGCCACCGCACCTCGACTCAGCCCGACCGATGGTCTGGTTACGAAGATGAGAACTGGACCCATGAGACACCAGAGCTCCTGCCAGGTTTCCTCCAAGGATGGTATCTCTTGATGGATGCCAACCTCACCAGCTCTGAACGCAACTTGGTTCAGACTGCTGTCCAGGGAAGCTTTGGAAATGTGCGAATTGCGCAGGAGCTTCGCACACAATGGCCAGAGGAAGACTTGAAGGACCATGACCAAGGTCTCAACCAGTCCAGCTACTGGCAGGACGACACAGCTGCAGAGTGCTCTCCGAGAGCTGAGCAGTGGAAGAATGCCGAGTTGAAGGTGAGATTGATGGAATTGGGGCTTGGATCAACTACGACGCACCTGATACCAAGGCACAGAGCTGATGACTTGGGTGACTCGACTCAACCATGCCATGAAGAAGAAGGCGGCCATGCAGGAGTGTACTTCGGACTTGGGGCTGACCATCACCGGGCAGGAGACTATGATGGTCCTGCAGAAACATGCCATGCATGGAGAAGATCTATGTCATTACCCAGCCGGACGGTCAGGATCCCATGGGGTTCGCCAATCATGCCAGCCGAACCTATGCCGAGGTGACGGAGTTCCCCGACTACTGCAATTGGGCGAAGACAACGGCCCACGAAGGGCAGCACTCCGCTTTGTGAAGTGGCTCGAGATGGCACCCAAAGAATCCAAGACCTAGCCCAGCTACATGAGCCATAATGCCAAGATCAAGATGGAGAAGGTGAAACAGGAGATGGGTGCCCCGGAAGCTACTCCAAGCGAGAGCTCACAGCGTTCCACCCAGACCTTCATAAAGGCCCACAGCATGATGATGGATATGATGAACAAGATGGAAGAGCTGAAGGAAGGGATGGAAGAGTTGCGCCAGGAGGGACCCAGGAAGAAGGCCGATGGCAACACCGAGAGCTCCTTCAGCCTGATCTCCAAGTAGAAGATCTTCTGATGACAGCTGAGAGCCCAGGAATGACAGCCATTTTGGCTGCAGATAGCCAAGTCACAAGAATTCTCAGAAACCACCAAGACTATAAGTGACTCAATGGCTCGTTTCTTTGACCAGTCATCTCAAGACCTGGGGCCAAAAGCGTTCCAAGAACTTATCCAGAAGAGAACGGTTCTTATGGAGGTTGCTTGTTCCCACAATAGTCATTTGACTAACGAAGTTCATCGGGCCCTGGGAAGAGAATCTGCTGCAGTCAGGTGTTCACACTGGAACGGATGTGACCTAGAAACAAACGAAGGGATCAAACACTGTCTCAAACTCATTGACCAACTGGACCCGGGATATGTGTGGATATCTCCAGAGTGTGGCCCTTACTCGCCTATGCAAGCCGTGAACCAGCGAACACCAGAGCAAATCGCTGAACTGGCTAACAAACGGAAAAGTGCCCTGCGTCAGTACGTTGGTGCTAGTTGTGTATGGCAGTACTGTGTTCAGCTCGGCATACATGTCACATGAGCCATGCTGGAAACCTTGATAGATTCTTAGGTCGTAAGAACATGCTTACGCACATGCTTGCGCATCCTTACGCTATTGGGGGTTTCTCTTACGCGGGGATCTGGGCTTTCTATGGGCTTACGCAAGGCTTACGCGAAAGTAAGTCACCATAAAGTCATCTTTTTTCGTGACACGTTCCTTACGCGGCCTTTTTTTCAACAGAGTATTTCAGTGCGTCATTCATCATTTGTCGAATCCGAAGATGAAGATGTTGAAGAAGAGGATGTTGAGGACGAGCCTGAACCGTCAGCTTTCAATGTTGCCTGTTGCGGTCGACGCTTTCGAGCCTGCTTTTCGGGGCTTACGGGGCCATTCGGGCCATGGGGCGACGTTTCGGGGCCATGGGGCAACTGTTCAGATAAAGCAGGTGGGCCTTACGCGTTCCTTACGCATACCTTACGCGTTCCTTACGCGAAAAAACACATTCTTTTTTCAAAATTGGTTTCGTGGCAGCAATGAACATTTCTCAACCCGAACAAATTGGAACCGTGGAACCGGAAAAACCGGTTTCTATAGGAACCGAACCGTTTAGGAACCGAACCGACTTCCTGTAAAACCGAACCGAACCGTGGCCACACTGGTTTTGCCTAGTCTGCAATATCTGGAGCTCGGTTTCCCTTCCATTTGACTGTCATCAACGTGACCAAGCATATTGACCCTCATGTTTCTTTCATTCTTTAGCCAAAAGGTGCTTTTCAAGCATGCCTTACGCAGGCTTACGCACAACATTCAAAGCCAAAAACCTTGCGCAGCACTTACGCCACTGCAGTTTTGGCTTACGCGAAGCCACCTTATGACCGTCCCCTTACTCACCAATACATAAAGAGTTTATAGCGCAGCTCACATGGGAACTTGCGGAACGATGCCAAGCATGGAGGTTGCCTTTGATCCAAAAGTTGGTTCGAAAGTAAAGCCCATACTTTGCTGTCACTCATGGCTGCCAGGTGAATCTGAGAGACCCCAAGAGTAGCATGTTTCTTCACAAAGGCTGGAAAACCATGACCACACACCAACGCATGGCCGACATGTTGAACCAAAGATGTAGGTGCCCCTCTGGGCACAAACATGCAAAATGTGAGGGTGGGGTAGCTAGAGGCACAGCTTACTACACTCCAGAATTTGCAAATAGAGTTGTGAAAGCGCTCCTGCAGGAGCTCAACAAGACTGGTCTGCAACAGAAGATCAACGGGCGGACAACGCTGCTCAGCAAATTTGGGGAAGGAACCGCCTGTCTGTGCCATACCCTGTGTGAACATGCGTGTACGTTACAATGTGGAGCATGTTACCACGCCGCGAGCGCCCGTAAGGAAACCTCTAATGGTATCTGGCATGGACAAGCACCCTTATGTGAAGAGGCACAGCAACCCCGGCAGCATAAACCTGAAACAGACCAAACTGACTTGGACCGTGACCAGTGTGAGCATGCATGTGGAGTACAGCAGTTGAAGGGGATCAAACGAAAACTATATTTGTTACATGCAGCGACAGGTCACACAAACACACGAAACTTGGTGACTGCCTTTCAGAAACGTGGGGCGAGTGAGCTCATACTGAAACTGGCCAAGGAGTTCAAGTGTTCCCTGTGTGAGGAGCGTCGAAAGATTGGTTCCAAACATGTGTCTTCCTTAGCCCAACTCCCACCAAAGCTGGCAACTATTTGTGCTGACGGGGGTGAATGGATTCATCCTTTAACCCAAGAACACTATGAGTTTTGCTTGGTGATTGACGAGGGGTCAAGATACAGGGTTGCAAAGATGATGAAACAGGGGAAACACCAAACCATGAATGCCGAACAAATCATGGACTATTTAAGGGATGGATGGTTCCAGTTTTTCGGTGTTCCCAATGTGTTGCGGTTAGACCCAGCGGGAGCTTTTCGAAGTAGAGAAATCGAAAAGATGTGTGATGATTATGACATCTACTTAGATCTTATTCCCGGGGAAGCACATTGGCAATTGGGATCATGTGAACAAGCTGTTCAGGGGACCAAAGAAGTCATGACCAAATTAGCGGAACAAGACCCCGAAAGAGATCCCCAAGATCTGTTGTCAGTTGCTGTGAAGACTTTCAATGAAAGGGAAAGGTTCGAGGGTTTTCTCCGTGCCAACACGTTTTGGGAAGGGCCCCTGACGAAATGGGAAGGTTCATTCACCCCGAAACCACCAATGGGATTGACTTGATGGTTCCTAACCCAGGGAAAGAGTGTATCGAGGGTATTCAACTGAGAAAAAGGACCGAACAGGCCTTGTCAGAGTGGCAAGCCAGCCAAAGGGTTAACCGGGGGATTGCATGGGTCTATTTTTGGAGAAAACAAGTGAGTGGAAAGAATCCCGGAAAGAATTGTATGTTTTTGGGACCTGCAAGGGTTTTAGCCACGGAGACAAGAAAGGATTTCGAAGGGAACTTGGCCCCCAGTAGCTCTGTTTGGTTGGTTAGAGGGAGATCGACGGTTGATTAAGTGTTGCCCCGAACAGTTGAGACCGGCTTCGGGAAGGGAAGAGTTGTTGGAGTTTTTTGGGGGGCCCGAAAGCCACCAAGGAACTTGGGATTTTTCAAGGGTTGCCAGTGCCTTGGGTGGTAATGAACTGGATGACATTAGCGGTGAAGTCCCGGATTTGGCAACTTGGCAAAGAGAAAAATGAGGTGACAATGGGAATCGCGCCCATGTTGAGACACCGTGGGAAACGTCCAGTCAATCCAAACCCAGGAAACACCAGGATGGATGGACCCTTTTGTGAAAATACCCGGGAAACCAAATGTAGACGGGAAAGTGGTGAAGATGCCGGGATGGCTCACGAAAGGGTTGAAGAAGAACTGAAAAGAAGGGCTGTTGAGGTCAGTGAGAAATGGTTGACCCCCAAAGAGTTGGAACAGTTTCGAGAGGCCAAAGATAAAGATGTCACTAACCTTTGAGGCAGTGCCACCAGAACTTCGACAAACCAAGGATCAAGCTGCTGGGATGAGATGGATCCTTACCTGGAAACAAACGGATGAAGGATGCTATAAGGCTAAGGCTAGGGCTATCCTTAATGGGTATCGGGACAGGGCTAACACGACTCCAGTAATGACCCGCCAAACAAGACAGCTGCTTCTTCAGGTAGCAGCATGGAAACGGTGGGGGGTGAAAAAGGGAGATGTCTCGGGGGCTTTCCTTCAAGGGAGGGAATACCCGAATGAGCTGTACTGTGTTCCTTGCCCCGAATTCATGGAAGCCAAGGGAGGGAATACCCGAATGAGCTGTACTGTGTTCCTTGCCCCGAATTCATGGAAGCCATGGGACTGGGACCCGAAGAAGTGGTGAAAGTCAAGAGGGGATGCTATGGGTTAGTGGACGCCCCGCCGGAATGGTATCTTACTGTGTCTGAATACCTTAAAGGAAGAAGGTTTGGTGAAGTCTTGGTCAGACCCCTGCTGTTGGTTGTGGAAACAAAAGGGGGTCTTAAGGGGAATCATTGCGGGACATGTCGATGACTTTTTGTTTTGTGGGAACCCCAAATACCCCGAATGGTTGGCCCTGGAAAAGCGGATTCAAACCCGATTCACATGGGGTGAATTGGTAGAAGGGAAATTCACTCAATGTGGGGTTCGGATCGAGAAACAGGATGACGGTTCATACCATTTATCCCAACAACAATACCCGGATAAGGTAAGTGAAATATGTCCCAGTGCCGGACGACGGAAACAGACTAAGGAAGAAATCACCGAACGTGAAAAGACTCCACTAAGGGGACTCTTGGGAGCGCTGAGCTGGTATGGCCAGCAGTGCGCACCACACTTGTCTGCATCAGTGGGACTGATGCTCTCGGAGGTGACCGAGAGTACCGCAGAAACCATTGTGAGGGCAAACAAGTTGCTGTTTGAGTCAAAACAAAGAAAAGACCATAAGTTGATCATTCATGCTTTTGATCCCCAAGAAAAACTGGGTATGTACTATTGGGCAGATGCTGCGGGACAGAACAGGAGAGACGGTAGTAGTACCCAAGGGATTTTCATCGGTGTGGCCCCCGAAAGGTTGTTTGAGGGACATGTTGAAAAGGTTTCTCCGATTGGTTGGCACTCTAGTAAAATTGACCGTGTGTCACGTAGCCCAGGGGCTGCTGAAGCTAGATCTGTCATTTCCGGGGAAGACTATTTGTTCCATGCTCGATATCAGTTTGGAGAGTTTCTTTGATCCCAATCCAAATGTTTTTGATGTTGATGGTACTGTGAATAGGATTCCTGGCCGTTTGGCTTCCGATTCCCGAAATGTTTATGATAAACTTCAAACAGAGGAACTGTCTATAAAAGGGCAAGAAAGACGGGTGGTCTCACCAGAAAGAAACCCCAAGAGGAAACTGAGGAGGAGCCCGGGGGATGAAAGTGTTTCAGCACTTCAGTCTGATGTTCACGCATCAGGTGCGCATCGACCGAGTTTGTGATTCAAAAAGATCCTTTTCAGCTGTAGTGAGATATCGCATAGCCATATCCCTTGGGTTGAGAGCTGTAGGGTCTTGTAAAGTGCTTCTTTGAGTGAAGCCAGCTACTGCAACTCCACCATCTGAGCACTTGGAATACTATATTATATGATATTGACATTGATATTACATATGATCATTTGTGTTTTATCCACTGTTATACATGTTCTTTCTCGAATCTTATTTTGTGTTGTTCCCCCTGTTCCTTCACCCCACATCTGCACAACTGCTTCACGTCCTCGTGAGCTTGGCAGCCGAGCACCCCGATGATTTTCTTCACTTGGTCCAGGGAATCTTTGCCCTCAAAGATGGGCCTGGCCAGAGTCTGAAAAAAAGAGTCACAGCTGCGGGTGATGCACAGTTGATCTTCTGTATAATATGATGCAATACAATTCAACACAATACAATGCAATATAATATTATATCATAAATTAATATGATATAATATAGTAAATATACTGTTATCCAATCGAATAATCATATAATCTAATCTAATCGAATCTAGTATAATATAATATAATGTAAAGTGATATAGTGAATAAGATGATTATCATTGTGTATATCTGATCCATATCATGCATGGGCGACAATCCATAAATGTGATAAACATTCCCATTTGAATAACTGCTCTAATTCACTTCATTAACTGTGAATTTCGCTACGCAACCCGATCTCAACCACCGGCCCCACCTGCGCGTGAGCATCTCCCCAAGGATGCAGCCAGTGGACCACATGTCCACTGCCTGAGGCACTTGGCACAGAAAGAGACACTGAGCAGTGTCTCCTTCAACACTGCTTTGTTTATTGGGATGCCCATAGTGGATCATGCAAAAATCCTGAAACAATCCCATCAAATCAAGATAATCAATATGTGGTGTACTATCCATTCTACTGTATAATCATAATATATATATATATATATTATCCCTTTTCCAAGCGACCAACCAACGGTTCTTAGGAGACTGAAGAAATCCACTGAGCTTCGTGCATAGGTGTACTTGGAAGCTGTGAGAACCACCTCTGGCGCCCGGTAGTATCGGGTCACCACATATTCCGTCAGCATCAGCTCATCATGTCCATCCTGAGGCGCTATGGCCGCTATGGCCGCTATGGAACCAGACCCTGGAACCCCTGGTACCTTGGAGAACTCCAAAATAGCTGGGATTTATGGATGCGAATGAACCCTCCAAATATGATGTGATAATCTACAGTATGACATAGTATGATGTAAGGTTTTGATCTATCCCCATATGGGTCATTTTCTTTCAGCCATACGATGAGGACCAACTCCTTTCAAGTCATGGGATCTGGCTGGATCTTTTCACATTCCATCTAATTCCATCACCTCAATCACCTCAATCACCAGTTCAGGTACATCAGGTACTATCATGCTTGAATCTTGGCCAATTCTCTTCAGATTACATTGACTTCATCACAACCCATTTAAGGCTAAGGCTATGGCTGGACCCCCAAAATTGACCCTTTAGTATTTTACCAATAATTTAGGTATACATCAATTGTTGGGGTATAGGTATCGGTATAAATCGGTATAACTACAATTTAATAATTTGGACGACCCATTTAACAACCCAATGGTAACATTATGTTACCATAACTAAGCATATTTAAGCACCAATGTTCCATGGTCAATCCATGTTCATCCATTATTTAACCATCCCTATCACGTCTATCACCAAGCCCAGTACCAAGCAACGTCCCAACAACCGCGGCCTCATCGGAGTCAATGCCACGAGCTAAGCCCAGGTCTCCAATCTTCACCTTCGGGGATGACTTGGGGATCCCACGTGTCCAATCTTCATATGGATGTGGGTCAAAATGGAAGACCATTAATGGGACCACAGATGGAAATGTCTAGTTTAGTATTCACCATCCAATTATTGGGGTACCTAATTTTGACCCAATCTTCATATTTTGTGACTCATCCACCAATATGGGGAGCCATATGTGCATAGCGAAATAGTCACCAAGAGAATCTAGATGTAGGGGCTTGGTATGGTGTCTTTCGCCAGTCACCAGTGCTCGGAAAGTCTAAGAGATTTTATAACAACAGCAGAAACAATAACAACAACGGCGGCAACAACAACAACAACAACAACAACAACAACAACACAAACAGCAACAGCAACAGCAACAGCACCAACACCAGCACCAGCACCAACACCAGCACCAGCACCAACACCACAGTATGACAGTCACTTTTATTTGGCCAAATGGTTTGCGGAATGCTATGCCAACCATCAGCGAAAATCAGCGATCCCATCCTCTCCGCCAGATCGTACCAGGACATTGCCGGGCTTCAAATCCTCGCGGTGACGCTGCGAAGTTTGGAGTCCAGTGATGGAGGATTCACCCCATCACTAATGGTAAAATTCATGGGAAAATACGTTTATCATCGTTTATCGATTGGGTGATTTACATGGATTTTCCCCCAATTACATGATTTTCCCCCATCACTAATGGTAATAATTCATTAATTGGAGGATTTACATGGATTTTTTACCAAAAGGTTTCCCCCAATTTATGAAAAACCCTTGGCTTTTGCTGCGCTTCGGTCCCTGTGGATCACCTTTGCACATCGCAAACACAGGAGCCCTCTCAGCATCTGGTACAACACCTCGGAAGTGGCAAGTCACAAAATCCATGGATTACAACTCACTTATGGACAATTCACGGCAAATGGTTAATAACATGGGTTAAGGATATGACCCACTAATTAGTGGATGTGTTTATATGAGTAGCGGATACAAATCATATTAGTTCAATTTAATGCCATTCTCAAATTAGGGTCATCCCCTATCGGTTGTGAGGATTTCAGTATTCCCGGAGGTATCACAAATGAGGTATGGGTATAGGGTCGTCCTCTATCCGTTATGAAGGTTTTGTGCAACCTCGGACAGGCCAAGGCGAAGCAAAATTAAATTAGTCTTACAAGATTTGTCGGTTACTCATATCATCTTATATCCATAGTTGAGCAGGATTCACACTGCGCAGAATTTATGACAAGCCTTGGAGAACAACAGTTTGTGCAAGCCAACTTTGTATACAGCTCAGCCATGCTCAGCCATGCTCAGCCATGCTCAGCCATGCTCAGCCTCTCACACATTGTACCTGGTGATCACTGAGGTAGTTCTTGGTGCCATGGATCAACAAATGGAGGTCTCCATCCATCCTAGCAGATGAAACCATTGAAACCCATGGTTTTGATGGTAAAAATTGAAACTATTGAAGCCTACCAAATCTAAATATATCCTGGATGATATCCTGCCTTAACATGCCTTAACTATCTTTAACTTATACTTCTACTAGCATTCATCTGAATTTCTTGACCACAGCAAAGCGAAGGACTCCTCTCCAAGCACAAATAGGCATCCTGGCGGGAATTTCCCGGCCGCGCAGTTCAACGGTCATGGCATCATAGCCTTGGTCTCAATCTTCAAATTGCCCTTTTGATGGGGAATCAATGGCAATACTTTCAGACAAACCGTGACAAAGCCAGACATATTCAATTCTCGGCAGCCATGGGCAGCCCGTCCTTGAAGCTGGGTCCATCCAAGTACAGCTCGTGCAAGCAGAGGATGTTGGGATGCTGGAGATGAGCCAACAACTTCACCTCCCGAAGGGTCCGCAGCGCCAGCACGGGATGGGCAAAGATGCCTTCCACCTGAAGCGCTGGGGTCGTGGCTGGGGAGCCGATGGGTAGCCATGACCTGCAGCTGGTGATGGGATACACCATAGGTCGCGATAGTTATTGGGGTTACCCTCTGGTAAACTAACATAACTATGGGAAATCACCATGTTTAATGGGCAAGTCAACTATAAATGGCCATTTTCAATAGCTATTATGTTAGTTTACCAGAGGGTATACCATATTATAGTAGTGAGTAGGCATGATGCTAGGTTTGTTTCTTCATTTTTCACCCATTATTTCATCCACCATATCCATTTTTCATCCAGCCATTTTCACCATCAAAAAAATCCATTCATCAACCATTTCATCACAACATCATTTCATGTATCATTCATATTCCCATCCATATTCATTTTTCATTTTCCCATTTCATGTTTCCATCATATTCCCATTCATCTTCATTTTCATCTTCACCATCATTTGTTCCATCATATTTTCATTCATCATCTTTATCTCATCCATAGTTTCATAGCAACGAACCTAGCATCATGCCGCTTCTGCCCATCACCCCTCGTTTTCTGGGTCTTCCTGCCTGAGGATGCGGGGCGGATGTCGGTTTTTTCTTACCTATTTTTTCTATGAGTAGGCATGATGCTAGGTTCGTTGCTATGAACCTATGGATGAAAAATGAAGATGGAATGAATTTTTCTGATGGAACCATGATAGGTGAAGATGAAAATGAATATGGTAGAAACATAATATGGAACATGATATGGAAATTAGATTGGAACAATGAAAAATGAAGATGAATGGGAATATGATTGATACATGAAATGAAATGAAGATAAAATAGTTGATGGAATGATTTTTTTGATGGTGAAAATGGGTGGACTAAAAATGGATATGGTGGATGATAAATATGATGGGTGAAAAATGAAGATCTACTCACCTAGCATCATGCCTACTCACTACTGTTATACCCCAACATCTCCCAACTGATGGCATTTATCACCATATATCACCATCCATTTGTTTCACCCCAACTGCACCCACGGCCAGTAATCTAAAAAACCACCGGCCTTTTTCACAGCCAGCTCTCTGCCATCTGCGTCGAAGGAAGCGACCTGGGGAAATTTAGAGGGTACGAATATCCTGATGTGGTGAAACCATTGTTTACATAAACAATCCCCAGCTTTTCCAGAAATAGGTGGTAAATAATTTGTGTAAATATATGTGTAAATGACGATCAATCATTTGGATCCCTTTGGATGTTCATTGTTTTGATTGAGTTTACCACCTTGAGAAGTCTCAGAAGGTCGTGCCAGCCATGCGCCAAGGTCCACGCCGTGGCATAGGATCCGGACCCCAGGATCTGCAGAGGTCTCCAACTGGCCGATTTTGTTCACACCCACCAGGGATCACCAAGCTACCAGAGGTTTGACTCACAGCCATATTTTGTCATACCATGGTCACATCAAAATTGCTGAAACAGGAGGAAACAAGGTATCATTCATAAGCTCAACTAGCCACGTTCACTTTCCAGGTAGTGTGAAGTTCACATTCGCAGTTTTTCCAGCAAGCGTAAAGCTCCTGCAGGGCAGTGTTAGGCTTGAAGTGGAGGTGCTCCCACTCAATTTTTGAGGACTCAATCTCAAGCTGTGGCCAATATTCAGAACTAACACCAAAATCAAACTCAGGTCCTTGAAGGAGCGTGAGGTGTCTGATCCATGGGCAGAATCAAGCAGAAATACAAGTGCCGTGACGTGAGAGTTGGTGGTGCGCTGTAACACATACGTGTGGAGAAACACAGAATCTGTAGATAGGTGCTGGAACTGGAACCAATCGCTTGGTAAGCAGCATGTTTGGAGCATCTTTGCCCCAACGGGACTTTTGGAGATTATGCTCACCAGTGGAAAAGTCCCTGGGCTTCCATAGGTTCATCTCATAATTTTGTGGCAGACCCAAGAACCAGACATGACCTGCTTTGGAATGGAATGAAACCAGGACTTTCACATTCACTGCCACCCTGATGGCTTACAACTGTTGAGCCAGGAGCCACAAGGGCCACAGTTTGTGAATAGCCGAGAAAACCAGCACGTGGCCAGAGTTCACAGATGCATACGGTAGCAGTGGGTTTGGGCGATTTTGGGCCGCTGTGGCAGCCATCCAAACCTCCCAGTATTTGAGAGGTCTGGATGTCCCGATTCAAAGATGTTCTGCACCATGCGCCATGCGCCATGCGCCATGCTGCAGTCCTATGTACATCTGACAGGTTCGCAGGTTCTCAGCGCTCCAAACAGGCGAGCCAAGTCGATGGAGGAATGAACAAATGTCACACTACGAATAAAAGGATATATATTATATAGTAAAGGGTGTATAACACAGTGTATACATGTGTATACAGTACAAGACAAGGTAAAAGAAATGGTTAAAAAAACTGTATCTGTTTGTTGAACTGTCTCGTCATTACCGTACTGTTGGTTGTCCACAATGATGCAGTACGGTAATTCCATGTAATTCCTATCAGAAATGCCGACATGCTCACACTTCACTCCTCCACTGCCCAACTTTCTGTCAATCCTCAGTCACATATGCCTGTGCCCTGCGATTGCGGTCTTTGACCTTTTTGGGGTCTTTGCCCGAAGGAACCAAAACCACACGGATGGGTCGCAAAGCCCTACTAAATAGCAGTGGATATGGTGGGGCGGGCGGCGCCTTCTTCCCTGGGGCCTCAGCTGCAACCGCTATCACCGGTACGTCAACGACTTCAGGGGCGGCGGGCAGGGCATCTTTGCTGACGGAACTGCGATGGCTACCTGCCTCTGAAAGGGTCCCGTTGCAGATTTGATGCCAACTTTTCAGGATCTGTTGCAGCAAGAGCATCTTGGAGTAGATGGCCTGGCACTGATTATCCGTTGAGATGAGGAAAGGTGAAAATGCCCGTCTTTGAAAACAAAGAAAGGGTGGCATGGAGTTAGCCATTGGTTCATGCTTGACTATCTTGCCAAGTCTATTAAAATCAAGTAGTCTTGGCAGTCTTGGTAGAAGAAGTTCCTCGCCCCTTTCGATGTCTTTATGAATTTCTTTCAACCTTCGGGAACTGCTGAGAGCTACCCTTCAGTGCAGGACTTCTGCAACGGCAACAGCTTGCTGTCCAAACCCAGTGGCAGAGGTCATTTCGCTGGTCACACCCGACTGACCAAGGACCCTGAATTGAGCGTGCTTCTGACGAAAGAGCTTCAACTCCTGGCAAGCTGCGAACTTAGGACGGTGTAGGCCAGCGAGACCGAAGGGGAGATTGTACCGCCACAGAAAATGGATGCTGCCACAATATGCTAGTCTCAGCCTTAATCCACCTGCAGTTCACCTTGAAACCAATCCTTCCCACCTGAATTTTTACAGCCTAGGATCCGAAGCTTCCAACACCCCAGGACCCCAGGTGCCCAACCTGTTGATATGCCGTCTTCGCCCGTTGCTTCAAGGTGGCTACCCATGGCCGCTTGGGTCCAGGTGAAGTGAGAGAGCTGAAGCGCTGCTGGGTCAGCAGCAGGATGTGGCCTCTGGTGGATCACGCTGCTGGGATAGGCAAACCTTAACATCCTGCAAGCTCCCAGGCTTCCAGGTAGCTGCTTTTTTGGGGAATAACGGAACAATGGAACAATACTTAATAAAAAAATGATGTTAAGTTCCGGAGGGCAAACGTTTACCAAGACTTTTACCATGAAAACATCAGCTTGACCACCCTGCCAAATTTCTCGAGTGAACAAAAGGCTTTTTAGGAGAACATTTAAAATGCTGCTGAGCGACTCATGGTCTTGGTCTTGATGGTCGCATGGTATTGCCGCTGCACTCCCATCATTTGGGCCCCACCAAAGGATTTCCCTGCCCACAACATGCTCACCTGGAGGCCTCGGAACAAGATGTCCGCCTTCCCCACATTGAAGACCACCTGATACAAGATGATTGCCGCATGTTGCTGCCAACTTGGGATGTGGCCCAGCTCCAGCCGTTTGAAAACATGGGAACGGGATCAATGGGATCAACCAAGATCAACCAAGATCAACCAAGGCACCATGGTAGAACCCACCTCACCCTCCTCGAAAAGGACGGTGTAGGGATGCAACACTCGGCGTTCCAACAGGAGACTCACGCGCTGAAGGAATTGCGAAGGCATGCCCGAAAGAATTGGAAGCTTCAGCCGGTGACCGACCTCGCAGGGATTGTGAAAAAACAACTGATCCTTCAAATGAGGGTGAAGCATGAAAAAGATTGAAAAAGGATGAACAATGTAACAAGGGCTCAAAACTACCGGAAATAAGGCGAACAGTGGCTGATTCGGGTATTTCTGAGTGTCCCTCAGGTCCCTCAAAGGATGAACAAATTCTGAAGCCACCCACTGCAACCTGATCATCCAAAAGGTGATGAAGGTGCTGCTCAAACTTTGCTCGCTCTGCTTCAAACTTTTCGAACAGGCCGAATAATGCTTTCCTGCGGGCAACAATAAGAAAGCAAGACTAAGTGTTTTCCCACATGCATTTCAAAGGTGCTCATTTAAGAAACCCTCTGGACACCACAACAGAACGGCAGATTCATAGTGCCAGTAGGTACTCAGCAGTATGCTTAGCTGCAGCTTTCATGATCACCCGAAAAAAAAAGGCAGGGGAAGCTATCTGGCGAACCATCGTGCACCTGCTACAGTTGAAATTTTGTGTCACCAACCCCCAGCGTGCCTGGAAACAGTGCCCACCTTGCAGATTTCATCTGTTTTCACTTGGACATTGTCACCGGTGTCGATGCCTCAGCTACCCGGTTCATTCACCATAGAAATCCATAGAATACAACAAGAAATCATTGCAAACCGTTTAAGCTGTCCTTGCAACCGCAAGCTGTCCTCGAATGTATGGCAGTGTATGAATGGAACCATGGATGTTTTGTATGGAAATAAATGTTACCTTATGTTACCTTCTTTCCCAATTGGAAATAGATCGATCCGAGTCAACAAATCTTCATTTCAATGTAAAGCCTACCTTTTTTTGTGAATTGCCAGCAAGATGCCATAGACATCCAAGATTCCCGTGATGGATTTCGAAGATAGAGCAGCCACCAGGTAGCCATTCTTCATGACATGGAGGTGCCCCTCAATGATGAAATACAACTTGGGATTCTCCGGTTCCTGCCCGGTGCATCTCCACATTTGATGTGACCTGAATGATCTCCCCTGATCTAGTCACCATGAATGGGATTCCAACCATATTGAGAAGTTCTACATTGGCTATGTAATTATATAAGATGTTTATAGATATTTACCTCCAATATCATCCAATTCTATCCAATTTTCGGATATCAGATATCATCATGGTATGACCAGCTGCCCCACTGTCCTGCACCAAGGATTGCCCCGGCAGCAACAGACACGGCGCCATCTGCTGCGCCAGCTGCGCCACGAAATCGCTGGAGGCCTCCGACAAAATCTCAACCTTCGCCAAGTGGCTCCGCAGGGCCGAGGCCTCCATAGGGATGGGTTGGCCAGGATAGGAATTCATCACCAGCAAAAACAAAGCATTTAGGGATTTGACAGGATGTGATTATGATATATTTTGATGATGATGATGATGATGATGATCATGATCATGATGATGATGATGATGATGATGATTTTGATATATTTTGATATATTTGATGATGATTATTATTATTATTAATATTATGATATATTTTGATGATGATGATGATGATCATGATGATGATGATGATGATGATGATGATGATGATCATGATCATGATGATGATGATCATGATGTTGTTGTTGATGATGATGATGATGATGATGATGATGACGATGACGATGACGATGACGATGATGATGATCATGATCATGATGTTGATGATGATGAAGATGAAGATTAAGATGAAGATGACGATGACTGTGACGATGACGATGCCGATGACAAGGACGACGACGACGACGACGACGACGAGGAGGAGGAGGAGGATGATGGTGATGATGATGATGATGATGATGATGATGATGATGATGATGTAGAGAATGTGGATGGTATGGATGATATGAATGATGTTGACGCCTGGGGCACTTGGGGATCCATTTACAATATAAGACCAGCCAAAGTGAGGGATGTCTCCCAGTTCACAACCATTTTAATGGCAAACATAAAATGTCCAATTGGTGCCAGAAACATGTTGCAGGGATTCCACAGATGCGTACAAATGCTGGGTTTGCCAATGGACCGTCTTTTTTTGGGGTGAGCTCAAAGCTGGTTTGGTGGTGATGCAGGGTGAAATTGTAGAAATCAATCATATCCCAAGGACTACCAATCATGATAATCATGCAGGGCAATACCCCACTTCAAAGATTACTTGCAGTTAGTAGCCATCAGCATCTGCTCGTGAAAGTCATCGCACAAACGTTTGAAGGAGATGTTGGTCTGCAACAGCAACCTGGGTGGTGGGGGAGGCAACTAAGTAGCCAAACACATCCAACAACGATCCTGTGGTTAAAACATGTCAAAATCTACCTCAAACATCTGACACAAAATTGGGATCATCTCAATTGTAGGATGAGACAACCAGCAACTCCCTGCGGAACTCCGGGTATTTGTCCATGATGGTGGCAAACCGGTGCTTGGAAATGGCGCCCACGAAGCACGTTTCCTCTGCCTGGGATCATGGGCGCTTGTGCTGCAGTTGCCAGCCCGTATTGCATCACGACATGAAAATGGAGTATGAAAATGGAAAATGAAAGCTAATCTTTGTTTCAATTGTTCTTTTATCTTCAGAGCTCAATATCTTCGCCCTATAGCACTGATAAGAGCACTGTAGCGACGAAAACGTGCATTAAATGCGCTTCATGCGATTGGATTTGAATTGGAATCCAAAAGCCATCCCTGCCATGTAGAGTATATTTCGCGGCCGGAAATGAGGATGTTTCGAGGATGATTTGATTTGCATTTCAGTCTGCCAGCCCCAAGTTAATGGTCATCCCATCAGATCAATACCGACGGTCCCATACGCGGCACGACCCATTCAACACAAGTGATTCTTAATGTTGACTACAGTAACCCATTTTTTACCCATATTTAATTATATTTAATTATATTTAATTCACATACTCAACCATCAACCAACCATCATGTGTGGATTATACGAGTTCTACCATATATTTAGAATTATTTAGATCCCTATTCACATTTTTTGAATCTCAAATTCCATCAACATTGTTCTTTTTTCGTTGGTTGATTAACCATCAACCACCAGGGATTTGTCGGAATCTCCCAGCTGCAATGATGGTGGTGAAGACCTTCTTGGTGATCATGGAGGCAATGCCTCCCACAATGCTGGGCCCCTCCATGGGCTGCAAATCCGCTCCGAAAACTTCGGCCGAACAAGTTCCTGTGCAGGCCATAAGAGGTGACCAAACCTGAAATTGGGATGTTCTTCATATTTTTCAACCTTGCATTCGGATAGATTCGGCACTGCAACTTGATCAACTTGTACTTACAGATCTCTCGGAAAGCAGTTTGAAGAAAACTGTCCTCGTTGCAAGATCATGATCTCAAAGAGGTCCTCGCCTAGCCGCCAAAACACATGGAATACAGCTGTGTCATGGAGGTGTCATGGAGGCAACCAAAAGCACTGCTAAAGGAATGGCTCCGAAGGCAAAGACCATTTACAGAAAACGGTTCGGTTAGTGCATGTTGTTTGTGCATGAAGTTGTACTTGTTACCTCAAGTCTCCATATATCTCCATATAGATATTCCATCAAAAAATCACCAAACCAAACGGTTTTAAACCAGCATCCCCAGTCCCCGTTTCGATGCTCACGGGGCTCCTTGTTGTAGGATCACCTGTTGGGGCACATAGAGCCGCAGCTTCATCAGCGCAGCCAATTCCTCCAGCGGCTTCGGAGGAAGGTCTTGGAACTCGCTGATCTCGCCCAAGTCGCGAGGCAAATGAATCTGGTCCTTGGGATACCCTCTGGTAAACTAACATAACTATGGAAAATCACCATTTTCAATGGGAAAATCCACTATAAATGGCCATTTTCAATAGCTACGTTAAATTACCAGAGGGTATCTTGGGATATGAAATGGATACGATGGATTTATGACTGATGGATGGCTTAAAAGTCTGGGGCTAGCCTGACACGTATGATGATGTATCATAATTAAAACACTTGTAAACACACAATTTGCATATTATCTCAAAACCATCCAGAAAGTGTCAAAGTCTGAAGATTTGATGGTTGGATGGTTTGAAAGGTTGGATTGGTTGGATGGGACCCAATGATGGAATATGGATGACTTCAAACAGAAGGACAAGTTAATGATGGCTTGTGGATTTTTCGCGGGCATCTTGTGACAATGTGACAAGCTGGATGAAAGCGGTCTTGCCGGTGGCTCAAACGAAGCGACCAGGATTCTGTAGGATCAGATCACGCCAGTGATCAGATAAGGGTACTTGTGAGAAATGATTAGAAACATTTCTCCCCAAAATCAAGGAACAGATAGGAACAGCCTTCATCACCGAGTGTCGTAGTCTTTCGTGAACAGCCTCACATAGTTTCGTGGTAGCCTCAAACGATACGAGTCCACCCAAACGGGCAGGGTCCGAGCAACACACCAAGAGCCAAGCAGGTCTATGTATCTGTGAAGCCGATGTCAATGGCTTTGTTTGGGGCTTTGGAGAGGTCGTAAAATCACAGAAATTGGTCATATATGGAAAATATATGAAAATTGTGTAAGGGCAAATCTTTCAATGTATACAAGGCTATGCTATGCAGATCTTTGCAGGTCTTTTTAGACAGTTTATCATCAAGCTGCAACTTGTCCGGGCGTGGCATGGACTAGGGTCATCGTGGGTCCACCTATATACGACAGTTGATGGTCCGTCCATATATGTCCATGTTCTTCTGATGCTCTGGCTGCATCAGGAAATCAACTTGTAGGGTAGAATATAATGATATATATAATTATATATAGTATTGCATATATATAATCATATATATATATATTTTTTCCATTGCCACAAAATGCCATTAAATAATATTAAATATTAAATATATGTGCTAGATTTTCCGGACTCCAAGTGGCAAAGACACTTCCTCACGCGACAACTCTTCTCGGAGTTCTTCTCCCAAGGTCCAAGAGATGTCTTTGCTGGCATCTTTTTCGATTCTTCTCTCCACCAGTTCCCGGAAGATCAAGGACTCATCGGGAAAGGCTGCGAAGCATTGTCTCAGCGCAGCTGTGGTGATGATTTTGACCACGGAGTATTTCGTTGCGCGGACTGTGGCCTTGGGAGAACGCCACAGACCTAAGACATTGAATTCGCCGAAGAGAACTGCATCAGCTATGTTGGTGACCTCAATGTTGATGTGTTTGATTCCATCCTGGAGCTGAAAATGTTCCGGAATCCATTGGATTTTCCCGCCGATGGATCCAGCTTACCGTAAGAGGGTTGGAGGGATGTACTACATTCTGCTACTATGTTCCTGGAATACACTAGACTATGATCTAAAATCATCTATAATCATAAACTATATGCATCTATATGCATCTATATGCATCTATATGCATCTATATGCATCTATATGCATCTATATGCATCTATATGCATCTATATGCATCAACTTTGACCGCCAACAAACACCAGCAGAAATGCCCCTCTTGCTGCAATTGCATCATATCTATTCATATCGTGGCCAAGTTCAGCTTCCTGACTCCATCATTCTGCAAAATGTACAACAAATCCTTCACAATGCCTTTCAAATGTTCAAAAGTGAAAGAGTGGAATCAAAAAACTTTCAACACATTTGGACACATAATTGACACATCTGGATCATCATGATCGCTTAAACTTTTTCATATATATCTCATAACATCTTATAACCGTTGGAGAAGACCGGCTTCAAACTCAAACTCAGCCCCTGGTCGCCCCTAACACTATCCTTGACGATCTCAACCGCTCCATCGCAGAGAATGTAGGCATCTGCACTGGGCTTTCCACCTTCAAACAGCACATCACCTGTTTGGCGAGTTCAGAAAATCAGGTGCTGGGACCAAAAGGGTAACTATTTCACCTGGCAATTTTCAGAAAATCAATGGAAATGGTTGAAACTTTCTGGGAAAATCATGGAAATTACAACTGCCTGATGTGGAAACATGTGGAAGCGCATCTGCCATTTCTTTCATCCCACCTGGCGCCAAATCCAAGGGTCGCACTTTGCCTTCCAACATCTCCACAAAGTCAACGTTGGCATTCTGAAACATACGGATATTCCGGAAGCTGGCCTTGTGGCTGTCAGCAAAACAGGTCAGCATATTACATCAAGACATACCAAGACCGCCAAGACTCATGATGAAAGTGCAAAGAAGTTATGTAATATGTACAGTTATCTGCAGTTATTCTGATTTGTTATGTGAAAATTGTGAAATTGGACGAAGATTTGGAATATTCTGGAATCCCCAAAAGTCGTTGTCACGACAGTCGACAACGATCTATGGCCTCGAACCCAAACAACTGCTGGACGCCACCATTTGACACTTTTTAAGTGAAACAAAGGCGGCTGAGAATCACAAAATGGGACACAACCTACCAGGTCACCCTCCCGGAATCGCAAAACATCAAGAAAACATATCGCAGAAAACATGACCCCGAAGCATCCCAAAGCACAAGTGGGGTCTAAAATGATCGATGTCAAATGGTTTTCGATGGTTTTCGACATTCATTTTCGGTGAGAATCGACTTGTATTGACTTCCTCTCACCGTGACCTAGCCCAAAGCTGCTGGCCTGGTGAACAGTCAAAATGTCAAATTTCTTCTTGAAGCGTTCCTTGCCAGCTGCTTGATCTCTCCAAAGGATATCAAAACAAAACACATTTGCGGCCACTCCTCCGCTCTTCTTCTTCTTGCTTCAGATTCCTCTATGAAAGATATCAACAAGATGCATTCAAAATTAAATACCTTTCAACCACTGAAATTCAAAGATGAATAAATAAATAAGGGCATCAGGGATTTTCGGATGCCCTATTTTTAGACAAAGCCATGTTAATTGCCAAGGCTCATAGATCCGATCATCCCTGATGAAGAGCTCCAACAACGAGGTGCGCGGCCAGGAGTAGGTGATGACCACACTGGTCACCGGTCGAATGGTGGCAGCGCAGGGTTTGATCTCTTCACCCAGGGCACAAATGGAGCGCTCACCCAAAATGCTCTGGGAGCCCAATCTGGAGACCGCCAAACCATCAATGAGCACATCAACTTGGCCAGCGTAGATCACATGAAGGGCCTCTGCACGTTGTCCTTGCGTCAAGATGTCTTGATTCGTTTTGTAGGTGTTCTTTCGCACGATGGATAAGAGTAGTTCGAGCGTGAATACGTCGAAACTCGAGAAGAATTCGATCCCATCCTCGTTGAGCAAACACATGGCAACTATCGAGCGATCATCTGCGTGGAACTAAAACACAAACTGAGAGGATCTGTGAGGGGCAAACAGTGCAGTTTCAACAAGATCAATACCGAATCATTGAATTGGTACATGAGACATGTTCTGATCTTAAGATTCTTAAGATTCACTCATGAAGGATGATTGTATGTGATTTTCTCCTGATCAAAGATCCTAAGGGCTGCCCTATCTACACGGAAATGGAGCAAACCATCACTTGCAATTTGAATATTCTGCTGCCTAGCATCTAGCCATGAAGCAATGGCATTTTGTGTGGCCTCAAATTCCTCATGATTGGCGAAATGCTGGTCGTTCATTAACGCAGCAGCTGGTTGGGCAGGTGCCACGGGCCGGTTCCTTAGCAACAAATGTTGGTCCGTTCCAAGGTCAAGTTGCTGTTCTCTGGGATGGTCGTCCAACCCCTCATTCTCTTTGGATCTCTTTGGGTTGGTATAGGCAGTGTTCCGTCACTTTCAAACGGGGCGAAGCTGCGAAGCATGCGAAGCCTAAGTGTTCCTTCATGAGTCAGTTGAGGGTGCCCCAAAAGCATCCAAGAGCTCCCATTTTGGTTGAAGATGCTACAAACATGAAATACAGGCAGCGGTGTCTCCCCAAACAAATCCATCCAGGAATCCAAGCAACAAATCACGGGGACATCTCTGTGGGATGTTACAACATGAACCCAACCGGAAACAACAGCCATATCCGGGCAGACGCTGTGCACTGACTTGGCACTGACCATCGAAAAAAACCATCAAATTTTGACCATCCAAGGAAGTAGTCAAGTTGCTGATCAAGACCTCAGGGATCTGGAAGCTGGTTAGCTGGCACAGGGCAGTAGTCGATTGTTTCTGTTGTAAGTCTTGTGTAGTTTGTGTCGGTTAAAGGTTGTCGTACTGCGATTGCTACTTCTCCCATCAGCCCAAACATATCCAAAGATGACCAATGTTGGTTTTTGATGCATCCACATATTCAGCTGCAACTCAAATTGATTGTGGAAAACTCTTTCAAAGGGGACACGCCTTTGAACATCTTGAACTGAATTGGAGCATATCAGAAAATATTGAAAACCGTCTTGGGAAACAATCATCAACAATCATGCAAATGTAACATCATGATCATGTACAGTAACATTGAACATGTTCGACACAACACATTGTATTATTTTTGAACTTCGGAACCTGATTTCATGGACATCAAAGATCTCATTGTCTTCACCCGCCGTGCCAATTTCTGCCGCTCCTGCCGTTCCTGGCGCTCTTCACCGTGTCCGCCGTGTCCGCTGTGTCCGTGCGGTGCACGACCCGACAGCTCCAGCTTGATCTGCGAATGAAAGGCCGCGGCGTGGACCTTGGAGGCCTCGCTCTCGTGGTGCGTCAGGAAGATGTGCAGATCGTGCCTGGTCCAAAATGGCAAAGAGATGTGGAGATCAAAGCATGGTAGGTGAATGGATTGCAGATCATCTGGTATATAAAATACTGTAACATATGCATAATATATCATAATATATCATTACAAGAAAAAATGTATACATTCAATTTGAATTGAATTCATGGTTAGATTAATTCAAATTATAATTATATATCAAATTCTCAAACCATTCAGAATCAGGGCGAAGTGGCCGAAGACTGATCTTGGTCTTGATCCAGTCTCAGGCGAATTGATAAGTCTGTCTGTCTGTACCCGAATCCTTTCCAGTTGCCACCTCCCTAAGAAACACGGCCACCCTTTTGCTGGTTGCGCCTCGTTAAAACCATGAAATCCGAAAAGGAGGTGGTGGTCACTGTCTGAGTCCAGTTTTGATCCATCAACAGTGCCATCGGGGGTCCAATCACAGAACGCGACAAGTAGGTATGAACCTTCTGCCCTTGCACCACGGCATCCGCCGTTCCTGCCAAGGATTGCATGAACTACGACGCCAAGCTTCGAAACATGGCGAAATGCTGATGAACTTGTATCCCACTCAACACTCACGCTCACAATCATTCATACAGCTCGTGTCGTGTGTATGATTGTGTATGTCATCACATCGCAAGCATTGCATACCCTGCTGTGATCCTAGTCATCCCTGTCATCCTTGTCATCCCAGTCCTATCATGTCCTATCCGTCCCCCGGGTCCCCTGTCCTTTGCCCATGAACCACAACTTGTCCACCTTTTCGCCTTCACGCGCCAAGACCTCCTCTGGAGCCAAAAAACAGACCTGCAACTTGGCCGCGATCATCTTCAGGCAGGGCTCCTTGGAGATGCCATGGCAATGGAACTATGGCTCATTATGGCTCTACCTGGAGTCTCCACTGTCTCCACTACCCTTCGTTTTTGGGGTCGTTTGCAAAACACATCTTTTTTGGGTATGTTTGATACTTTTTGGGGTCGTTTCATGCAAAAAATACATTTCATCTTCCAAGCAGGTGCTGACTATATACTCTAAGCATTACTAAGCTAAATCATGTGAGCGTTTTGTGCTTGTCCTGTCTGATGTTGGATCAGGATTGGATCAGGCACCCTCACACATCATTCAGACCCAGGCGCATAACTAAAACTTTTTGGCTGAACAACTTTGGATCCACAATTTGTGTCGAAATATAAAACCTTCGCCTGCTTTTTAGAATGAGCTGCAAGGGCAAACATTTGCACATTGCGAAACTTATGCGGAATATACACGGGTTTTGAGCACATCCACTCGCCCTGATCTTGTGGTGCCAGCTGCTGAAATAGTTTTAACGGATGGACGGACGGACGTGAAAAAAAAGGTGCGTTTTTTTTAAGTCCTGTTGGTTCGGACGGGTCCAAATTGGACGGATATTTCCGTACTTTGGACGCATGTTTCCGTACTTTCGGACGCCGTCCGGACGGCCCTCAGCAAAAATAAGGTACCTTTGAAGAAAAAAGGGCCTTTGCATTTTGCATGTTTGCATTGTGTGGGCAAATCTTCCAAGGACAATTTGTCACCAAAATTGAGCAATGCACCTGTGTCCGCAACTGAGTGTTGAGACCTACCCTCATGCGTGCAATAATGAAAGAGCAAAGCGCGTCCAAAAGTCAAAGCAAGGAAGATCGAAACCATGGCATCAAACTCGTAAACGAGAACCAATATTATGGAAATCTTTGCTCCTGCACCTTCAATCAGCCAAATAAAAATGGCACCTGCAACAATGAGTTGCAAGTTTGCAATGTGGCACATTATTTGATTTCCACAGTTTCAGCTGTACCTCCATATCCTCCATGAGTGAACATCACTAATATGCAACAAACAGTACTTAATTTCAAAAAAAGTACTTTCGGTAACAAAAAATGCATGTTTTATTGAAAGACCCCAAAAATTAAGGGTCGTTGGAGAGTCAAGGTATATACGTTAACATATATATATATATTAATATATACATGCTATATAATGCTATAATATATATATATATATATTTATATATATATACATCACCAGCGTTTTAAGGAGGGGGGACGTACCCAAAATGTAAGCTACATTTTTTTCAATGTGTTTTTGAGGGGGTCCTTGAAAATGTAAGCTTACATTTTGAAGGTATTTTGAAGACCCTCCCCACAAAAACGACACCTGGGGGACGTTCAGCAACCAATTTTACATTTAAGGGGGGGTCCCTGAAAAGTGGACCTACAGGGGTGGTGATTATATATTAAATATGATACACTGTATATAAATACAATACATTAATACATATTAATATACATTATATTATATTACGGCTATACCAGACAAAAACCTGGGAGACACTTCGAGTTTTAAATTCATTCCTCAAAATTTGGGTTGGAAATGGTGACAATGACTTGTTTCCACAACATTCCTGTTCCTTGCAGTAACTTGACTCATGGCACACTTCAGAGCTCCTTCAATGCTCGAAAAAAGTGGATACGCCGCAAGCTCTCCAAACCACGATTCACAATGGGCTCGCACACACGCTGTTGAATTGAGAAATCCTTCTTTGCTGCCGCCATGTCTTTAGGTGAAGGTCAAAGCTTCCATCAGCGTGTCATGAGGGAACATCTTTGACCCTTTCAAGCCCTTCGGGGCCCTTCATCTTGAGCCCGGCTGTCAGACAATAAGCCATATATAATAATATATATAATCATATTATATATAAAGACTACACAACCGCACGTGGTTGCTCATCATGATGGCTTCGTTCCTGTGCAGGGGCAACCTCTTGTCTCATAATTTTCGTACCTGGAGCTACTGACATGCTAAGGCTACTAAGGCTACTAAGGGCAGCACGCACCTTTTCTGCCATCAGCACATGACTCCCTGCCACCTCAGGTCTTCGGATGCAGTGCAGATCGGTTTGGATGGCACTAAATGCAGACAGAAACGCCATTGTAGGTCTTCACCTTCTTGCTGCAGCATTTGGAAGCATCCCCTTGGGGTGGCCCGTACTGGATCGTTTCTTGTTCATTTTGCTCGTCACCTTCCCAACCTATGATGCAGCAATCATGCGGCCATTCAGACCTGCACCTCACCTCCTCGGGTCCCCCATAGTTGCTGCCGCACGTGTCATTTGGCAAAAATTCTTTCCGAGACTCGAGGGTTTTGGAGTCGTAAATCGTCTGGTTTTCTCCACGGCATTCTGAGCCAAGAGCAACAAGGCACTTCGCAAAGTCCTGGTCGCATACAAAGCCTTCTGGGCAGCAATCCGTTTGCTCATCCCATTTGGTCTTCGCACAGGTTTTGCTGCATCGCTGAGGTCGGTTTGAACGGCCATCATAGTTTTTCGAATTTTCTGCATTCATACTCGAGTCAACGTGTTCCATCCTGGTGGACGAAACAGTTTCGGCAAGCAAAAGCACTAGGAAACAACGCATTTTCAAACACAGAGAAGGCTGCTCGAACACAAGACCACACAAGCTAAACTTTGAGCCACGCATGCATTGATCGCACACATCATCAAGAATCCATGAAGCATAGCACAATCAACTGAACATCTTACTTCAAGAATATATTACCTATGGCTAAGATGCCTTTCTTGTATGTTGCAATCTGCAAGTCAACTCGAGTACAGTACCATCCAACATCGGCGAGTCACAAGTATGAAAAAAAATAAAATGGTCAATCAAGTCCATGAAGTCCAATCAGAAACCAACCGGAGAGAGAAGCAACAAATATCAACGCAAACGACGTGATGAACTGCAGGGTCTAGCTTGTCATTGCTGTCTCGATCGTAGCTTGGACTGATCAATACTGATGATTTAGTCTGCAGGGGCAACCTCTTGTCTCATAATTTTCGTACCTGGAGCTACTGACATGCTAAGGCTACTAAGGCTGCTAAGGGCAGCACGCACCTTTTCTGCCATCAGCACATGACTCCCTGCCACCTCAGGTCTTCGGATGCAGTGCAGATCGGTTTGGATGGCACTAAATGCAGACAGAAACGCCATTGTAGGTCTTCACCTTCTTGCTGCAGCATTTGGAAGCATCCCCTTGGGGTGGCCCGTACTGGATCGTTTCTTGTTCATTTGGCTCGTCACCTTCCCAACCTATGATGCAGCAATCATGCGGCCATTCAGACCTGCACCTCACCTCCTCGGGTCCCCCATAGTTGCTGCCGCACGTGTCATTTGGCAAAAATTCTTTCCGAGACTCGAGGGTTTTGGAGTCGTAAATCGTCTGGTTTTCTCCACGGCATTCTGAGCCAAGAGCAACAAGGCACTTCGCAAAGTCCTGGTCGCATACAAAGCCTTCTGGGCAGCAATCCGTTTGCTCATCCCATTTGGTCTTCGCACAGGTTTTGCTGCATCGCTGAGGTCGGTTTGAAGGGCCATCATAGTTTTTCGAATTTTCTGCATTCATACTCGAGTCAACGTGTTCCATCCTGGTGGACGAAACAGCTTCGGCAAGCAAAAGCACTAGGAAACAACGCATTTTCAAACACAGAGAAGGCTGCTCGAACACAAGACCACACAAGCTAAACTTTGAGCCACGCATGCATTGATCGCACACATCATCAAGAATCCATGAAGCATAGCACAATCAACTGAACATCTTACTTCAAGAATATACCTATGGCTAAGATGCCTTTCTTGTATGTTGCAATCTGCAAGTCAACTCGAGTACAGCACCATCCAGCATCGGCGAGTCACAAGTATGAAAAAAAATAAAATGGTCAATCAAGTCCATGAAGTCCAATCAGAAACCAACCGGAGAGAGAAGCAACAAATATCAACGCAAACGACGTGATGAACTGCAGGGTCTAGCTTGTCATTGCTGTCTCGATCGTAGCTTGGACTGATCAATACTGATGATTTAGTCTGCAGGGGCAACCTCTTGTCTCATAATTTTCGTACCTGGAGCTACTGACATGCTAAGGCTACTAAGGCTGCTAAGGGCAGCACGCACCTTTTCTGCCATCAGCACATGACTCCGTGCCACCTCAGGTCTTCGGATGCAGTGCAGATCGGTTTGGATGGCACTAAATGCAGACAGAAACGCCATTGTAGGTCTTCACCTTCTTGCTGCAGCATTTGGAAGCATCCCCTTGGGGTGGCCCGTACTGGATCGTTTCTTGTTCATTTGGCTCGTCACCTTCCCAACCTATGATGCAGCAATCATGCGGCCATTCAGACCTGCACCTCACCTCCTCGGGTCCCCCATAGTTGCTGCCGCACGTGTCATTTGGCAAAAATTCTTTCCGAGACTCGAGGGTTTTGGAGTCGTAAATCGTCTGGTTTTCTCCACGGCATTCTGAGCCAAGAGCAACAAGGCACTTCGCAAAGTCCTGGTCGCATACAAAGCCTTCTGGGCAGCAATCCGTTTGCTCATCCCATTTGGTCTTCGCACAGGTTTTGCTGCATCGCTGAGGTCGGTTTGAACGGCCATCATAGTTTTTCGAATTTTCTGCATTCATACTCGAGTCAACGTGTTCCATCCTGGTGGACGAAACAGTTTCGGCAAGCAAAAGCACTAGGAAACAACGCATTTTCAAACACAGAGAAGGCTGCTCGAACACAAGACCACACAAGCTAAACTTTGAGCCACGCATGCATTGATCGCACACATCATCAAGAATCCATGAAGCATAGCACAATCAACTGAACATCTTACTTCAAGAATATACCTATGGCTAAGATGCCTTTCTTGTATGTTGCAATCTGCAAGTCAACTCGAGTACAGTACTATCCAACATCGGCGAGTCACAAGTATGAAAAAAAAATGAAATGGTCAATCAAGTCCATGAAATCCAATCAGAAACCAACCGGAGAGAGAAGCAACAAATATCAACGCAAACGACGTGATGAACTGCAGGGTCTAGCTTGTCATTGCTGTCTCGATCGTAGCTTGGACTGATCAATACTGATGATTTAGTCTGCAGGGGCAACCTCTTGTCTCAAAGCTTTCGTAGCTATAAAACTTTTATATATATTTATAATGGTATATATATATATATGTGTATATAATTACATATTATATATTCATTTATTTATCGAAGGAAGTTTAGAAGTCAAACTTCCGACAATATGGACAGATGAAAGGCAGAGATGGGAAGAGTCAGAGAAGAAAAAGAGAAGAGAAGAGAAGAGAAGAGAAGAGAAGAGAAGAGCAGAGCAGAGCAGAGCAGAGCAGAGCAGAGCAGAGCAGAGAAGAGAAGAGAAGAGAAGAGAAGAGCAGAGCAGAGCAGAGCAGAGCAGAGCAGAGCAGAGCAGAGCAGAGCAGAGCAGAGCAGAGCAGAGCAGAGAAGAGAAGAGAAGAGAAGAGAAGAAGAAAGAAACTCAAAAAGAGAAAGTCTCAGAAGAAAGAAGATCCAGGTGCGCGAAAAGGTAGGAAAGTCGCGAAACACTGCGTTTTTCCAACGATTTGTGGCGCCGGAGGGTCGAAAAGTAGGCTCGCTAAAGCGGCGGGTGCGGAGCCAGCTGGCCAAATGAGAGATGAAAAATTGCACGCCGTTGTGGCGCCAAGCACATGCCCAAGTCAAAATGTACAAAACACCTCAGTTCCGGACCACTTTTAGACGTTGTGATGTCGAAAAAGTGCGCGCCGTTGTGGCGCGAAGCACATTTCGAAGTCAAAAGTGCAAAAAACTGATGGGTTCAGACCACTTTTGGAAATTGAGATGTTGAAAAAGTGCACGCCGTTGCGGCGCGAAGCACATTTCGAAGTCAAAATGTTAAAAGCACCACATGTTCGGACCACTTTTTGACGTTCAGATGCCGTTTCGCGTGGCAGGCGCAAGGGATTGTGGACCTTGTCAAAAGTGAGCAAAACGTGAGGGTTTTGTACCATTTCTAAAAACGATGGCAGGCGTGGGACATTTGAAGAGGATCTGCAAAGATGCATTTTCCGTGGCAGGTGCAATACAAGAGACGTGTTCATCATAGCTGTTAGGAGGTCCGGGCGCTGATTTCCTCTCAGGAGTTCCATTTTGGAGCATCAGATCTTCAGGTTTGCTGAGATGATTTTGCGTGACAGGTGCAGCACTTCGTATGACCTGGCGTCACTTTTTCGTGGCAGTCGCAATACTTTAGACAGGTGGAGTGGAAAATCGCAAAACGCATTGGTACGAGGCCGTCAGCTCTGCAGTCAACTTTGCATTTTTGAAGGAAGTCTCGCAGAATTGCTTCGTTTTTGATGTTGTCAACTTCAAAAAATGAGGAAGTCTCGCAGAATTGCTTCCTTTTTGACGTTGTCAAGTTCAAAAATTGAGGAAGTCTTGCAGAATTGCTGCGGTTTTGATGTTGTCAAGTTCAAAAACTGAGGAAGTCTCGCAGAATAGCTTCGTTTTCAAGCTTGCAGATAGACAAATAGATAGAGAGACAGCTACAACTGGAACTACAACTACAAGTACCACTACACTACACTACTACTACAACATACTACAACTACAAGTACAAATATACCACGCTACATTACACAACACTAATTAATTACACTACGCTACACTAATTACATCTAATTACGCTGCACATTTATTGCACTACAACTACTACAACTACTACAACTACTACAACTACTTCAACAGCAACTACATCAACAGCAACTACTACTACTACTACTAGTACTACTAGTACTACTAGTACTACTACTACTACTACTACTACTACTACTACTACTACTACTACTAGTACTAGTACTAGTACTAGTACTACTACTACTACTACTACTACTACTACTACTACTACTACTACTACTACTACAACTACTTCAACAGCAACTACATCAACAGCAACTACTACTACTACTGCTACTACTACTATTACAACTACTACTACTACAACTACTACTACTACTACTACTACTCCTACTACTACTACTACTACCACCACCACCACAGCTACAATTACAATTACAGCTACACTACATTGCACTACAATACATTAATTAAACTTGAGTACACGGCTACAGATACAACTACAACTACACCACATTACACAACGCTACACTACACTAATTACATTGCATTACACGACAACTGAAACTACCACTACATTGCACTACACGACACTACGCACAACCACAACGACACTACATTACACTACAATACACCAGACTACACTAACTATACCACGCTACAGTACACAACACTACAGCACACTACAATACACTACACTAATTACACCACACCACAACTACAACTGCAACTACACTACACTAATTACACTACATTACAACTACGGCTTAAAACTACAACTCCACTACACTGCAACTACAACTACAACTACATCTACAACTACAACTGCACTACACCACAGTACATCCAGCAGTTGTGGTGAGGTGACCATTGCAACCATTGCAGCCACTCCAGAAAACACAACTCCAACCACCTTTCGGTCCATCAGTGGATTCGCTCTGCCACCCGTGAGTGATTCGCAACAACCAACCTCTCCTATAGGTGTCCTATTTTTGAAACTTCCGCCACCTTGTGCGGTACTACTGGTAAACTATATATAAAGACTACACAACCGCACGTGGTTGCTCATCGTGATGGCTTCGTTCTTGTCTTCACTGCGCTCAAGTCAAGCCGTTGAGCTGGCACTGAAGTGTTTGGTGAAACACTTAATCGATTCTCAATGGATGGGAGTTACACTGGAGCCTCTCACAGTTTTGCAGATGTTGCCAGCAAGATACCTCGGAAAAAATGTAGAAAAGTAGGAAAAACAAAACCAGCATGTTCACACAGTTGCATGAGCGAATCAGTGGTACGCTTACATATAATATAAATATAATTAAATACAATGATATATAATGACAGTACGAATTTGAATCACGAGACATGCTGTCACTTCCTGGTCAGGCTGGACAATGCATCCCTGGCACCGACTGTTCCTGAGATGAATGAGCTGCCGGACGGCTCGACGACTCAGTCATGTGACCATCGCCATCTGTCCTTGAAGCACAGGCATACTCGGCGAATTCCCAATGAATATCCCAGACTCTGAAACTAAAACTTCCATTCCTCATGGCACACACGCACACGCGCACACACACACACATATTGGAGCGCCTTAGTCGTAAGAGGAAGGCAATGAGTGTATGGGGAGACAGGCGACAAATAACCCGAGGCAGAATTGAATAGGCGACGAAACCCGAGGCACAAGCGATGTGCCGACCCTCTCAAAGCCTCACAAGGCTGTAGCTTCTGCACGTTTTTTTATCACGAACTGATACGAACTGTCCTGGGCTTTGTGACTCGAACCCAAGTCTCTTTCACCGAGGAACTGATGCCATTGTCATCCGAGGAGTTCTCGGTCGCCCTGCGACCTAGCGTCGTCAACCAGGAAAACGGCACACATGATGCAGCATTTTATCATGTGGGGTCACTCATCTAGGTGTAGCTGTCACGAAGACAAGCCGGTCTTGGCGATGCCTTGCAAACATGTCAAGCATGATTTCTGTGGGAAGCAACTGAGAGCCCTGCCCTGCAGGAGTCTTCGACCTGCGACTTCAGCAATCGGCCACAAGCTTTGGGTTTGCTTTGCACCAGTGAACACTCAAAGCAGCAAAGCTTTGAGCATCAAAACGATATGAAACTGAAAGACCGTACTAGCACCGTACTTAAGTCACATCAGGCAGGAAATGTTGCATCATTCATCCGCATGGCACGGCGGCGATACAGAAAAGTCACATCAGGTAGTGGAAAGTCACATCACATCAGGGAAGAGAAGAATCACCATGGCACAGCCTGTTTCATCTATACCTGGAGATTTAGTTAAAAGTAGCCGAAGCATTGCGCACAGCGATGATTTTGAAGGGCACAAGATGGCACAAGTTAATACAAACAAATTCTCGGCAGCTAATCCTATTGGATTTGAATATATTTGAATATATTATATTGATGTCCTGCGTCGCGTGACCAAATCAAACCCCTATTGGTACAACCTCAAATTTCTTGCAATGCAAATGGGTTAGCTGTAGCAAATCCTACTGGCAGGGCTATGATCTAGGATGATATAAGGACATGGGGGCCCCTTGTTTTCCACAACCAAATCTATGGCTGGCGCGATGTGCATCAATGTCGTGGACAGCTCTCAAGAAGTTTGATGTCCTATCCACACAGCGATTACAAGTTGGAATAAAACCTTTCAATCATTGCGGGCGGAAAGCGTGGCAGGCCCTGTCGGTGCTCCGTTTGCGCCGTCTGTTGTGTCTGTTCCGTCTTGCGCCGTCTTGCGCCGTCTTGCGCCGTCTTGCGCCGTCTTGCTGTCTGCACCGTCTTGCGAGATGGTGCTGCAGCAGCAGCAGCAGCAGCAGGAGCAGGAGCAGGAGCAGCAGGAGGAAGCGGCAGCAGCGCAGCAGGAGGAAGCAGCAACAGCAGAAGGCAGCAGGAAGCAGGCAGCAGCAGGAGGCAGCATCAGGAGGCAGCAGCAGCAGGCAGCAACGGAGGCAACAGGAGCAGCAGCACAAAGCAGCAGCACAAAGCAGCAGCACAAAGCAGCAGCACAAAGCAGCAGCACAAAGCAGCAGCACAAAGCAGCAGCACAAAGCAGCAGCACAAAGCAGCAGCAGCAGCAGGCAAGCAGCAGCGGGCAAGCAAGCAGGCAAGCAAGCAGGCAAGCAAGCAGGCAAGCAAGCAGGCAAGCAAGCAGGCAAGAAGCAGCAGCAAGCAAGCAGCAAGCAAGCAGCAAGCAAGCAGCAAGCAAGCAGCAAGCAAGCAGCAAGCAAGCAGCAAGCGAGCAGTAAGCGAGCAGCAAGCAAGCAGTTAAGCAAGCAAGCAAGCAAGCAGGCAAGCAGGCAGGCAGGCAAGCCAGCCAGCCAGCCAGCGAGCAAACGAGCAAGCGAGCAAGCGAGCAAGCAACAAGCAGTAAGCCAGCAGCAAGCAAGCAGCAAGCAAGCAAGCAGCAAGCAAGCAAGCAGCAAGCAGCAAGCAGCAGGCAGCAGGCAGCAGCAAGCAGCAGCAAGCAGCGGCAAGCAGCAGCAAGCAGCAGCAAGCAGCAGCAAGCAGCAGCCAGCAGCAAGCAGCAAGCAGCAAGCAGCAGCAGGTAAGCAGCAGCAGGTAAGCAGCAGCAGGCAGCAAGCAAGCAGCAGGCAAGCAGCAGGTGAGCAGCAGGTGAGCAGCATGTGAGCAGCATGTGAGCAGCATGTGAGCAGCAGCAGGTAGGCAGCAGCAAGCAGCAGCAAGCAGCAGCAAGCAGCAGCAAGCAGCAGCAAGCAGCAGCAAGCAGCGTTTGCCCCCTTGAAAGAACAATCAAATACAAGTTTTAAAAAATCAACGCAATACAAAAATTGAACTTTTTTCATGCGCACGGCCCCAAAACAATGAAATCGTTCAATTACCAAAAGTTCTGGTGATGCCAAACTTGAACTTTTTCCAGGCGCACGGCTCCCGATACGACTTTTACAAGCTGATACGACTTAACGCTAGCGCTAGTACATGACAATGTAATGAAACTCAGTAAGGTGTCATTGATTTGATCGAGCTGGCGAAAGACATTGGATGGCTCAGGATGCATAGTGTTTTCTTTCATGGAGAAGTAAACTATAGTAAGTTCATGTAAATTCACATTCCAAAAGAAGAGTGTGAGTTACTTGTCTTGACACATGACACTGCACGCTGAATACTGCATCACGAATCATAAACACGGACCGAGTTGTAAGATTCCACGACTTGGCAGGATTCAGCAATTCTGACACTAAGCCGCTGGGTTCGGCAATGATTTGGCAAATGGACGCATTCAAAGTGATTCAATAACTTAAAGATAGCTTAAAGCAGCTTGGAAGGACAGAGTCAACAACTATGACTTGGCGACATACTTGCCCGAGACGAGAGGGAGAGAATTATAGAGAGTGACATCCAATGCGTCAATGTCGGGCATGGTTGGCAGAGCGGTAACTGGTACTGAGTATCTGCGATGACTTTACGCTTTGGATACAGATTGATCTGAGAAAATGCACGAGAAATCAAGGGAACACACAAGGATGAAGAAACTGTGTCAACTTTATTGAAGAAGATTGAACATGTCTCACAATGTCTCACAATGTCTCACAATGTCTCACAATATCTCATAAGTGTCTGGTAAACTGGCAAATGGTTGGCAATGTGGCAGGTGTCGGCCTTTTTGGGCTCAACTCAAGCACTCTGAGATCAGAACGTTGAGGAGGAATGGCAATTGCTACTCTCTGTACAAGGATTAGAAATCTGACATGCGTTTTACAACTTCATGTGATGCTGGCAGATTTCCAGGGTCAATAGCCATTGCAGAAGTCCGAACTAGCAGCGCACCAACTAGATTTTGGAACATGTTTCAAAGCCCTTTGCATATGATCAAATCGCAAGTCTATGCTGAACACTGCAAACCATAGGTGCTGGTGCGTAAGGTAGTCAGCCTATCTGCCTGTATGCATGGGCTTTCCAATGCACTGCAAAGTAAAAACTCTCACAAACCTATATATAATAATATATATTGTATATTATTATATATATAATATTATATCATACATTATCATACCGTACCATATCATATCATAACATCAAGTCGTCATATTACAAACTGGAAATGAACCAATCATGCCTTTGTTTTTACTCACTGCGACTTCTCTCTGAGCAGTTGAGATTGTTGATGCTTACTTTCAGTTTCAAAGGCTTTCAAATCCAGTTGAGTGGCTGCAAATTCGAAAAAATCCTCAAAATTCCAAGCTCTTTGGACCGAAACAGAAAAACTCAACACAGATCAACACAGTACAACTATGTACAACTAGAATTCCATGAGATTCAATACTCTAAAGAAGTCGAAGACTCGATCCCAAGAGAAAATCATCCAAACCCCTCATGGGCACAAGCCCTCAAAGACGCAGCACCAAGTGGAGGGTGGACTCCTTCTGGATGTTGTAATCCGAAAGGGTGCGGCCATCCTCCAGCTGCTTGCCAGCAAAGATCAGGCGCTGCTGATCAGGTGGGATCCCCTCCTTGTCTTGGATCTTGGCCTTGACATTGTCAATGGTGTCACTGGCCTCGACGTCGAGGGTGATGGTCTTGCCCGTCAGGGTCTTCACGAAGATCTGCATGCCACCTCGCAAGCGCAGCACCAAGTGGAGGGTGGACTCCTTCTGGATGTTGTAATCCGAAAGGGTGCGGCCATCCTCCAGCTGCTTGCCAGCAAAGATCAGGCGCTGCTGTCAGGTGGGATCCCCTCCTTGTCTTGGATCTTGGCCTTGACATTATCAATGGTGTCACTGGCCTCGACGTCGAGGGTGATGGTCTTGCCCGTCAGGGTCTTCACGAAGATCTGCATTGCCCACCTCGCAAGCGCAGCACCACGTGGAGGGTGGACTCCTTCTGGATGTTGTAATCCGAAAGGTGCGGCCATCCTCCACTGCTTGCCAGCAAAGACAGCGCTGCTGGTCATGTGGGATCCCTCCTTGTCTTGGATCTTGGCCTTGACATTGTCATGGTGTCCTGGCCTCGACCGTCGAGGGTGATTGTCTGCCCGTCCAGGTCTTTCACGAGTCTGCATGCCCCACCAGTCGCAATCGAAGCACCAAGTGGAGGGTGGACTCCTTCTGGATGTTGTAATCCGAAAGGGTGCGGCCATCCTCTAGCTGCTTGCCAGCAAAGATCAGGCGCTGCTGGTCAGGTGGGATCCCCTCCTTGTCTTGGATCTTGGCCTTGACATTGTCAATGGTGTCACTGGCCTCGACGTCGAGGGTGATGGTCTTGCCCGTCAGGGTCTTCACGAAGATCTGCATGCCACCTCGCAAGCGAAGCACCAAGTGAAGGGTGGACTCCTTCTGGATGTTGTAATCCGAAAGGGTGCGGCCATCCTCCAGCTGCTTGCCAGCAAAGATCAGGCGCTGCTGATCAGGTGGGATCCCCTCCTTGTCTGGATCTTGGCCTTGACATTGTCAATGGTGTCACTGGCCTCGACGTCGAGGGTGATGGTCTTGCCCGTCAGGGTCTTCACGAAGATCTGCATGCCACCTCGCAAGCGCAGCACCAAATGGAGGGTGGACTCCTTCTGGATGTTGTAATCCGAAAGGGTGCGGCCATCCTCTAGCTGCTTGCCAGCAAAGATCAGGCGCTGCTGGTCAGGTGGGATCCCCTCCTTGTCTTGGATCTTGGCCTTGACATTGTCAATGGTGTCACTGGCCTCGACGTCGAGGGTGATGGTCTTGCCCGTCAGGGTCTTCACGAAGATCTGCATGCCACCTCGCAAGCGCAGCACCAAGTGGAGGGTGGACTCCTTCTGGATGTTGTAATCCGAAAGGGTGCGGCCATCCTCCAGCTGCTTGCCAGCAAAGATCAGGCGCTGCTGATCAGGTGGGATCCCCTCCTTGTCTTGGATCTTGGCCTTGACATTATCAATGGTGTCACTGGCCTCGACGTCGAGGGTGATGGTCTTGCCCGTCAGGGTCTTCACGAAGATCTGCATGCCACCTCGCAAGCGAAGCACCAAGTGAAGGGTGGACTCCTTCTGGATGTTGTAATCCGAAAGGGTGCGGCCATCCTCCAGCTGCTTGCCAGCAAAGATCAGGCGCTGCTGATCAGGTGGGATCCCCTCCTTGTCTTGGATCTTGGCCTTGACATTGTCAATGGTGTCACTGGCCTCGACATCGAGGGTGATGGTCTTGCCCGTCAGGGTCTTCACGAAGATCTGCATGCCACCTCGCAAGCGCAGCACCAAGTGGAGGGTGGACTCCTTCTGGATGTTGTAATCCGAAAGGGTGCGGCCATCCTCCAACTGCTTGCCAGCAAAGATCAGGCGCTGCTGATCAGGTGGGATCCCCTCCTTGTCTTGGATCTTGGCCTTGACATTGTCAATGGTGTCACTGGCCTCGACGTCGAGGGTGATGGTCTTGCCCGTCAGGGTCTTCACGAAGATCTGCATGCCCCCTCGCAAGCGCAGCACCAAGCGCACACAAGCAAAGTGGAGGTGTACTCCTTCTGGATGTTGTAGCCGAAAGAGTGTCGGCCATCCCTCCAACTGCTTTCCAGCAAAGAATAAGGCGCTGTGATCAGTGGGATCCCCTCCTTGTCTTGGATCTTGGCCTTGACATTATCAATGGTGTCACTGGCCTCGACGTCGAGGGTGATGGTCTTGCCCGTCAGGGTCTTCACGAAGATCTGCATGGCTTTGCTATTTGCGAATTTCGAGATTTGTTTGAACAGACTCCTTGGGAGGACGGATTGTGTCTTGCCCTAGGTTGGAGCCGAAGCGTCAAGGGAGGGCTCAGTAAAATGACCAAATGCTTCAAATGCATTCAAATGCGGGCTATGATGTGAATGTTTCATCGACATTCTGGCAATAATTGCAGTGACAAGACTAGTAATGACATGTAAGGATATACACATATTAAAGGAGCTCAGAATCTTTCAAGCACTTGAGAAACACCCCAATCATGAGTATCAAGGAATAAACGTAATTTGTCTGTTGCTTCCTGTGCCCTGACTCTGCCACTTTGACAACAGGAAGGTAGTCTGCTACAGCTCGCCTGCTGGATGGGTCGATATTATGGTCTCTGGACAGGCCTCTCAGTCGAATCAAGGACCAAATTGTCTACTCATTGGGCTAGCAGGCAATGATATATTTGCAAAGACCGAATACACAGGGTTCAGCGAACAAGCTTGGAAATATTTTTTGAGAAGGGCTGCATGATGCTGCATACATGACAGGTAATGCACTTGACAAGTTGTCTCAGCATGGTCCTTTCATAAAACAACATGAAAAGTGTTGAAAAGTACTGCATTGTTATTGTTGGTGTCTGCATGGAGATAGTCAGATAGTCTTGTCGTGTCTGACGTCTTGTCTCCAATTTTGACTCAGATTTTTGGCGACTTGGAACATTCTGGAAGGCCTGGAAAAATATGACAAATGATACATCATTCTGAGTCATTCTCGTTGTTCTTATCATTTTTGGCAATTGAAACATGTGGACATCGACTTTTGACCCACACCTATATGAGAACAACCACTCCGTGATGGAATCGATATTTGATGATGTTTGCAGAGAGCTCAGTGGATCTTGGCCAGCTATGCCAGCATTCAACTGATCCAGGAGGCACTTGTAGTATACAGTATACAGGCATGTAGTGACATTTTCCCATCTCGATCTGAGCTCCGAAAAAGCAAGCTTTCTATGAACCGCTTTGCAATTTGTTTTCCTGATTTCACTTGGAGCATCTAAAGAATTACGAGAACTTATTTTTCGGCTAAGCGACTTTAAGAGACTTGAAGAATTGCGGAGACTTGCCAGCTGTCCTCTAGGACTAGGAATCTACTTTTTGGGCTGCAGGTGACAGATCCTTTGGCCCTTTGGCAACTACAATTAGGAAGCTTTACGGTTGGGTTGGGTCACCATGTCACACCCGCACCATGCTTACCAAAATTATCCAAAATTACTCCGTCCCAATCCAGACAATGAAAAACATGCCTGACAGTAACGCAGGATTACCCTTCCCCAATTTATGGTAAGAGTAAGAGTCATCACTTTTTTCATCTGCAAAGGCGGCAAGGATCGGCAAGGTCATGGCAAGGTCCAATGTCTGATAAATCTAGCACCTTTCTCAATCATCCATTAAAATCCATTAAATGCCATTAAACTCAATCACATGCAGAGGCAATTCAACGAATCCAACCAACAAAAATCCATCAAAATCCAACACGCCCCAACCTGTAAAATTGCACACCTTGCCGAACATCTTTACTTTCATCCCGGTTCAAATCGAGCTACCTCCAAGAAGGTCTGCACAATCTTCTCCTTGTCTGGCTGGCACTTGCCAGAGACCATGAAAAGAGGTAAACGAGGACCAGAAGGTAAGCGGGCCTGCCGGAGGCATGACATGCTCCAAGATTTTTGCAAGCTTCGGCAGAGAAAAAGCAAAGGAATCCATTGTGAGACCCACCATCAGCAGCCATGACATAGTGTCTCCAGAAATGGGCCAGTCTGCCACACAGATTGACTGTGAAATGGAGGTAATTTGGGCGCCTCAATTCAGGATACACATGGATACACCATGTCACCATCATACACACCCATACACACCCCCACATATTACAACCTCCACTTGGCAAGTGTGGACTCTTTTACTCCACTCAACCGTTGAGGAGGAATCGCAGCCATGAATCGCTGTACAATGAGTGACTGCCCAGTCCACCACTTCATGTGAGGCACGAGCAATAGGACACTCCAATTCACTGCTTGAGGCAAAGATTTGTCCGATCATGAGCAAGCCAACTTGACACGAAGCCATCATTTCGGTCGTGAAAGTTAAGGTCACCTATAGTTTTTCGACTTCTTGACATGGATGTCAAAGAGATGATGTCCAACTTTGACAATTTTGACATTATTATGTAGTACTTGCATGTACTCATGTACTTGCTGGCTATCAGACCATGTGCACAAGCCCTGATTTCGAATTGATTGGTACAGTACAGTAGCAAAATGTAGCAAACATCCACTATATCAATAAATGGCATGAACTATCATGAACTCAATTTATGAGTGGTCAGGAATCGTCGTGTACTTGTCCAGTAGGTTGCTGTTTAGTCTTGGGTCGAGTTTGACAGAGCTCCCACAAAGACTGACAGTCAAGTTGTGCCTGCAAAAGATCGAAAATTCCCGATGTTGTCTGTCTTGAGTCTTGACATAAATGCACAAAGCTAAAACACAATAAAAAACTGTGAGTCTGACAGAAAATACTCACACTGCACATGTTCAAAATATGTCGAAAACAAAACTCAGATGCAGAATGTCAAGAACAAAGAGATAAGACATCATCGCAAGCGCAGCACCAAGTGGAGGGTGGACTCCTTCTGGATGTTGTAGTCCGAAAGGGTGCGGCCATCCTCCAGCTGCTTGCCAGCAAAGATCAGGCGCTGCTGATCAGGTGGGATCCCCTCCTTGTCTTGGATCTTGGCCTTGACATTGTCAATGGTATCACTGGCCTCGACGTCGAGGGTGATGGTCTTGCCCGTCAGGGTCTTCACGAAGATCTGCATGCCACCTCGCAAGCACAGCACCAAGTGGAGGGTGGACTCCTTCTGGATGTTGTAATCCGAAAGGGTGCGGCCATCCTCCAACTGCTTGCCTGCAAAGATCAGGCGCTGCTGGTCAGGTGGGATCCCCCTCCTTATCTTGGATCTTGGCCTTGACATTGTCAATGGTGTCACTGGCCTCGACTTCGAGGGTGATGGTCTTGCCCGTCAGGGTCTTCACGAAGATCTGCATGCCACCTCGCAAGCGCAGCACCAAGTGGAGGGTGGACTCCTTCTGGATGTTGTAATCCGAAAGGGTGCGGCCATCCTCCAGCTGCTTGCCAGCAAAGATCAGGCGCTGCTTGTCAGGTGGGATCCCCTCCTTGTCTGTCCACATTTCAACCACGAAGGTCATGGAACACCCAGGCATACTAAGGGCCTATGATGTCCATCGTCTCAGTTCAAAGGTGGCAGCAGGCCACACAAACTCAGTTCACCGAAAGTGAAAGCACAAAGTCCACCAATCCACCGCACGAGTGGGTGAACAGTGGAGAAAAGCAAGAAAATGGCACAAATACCTCACAACGATGCGGCGAGGCACATATCAAACGAAAAGTAAACGAATCACAACTCATAAGTTAAGGCTTATTGACGGAGATGCTCTATGGGCAAAATCCATTTCCAACTAGTACGCTTCATGGGCTGAGACCAGGACCAACACAAAAAGCGATGAACAACATGGGGACACTGAAAACGTGGCCTCATGGAAAGTCCAATGACCTGTTTGAGCATGCCAAAACTAGTAAGATGGGAAACCAAACATGCCACCGCAGGATGTGCCGGCGTTTTTTCCTGAAACACTTTCGGGAATGCACGAATAGCAGCAGCAAAGGAAGCCGAAAAATTAGCAGCCGTTTCCAAGTCACGAGTCCTACCAGCCTTAGGATTACTTAAGTGACATCCTGTGAAGGCAAAGAAATCCACAAAAAGTTCCAAAAAAGAGACCTTGCCCTCAACAAACCACTCGAGGCCATGAAAATATGCACGGATATCATCAAAATTCGCCTGAGTGTAATGCCAAGCATAGTTACTTGCACTACGGCTTAAAACAGTACCCTCAATCCGATGTGGCAAACAGTTGGTCATAGCGCTCCACAAAAACCAAGGGGTGGTTTTTCTACACGCGAGACCTGCTCCAGAGTTGGCCAACAAGGGTCAGCATGAGTACGTGGTGCATCAACTCCAACTGAAACAGTGGTGACCACCTCATCAGAAAGTTGAAGGGATGTGTCATCAGGCGAATCATCAGGCGGGTCTGGTACCGAAAGGCCGCGTGTTTTTATAAAGTCCCAGCGTTTTTGGACCACCACAACATTGTGGAGCTGGCGAGCGGAAACCAAGCTAATGTCAGAACGCGACAATTTCAAAAGATTTCCTTGTCCACATGCACGAAGAGAATCTAAAGCAGCATCGGCCGCAAGAGTATCGGCGCAAGAGTTTCCTTCAAAATCAAGCTGGGAGATTACGCCAGAGGCCACGTCCTCCAAGCCAAGGTGGGAACGAAGCCAAGCAATCGACAGGGTCACCCCCTGGCGACGCAAAACAACAGAGGCCGCACGGAAACGTTCCCACAAGTCATGATGAGAATCAGAAGGGCAGATATGAACGCCAGGTTGGCACAGCAAGCAACCACGACAAACCACCCATTGACAATCGCCGATCAAATGGACAACAGGAGGCTATGGTGCAGGAAAAAGGTTCGGACACAGGCATCAGCAAGACATTCCACAGCCCGCATTAAAGCGAAGACTTCAGCACGATCAGATCCTTGATCAAGACCAGGCACAGCGGTGGCATATGAAACCACCCGGAAACTGGCTTGGTAAAAGGCGCAAGCTGCACCAGCAAAGGTTGCATCGGGCAAAGATGGGTCAAGTGAACTCCCATCAACATAAACCCTGTCAGGAAAACAAGGAAGGCCAGGAAAGTCCCTAACCACAAGCCGCTCACAAAGATATTGCCGCCGAACAAGCACCCAGGAAGGCTCAACAATGAGTCCAAGACAAAGGAAGCAAGAGGAGTCACAGCGAGAAGCATCAGCCACGCCAGCAGCCTCATGGATCAGGGGATCTGAAGGTTTCCAAGCCTCACACTGAAACATGTGCACAAGGTCCTCGCGGACGGAACCACAACCTGGACACATGTCAGTGTCCCAAAGGCTAGCTGCCAACAACCGATCCGCCGTGCGAGTGCTTCCCGATACCACTTGGCGAAGTTGAGAAGAGGACTCAACAGATGGAAAATCAGAACAACGAGACAAAATCTTGCCCCGAGCTGCCGCCGATGCACGAAAAAGGGCAGAACAAGCTTGCCAATCCAAGTGATGATCAACGAGAACACCAGTATCCTTCCGGCGATGAACTGCCTGGACAGCCGCATATCGCAAGCAACGACGGAGCTCATGCTTGAAGGAACCAGTATAGACATGATCAGCGAAAAGGGAACATCTTTGGCACGAGACCAAGTCCAAGGACGATCCCGACAAGGCGAACAATGCAAAACGCACTAAGAGACCGCAAAACGGCCAAGGGTCCCTGTTTCGTAACGGAAGTGTCATCGCAAACATGGTTCCAAGCATCACGCGCAAGGTCACAAGCAAACACCGCACGCCGAAGTTGCAAGAACACCTGGTAAACAGCTGCAGAGGAAGGATCGAGCCGATGTTGCACAAAACCAACCGCAATAAGAACATTCGGTTCCCGAAGCTTTTGGGTCACAGAGAAGACGGCATTCAGAACACTGGACCGCAACTTCATCAGGAGATCCCACGCAGGAAAGGATGCCAGAACCCCATAGGTCAAGGCAGGGATAACCACATTCGTGACCTGCTTCAACTTCTCATCTTTAGTGAAAGGCAAATGTGCAATCCGACGCAATGGGAGAAACTGCTTTTGACAACGAGCATTGGCAAGCTCCTGCTGGCCCTTCTTAGATGAATGGACCGCAAAACCCAAACATAACAAGTGGTAAACCAGCTGGCCACCCGGAGGTAAAAGCTTGCGCGCTGCTGTCCGCGCGGCAGTCGTGGTCCCAAAGGCTGTGCACTTGGAGGCATTCAAACGTTGGCCGCTAAGTTGGTCAAACAAAGAGAACTCCTCACAGGCACGGGCCATTTCATCGACATACCGCAAAAAGCCACGCATTTTGGAGTCATCAACAAAGAAAGTGACCTCAACGTGGGGAGATATTCGAGCAACCCGACGCGCCAAAATACCAAACAGTGCATTGCAGCATAAGACCGACATAGGACAACCTTGCAACAAACTCGCCGAAGCAAAAGGCGGCCCACACGATGCAAACACTTTGAAAAAACGGATTTGAGAACCAAAAGGTCCAAGAAGATCACGAGTGACTGAAGCATCAACGCCAAGACGCTCTACAAGAGCACAAGCAAAAGGTATTCTACTCAAATCAAAACATTTCATGCGATCATAGGTCACACCAAGAGCAGGGGTGTTTTGACGGAAACAAAGCTCCAGCCAAAGGGCTTGAGGAACCTCTGCATCAGCGGCCGATCTCCCACGAAGACCGCCAAACAGTTGTTTGGGACACACACTGCCTTGCCATTCCACAAGTTGCAGGAAACGAGCAGAAAAATATGCTGATAACAAAAGGTTAGACAAACTGATACTTGGTGGTTGCTTTTGGTTGAGAGCACTTGCAAGTACTTGTATGTGTAGATGCAACCCACTTGCAACTAGGTTGCAACATGTTGCAAGTGCGGTAAGTAGGCTGTAACTTGCAAGTGAAGTTATAGCACTTACAAGTCAAAAAGCAAACTTATATATTTTATAAGTGTTTTAAGTAGGTTAAAACACAAAAATATACTTAAAAGACTTACAAATAACTTAGCCAACTTAACTTTTTCAGGTTTTTTGAACTAGCCTTTTTTTGAACAAGTTTTTTTTGCAATTTCCCTTGCTTTTCTTGATTCTAAAGAAAAATGAAAGAACACGATCTCTTTTGGAAAGTGCAGCCTGCCATGGAGCATTTTTGCCACAAATCATTGTGTGGCTTCCATCTGTGCATTTTTTTGCTTCTCAAGATTGTTCCATATGCGGCTCCTTGAGCCGCATGTGAGGCTATGGATCGGTGAGCGGCCTTGGAAAAGTGATAGCGCTTTTCTTGGATCCATGGTCTTTACACCACACACAGAGCATGATTTTAGCAAATGTTTCAGCAAAATAGGATACATGGCTACACATGTCTACACATGGCTACACATGGGCTACACGTGTAAAACGGCTTTCGTGTTTGTTTTACACGTGTAAAAACGGGTTTCGTTTTTGTTTTACACGTGTGGTGGCTAGTGGTTTTTGGTTTTACACATGGCTACACATGGCTACACACCACCAACATTTTCTGAGTTCACCAGTTGCATGTCGTGAGTGATGAGGCTCCAGGAGCCGCAGGTCCAAGAGTAAGAGCAAGAAGAATCAATCATGGGTCACATGTGGTAGTTCTCATATTTGGCAGCAGTGGCTCCAGATCTCACAACCATTGAATTTTCCTGTGCATATGTGTTCATCGACAAAGCTGCACTTTCCAAGTGGTGGAAATGTTGTTTCGAGATATTCTTACCACCATCCCAAAAGGAATCGAGCTTCAAAAAAATCAAAAAACAATAGGTTTCGCTTTGATTTTTTGGTTGTTTTACCAAAAACAAAAATACAAACACGAAAAAAAAAATGTTTTTGGATGGTAGAGAAACCTTGGTTTTACTTACAAGGCTTATAAGTTAGCTAAGTCCAGGCAACTTATGATTATATTTAGAAAAACCTCTTTTTGTAAGTCTGCTAAGTCCAACTTGCAAGTTCTATATGTCCAGCAAGTTCCATAAGTTACTTGCAAGTACCATAAGTAAAAAGCAACCATCAAGTAGGGCGGTGCCCACCTTCAGGTTTAGGCAAAAGAACCGTAACCACAGCAGTCACAGCAGCCGGCCACGAAGTCGTAGAGGATGATGCTTCACGAAGACACTGCAGGAACAGCTCCCAAGATGCAATCAGGCAAACGACACGATTCAAGGATGGTCCACCCATCAGGGCCACCCGACACACCAACAGGACGAAGATCAAGTTGACGGCGCAAATCCATCACAGTCACCGGAGGCAAGGAAATAGGCAACTGAGCTTCATCAATTTCTCTGGAGTACTCTCGGGCAAAAGCATGAAAGGAGGGGCCTGTACCAAGAAGAAAAGGCTTCCACGTGTCAAACAAAGCGGAATGCATAGAAGCATCATCCCAATTCAATTGCGGAGAGCCAACACCGTTAGTATGAAGCCACTTGGTAACATGCTTCTGTGATCGCCGCAACCAAGAACGCCATGAGGAATGACGAAACTTACGAAGTTCCAAGTACTGACGGTTCAAAGAAGCCTGCACATCATGGAGAACCACATTCCAACAAGGTGCGCCAGAATCAACACTCGGAAATTTGCAAGAAAAGTCACACCAAGTCCCAAGATCAAGACATCGCCAAGCACGCAAAAGTGACCGAGGGAGTACGGCAGGCAATGGCAAGGAAAGATTGGCTTTGGCAAAAGTCAAAAAGCAAGCAGCCCGACGCAGCCGGCGAGGGACTGCCACACCATCCGACACCGGGGCCAAACGAAGCCGACGGACAAAACGAGGCACACGGCCTTTCACGTAAGATGGAGGACAAGTACCCAAGCCGCACACACGAGCCAAGAATGTTGAAGCCAAATCGTCGAATCGACCCCACAAGATCCAACAGAAGAAAAGGAATCGCCCTCCTTGGGCCCCGCATCAAGTAAACCCTGTGCCAAATCCACCTCATGTGCAAGTTGAGTCCGTTTGGCATTCACATCGTGGGGCAAAGGTGGCAACTCAAAGACCTTAGGCTTAACAAACTTGGATTCCATCGTCCGGAATGCCGACAAATTGAAACACAGACGCAGCGCACGATGCTGACCCACAAAGAGATCACAACATGTCTCAGCCGAAGACAGTGACGACTGAGCCAAAGTATTCACAAGCATAAAGCCAATACGCGAAGACCCACCACTGGCGTCCGAACTCCAGCCGGCAGCCGAATAGGTGTTAAAGGCACCGACGAATGCAAGGCCACTGCATCGAACCATGACAGGGTATTCAAGGTTTGTGGCAAGACAGTGCTGTGATCCAAGCGGTCATTATAGTCCATTCCAATGCAAAAGGGAACATCGCCAAACGACTTGGCATAAGCAAAACAGGACTGTAGCGCCGATTCATTTTGAGAAAAGCGAGTGGACAACCTACCATGAGAACTTGCGCCGGAGTAGCCATAAAAACTGACAAGATGGAGCACCTTGTGTCCACGGGCTATTGGGATCATACCATGTACAAACCGTCCTTGGCGATAGAGCTTGTCAATCTCACCAGTCTGTTCAGGACGGACTTCTTGAACTGAAAAGTGACTACGAACTAGAATAGCCACACCCCCTTGAGCAGTAGTACTATGAACAGTGCCATCTGCACGTTGAGCTTGACCCATCGTTGGAGCACCCCAAAGGACAGACCAACCAAGATCCAAAAGGTCACGGGAAAGACGGTTTTGAGCCCCAGCATTCACTCTAGTCTCTTGCAACAAAATGACATCGAAGGGCCAACCAGCAATCTCAGCAAAATGTTTTCCAAGTGAAGTGCAGTTGAGGCAACCAACCCTCAGGCTACTCAAATGCTGAAACCCCAAGGAACGATTTCGACGAGGTCGCGCTGAGACAAGACATTCAACAGGGATCGGCACAGGATCCACCAGCGAGACTGAAACACAAGGAGATGCGCCAGCAATCAAGCCATCAAAGTGATTAACACCATTGTAAGCCACAGCAATGGGAAGACCAAGAACATCACGATTGAAGGGACTAAAAAGCAAAGGTGGGGACCGAGGACTATACACAACAATTGCACGATCCAACGCACTGGCAAGTGCCTGAACAACTAAAGAATCAGCCCAAGTGGCATCACGCATAAAAGATACCGACATGGAACGAAGCTCACTGGCAGAGAGAGGGACGTGCAATGCAACAGCATGAAAAAGACAAGAACCATCGCCATCCACACGAACCAAGCACAAGTGAGCGGGCAATCCAAGAAAATCTGCAGCCACAGGTGGGCCCTTGACAGTCTTACGAAGCCTGCCCCCGCCCGTGAATTCTGGGTAACTGAGTCACATTTCCCAGGGCGCCTTGGTAGGTCGTTCCGGACCACCATTCGCATTAAGCTGCTGCAGCAATTCCATCATGTTATTCTGTTGCGAATCAGTTCTCGCCTGAGCCTGCTGCATGCCTTGCAAAACACTCAAAATCGAAGCAGTTTGTTCACGGGCCGAGGCGTCAAGCATATCAACCTTCTGATTCTGAGCAACCACAGCTTGTTCAACATGCCCCAGACGATGACCACACTCATCCAAGTCTTTACGAAAAGCTTGGATTTTGGTATCAAGACGAGCTTCAAGGTCAGTCTGCAACTTTTGCAATTCAAGCTGAACCGGGTGAACCGTTGGCATCTGTTCATCATCCGCAGTAGACGAAACACAGGCCACAGCAACAGGAACCACAGGAATGGAAGATGTCAGGATCCCCTCCTTGTCTATCTGCAGTTCAACCCCAGGGGAGTCATGGAGCATCCAGGCATACTCAGGGCCTATGAAGTCCATCAAAGCGAAAAGGCGGCAAAGCCAGGGCCGCACAAAGCTCATGAGCCACAAACGCCAACCAAAGCAAGGGATTGGTCGTAGTGATGCAAAACAGAAACTGCTCACCATTAGGGACTCCTAACCAGTCAGTTTGTTGGGAAACTGTTTCAGAAAATCAGGTCAAACAATGCTGGGTCGAATCAAGTCCAAAGGGAGAGTCCACTTCCAACTAGCCCTTTTGAAAGGTAAACACCAGCTCCAAGTGAGAAATCGGAGGACTGCACTTGGGCATCTAAAACGAGGTCTCATATTCAGGCCGGTGGCCTGCTTCAACATGTTGAACGCCGTCAGATGCGAAACCAGGCAGCAAGTCGCAGGGTGCGGTGGTACTTTCTCAGCAAACACCTTATGAAAACTTCGTAAAGCTGCAGCAAAACTTGAGGTGTAATCTGCTGCGGTGGACAACGGTTTAGTCCTGCCAGCTTTTGGGTTAACAAGCTGGCTGCCACAATAAGCATACCAATCCACAAACAACTCAAGGTAAGTCACCTTTCCAGAAGAAGACCACTCAAGACCGTGAAAATAAGTATGGATGGCATCAAAATTCTCTTGCGAGTAGTGCCATGCATAGCCACTATCGGCCCTAGAAAGAATGGTTCCATGGATGTGGCGCGTGATCAAATCAGAAGGAACTTGCCAAGCAAAGTGACTCACTTGTCGCTTGCACAAGGTAACTTGAGAGGCAGAAGGCCAAGTGGTTTCAGGATCTTCACACATGCTTGAAGGGTCAATGGCAGCAACAGAGGAACCGAAAGGTTCAATGTTCACATCTCCCGGTTGGTCTGGATTATCATCATCGTCAGGCAAGTCAGGGACAGATAAATTGGCAGTCTTCAAGAAGCGCCAACGTTTTTGCACTACCACCACATTAATCACAGCATACAGCTGACGCACACTGGTTTTTTGAGCGTCAGATTTGGCAGCAGCAATGATATCGCCATGGCCAAACAACAAAGAGACCTGTCTGGCAGTCTGCTTGGCAGCCTCATCTGCTCGGGAGTTACCTTCATGATCACAGGCAGAGATCAAGCCCACAAAACCATGGTCAAAAGAAAGATGAGCAGGTACCCACTCAAACATCAGCAAAACTTGGAGGGAAGCCAATTGCACAGTCGCATCAGCAAAGCTTTGCCACAAGTCATGGTGGGCATCATGTGGATTAACAAGCTGCTGGTTACCGACATGAAGCTGGGCACGTTGCACAACCCACTGGCAGTCACCGACCAATCGCACACTGCGAGTTTGTATTTCAAAACAGTTGATCCCAAGATGGAGGAGACACTCAACCGCACGCACAATTGCGAACACCTCTGCACGGTCGGATCCTTGGTCAAGACCAACCACCGGCGTGGCATATGTGTGGAGCCATGTGGGGCCAAGGTAGAAAGCACACGCACTGCCTGCAAAAGTGGCGTCAGGCAAAGACGGGTCAAGCGTGCTACCGTCAAGGTAGACCACATCAGGGAAATGCTCCAACACAGGACAATCAGTAACAGACAATGTTTGCACCAAGAAAGCCCGCCGGATCAAAAGTCCAAGGCAAGTAAAAGCAAACGGCAAACCGGTCAGCTTCCGTCTGCACAGGAAGCTGCGCACGCAATTCTGGACTGGGCGACCAACTGTCGCATTGGAACATGTGGACTGGTTCTTCTCGAGTCTGCCGACACCCAGGGCACACATCCGAATCCCACAGGCCTGCCGCACACAAACGATCAGCTGTACGAGTACTGCCACAAATGACTTGCCTCAACTGTCCAGTAAGGGTATCAAGCCACGAAGCAGACGGAACAATGTCAGGAAAATCCGCAAGCAAACGGCCCCGAGTCTGCTGGGATGCTCGGAGCAACCTGGTACAAGCATGAAAGTCCAAGTGCAGGTTTTGCAAGCCATGGGTGCCCTTGCGACGGTGGACACCTTGCACAACAGCGAAACGAAGAGATCTGCGAACCTCATGCAGAAATGACGCACGGTGTTGATAGAGGGATATGGGAACATCAAACGGCGATTCCAAGTCCACGGCACTTCCGGGGAAGGAGACCAACCAAGGAAGGCACAAAGATTGCGCAGGATCACCAAGGGACCAAGCCGAGCACTGGAAGGCGGATTGCAGAATGCCTCCCAAGAATCACGAAGCAGAGGACACTGGAAGACTGCACGCCGAAGATCTACCAAGGCTTGGTAGACACAGGCTGAAGCCGGATCAAGTCTATGCTGCTGGAAGCAAACAGACATTAGGAGGTGTGGTTCCCGAAGTTTTTGCAAATTGGAAAAACATGCATTGAGCACACTGCACCTAAGCTTATCCAACACCGGCCATGCAGGAAAGGAGGTGAGGACACCATAGGTCAGACTAGGTATGACACAAGACGAGACGTACTTCATCTTTTCCTCCTTGCCAAAAGGAAGTTGGCCAATCCGCCGCAGGATTGGGTATTGGCGCTCACATCTGGCGTTGGCAAGAAACTGACCAAGTGGTAAACTAAGCAGCCATCGGGAGGGAGCAGTGCACGAGCAGCACGGCGGGCATCAGAGGTTGTACCAAAAGCTCTGCACTTTTTGCCATTCAGTTGTTGACCAGAAAGCCGGTCGAAACGGTGGAATTCTTCACAAGCGCCTTTGAGATCTTGCAAGTCACTCAAACGTCCACGCAATTTGCTGTCATCCACAAAAAAAGGTAACATCCACCCGAGGAGAGACCCGAAGGATTCCACGAGCCAAAATAGAAAACAAAGAGTTACAAGCTAAAACCGACATGGGACACCTTTGCAACAGGCTTTGGGAAGCGAAAGTGGGACCACAACTGCTGAAGACTTTGAAAAACCGGACCTGACACGCATACCGACCTAGAATGCCATTAACCACGTGATCAGCTAGACCAATTGCATCAAGAAGCTGAAGGGTGGACTCCTTCTGGATGTTGTAATCCGAAAGGGTGCGGCCATCCTCCAGCTGCTTGCCTGCAAAGATCAGGCGCTGCTGATCAGGTGGGATCCCCTCCTTGTCTATCTGCAGTTCAACCCCAGGGGAGTCATGGAGCCTCCATGATACTTAGGGCCTATGAAGTCCATCAAAGCGAAAAGGCGGCAAAGCCAGGGCCGCACAAAGCTCATGAGCCACAAACGCCAACGAAAGCAAGGGATTGGTCGTAGTGGTGCAAAACAGAAACTGCTCACCATTAGGAACTCCTAACAAATCAGTTTGATGGGAAACTGTTTCAGAAAAGCATGTCAACCAGTGCAGGGTCGAATCAAGTCCAAAGGGAGAGTCCACTTCCAACTAGCCCTTTTGAAAGGTAAACACCAGCTCCAAGTGAGAAATTGGTGAACTGCACTTGCGCATCTAAAACGAGGTCTCATATTCAGGCCGGTGGCCTGCTTCAACATGTTGAACGCCGTCAGATGCGAAACCAGGCAGCAAGTCGCAGGGTGCGGTGGTACTTTCTCAGCAAACACCTTATGAAAACTTCGTAAAGCTGCAGCAAAACTTGAGGTGTAATCTGCTGCGGTGGACAACGGCTTAGTCCTGCCAGCTTTTGGGTTAACAAGCTGACTGCCACAGTAAGCATACCAATCCACAAACAACTCAAGGTAAGTCACCTTTCCAGAAGAAGACCACTCAAGACCGTGAAAATAAGTATGGATGGCATCAAAATTCTCTTGCGAGTAGTGCCATGCATAGCCATTATCGGCCCTAGAAAGAATGGTTCCATGAATGTGGTGCGTGATCAAATCAGAAGGAACTTGCCAAGCAAAGTGACTCACTTGTCGCTTGCACAAGGTAACTTGAGAGGCAGAAGGCCAAGTGGTTTCAGGATCTTCACACATGCTTGAAGGGTCAATGGTAGCAGAGGAACCGAAAGGTTCAATGTTCACATCTCCCGGTTGGTCTGGATTATCATCATCGTCAGGCAAGTCAGGGACAGATAAATTGGCAGTCTTCAAGAAGCGCCAACGTTTTTGCACTACCACCACATTAATCACAGCATACAGCTGACGCACACTGGTTTTTTGAGCGTCAGATTTGGCAGCAGCAATGATATCGCCATGGCCAAACAACAAAGAGACCTGTCTGGCAGTCTGCTTGGCAGCCTCATCTGCTCGGGAGTTACCTTCATGATCACAGGCAGAGATCAAGCCCACAAAAACATGGTCAAGAGAAAGATGAGAAGGTACCCACTCAAACATCAACAAAACTTGGAGGGAAGCCAATTGCACAGTCGCATCAGCAAAGCGTTGCCACAAGTCATGGTGGGCATCATGTGGATTAACAAGCTGCTGGTTACCGACATGAAGCTGGGCACGTTGCACAACCCACTGGCAGTCACCGACCAATCGCACACTGCGAGTTTGCATTTCAAAACAGTTAACCCCAAGATGAAGGAGACACTCAACCGCACGCACAATTGCGAACACCTCAGCACGTTCAGATCCTTGGTCAAGACCAACCACCGGCGTGGCATATGTGTGGAGCCATGTAGGGCCAAGGTAGAAAGTACACGCACTGCCTGCAAAAGTGGCGTCAGGCAAAGACGGGTCAAGCGTGCTACCGTCAAGGTAGACCACATCAGGGAAATGCTCCAACACAGGACAATCAGTAACAGACAATGTTTGCACCAAGAAAGCCCGTCGAGCATGGCACCAAGAAGGCTCCGTCAAAAGTCCAAGGCAAGTAAAAGCAGAAACGGCAAACCGGTCATCTTCCGTCTGCACAGGAAGCTGCGCACGCAATTCTGGACTGGGCGACCAACTGTCGCATTGGAACATGTGGACTGGTTCTTCGCGAGTCTGCCGACACCCAGGGCACACATCCGAATCCCACAAGCCTGCCGCACACAAACGATCAGCTGTACGAGTACTGCCACAAATGACTTGCCTCAACTGTCCAGTAACGGTATCAAGCCACGAAGCAGACGGAACAATGTCAGGAAAATCCGCAAGCAAACGACCCCGAGTCTGCTGGGATGCTCGGAGCAACCTGGTACAAGCATGAAAGTCCAAGTGCAGGTTTTGCAAGCCATGGGTGTCCTTGCGACGATGGACACCTTGCACAACAGCGAAACGAAGAGATCTGCGAACCTCATGCAGAAATGAGGCACGGTGTTGATAGAGGGATATGGGAACATCAAACGAGCGATTCCAAGTCCACGGCACTTCCGGGGAAGGAGACCAACCAAGAAAGGCACAAAGATTGCGCAGGATCACCACGGGACCAAGCCGAGCACTGGAAGGCGGATTGCAGAATGCCTCCCAAGAACCACGAAGCAGAGGACACTGGAAGACTGCACGCCGAAGGTCTACCAAGGCTTGGTAGACACAGGCTGAAGCCGGATCAAGTCTATGCTGCTGGAAGCAAACTGACATAAGGAGGTGTGGTTCCCGAAGTTTTTGCAAATTGGAAAAACAAGCATTGAGCACACTGCACCTAAGCTTATCCAACACCGGCCATGCAGGAAAGGAGGTGAGGACACCATAGGTCAGACTAGGTATTACACAAGACGAGACATACTTCATCTTTTCCTCCTTGCCGAAAGGGAGTTGGCCAATCCGCCGCAGGATTGGGTATTGGCGCTCACATCTGGCGTTGGCAAGGGCCTGTTGTCCTTTACAAGTCGAGTGAACAGCATATCCCAAACTGACCAAGTGGTAAACTAAGCAGCCATCGGGAGGGAGCAGTGCACGAGCAGCACGGCGGGCATCAGAGGTTGTACCAAAAGCTCTGCACTTTTTGCCATTCAGCTGTTGACCAGAAAGCCGGTCGAAACGGTGGAATTCTTCACAAGCGCCTTTGAGATCTTGCAAGTCACTCAAACGTCCACGCAATTTGCTGTCATCCACAAAAAAAGGTAACATCCACCCGAGGAGAGACCCGAAGGATTCCACGAGCCAAAATAGAAAACAAAGAGTTACAAGCTAAAACCGACATGGGACACCTTTGCAACAGGCTTTGGGAAGCGAAAGTGGGACCACAACTGCTGAAGACTTTGAAAAACCGGACCTGACACGCATACCGACCTAGAATGCCATTAACCACGTGATCAGCTAGACCAATTGCATCAAGAAGCTGAAGGGTGGACTCCTTCTGGATGTTGTAATCCGAAAGGGCGCGGCCATCCTCCAGCTGCTTGCCTGCAAAGATCAGGCGCTGCTGGTCAGGTGGGATCCCCTCCTTGTCTTGGATCTTAGCCTTGACATTGTCAATAGTGTCACTGGCCTCGACGTCGAGGGTGATGGTCTTGCCCGTCAGGGTCTTCACGAAGATCTGCATGCCACCTCGCAAGCGCAGCACCAAGTGGAGGGTGGACTCTTTCTGGATGTTGTAATCCGAAAGAGTGCGGCCATCCTCCAGCTGCTTGCCTGCAAAGATCAGGCGCTGCTGGTCAGGTGGGATCCCCTCCTTCTCTTGGATCTTGGCCTTGACATTGTCAATGGTGTCACTGGCCTCGACGTCGAGGGTGATGGTCTTGCCCGTCAGGGTCTTCACGAAGATCTGCATGGCTTTGCTTTTTGCGAATTTCTAGATTTGTTTGAACAAACTCCTTGGGAGGACGGATTGTGTCTTGCCCTAGGTTGGAGCCGAAGCGTCAAGGGAGGGCTCCGTAAAATGACCAAATGCGGGCTATGATGTGAATGTTTCATCGACATTCTGGCAATAACTGCAGTGACAAGACTAGTAATGACATGTAAGGATATACACATATTCCAGGAGCTCAGAATCTTTCAAGCACTTGAGAAACACCCCAATCATGAGTATCAAGGAATAAACGTAATTTGTCTGTCGCTTCTTGTGCCCTGACTCTGCCATTTTGACAACAGGAAGCTCGTAGTCTGCTACAGCTCGCCTGCTGGATGGGTCGATATTCAGGATGGTCTCTGGACAGGCCTCTCAGTCGAATCAAGGACCAAATTGTCTACTCATTGGGCTAGCAGGCAATGATATATTTGCAAAGACTGAATACACAGGGTTCAGCGAACAAGCTTGGAAATATTTTTTGAGAAGGGCTGCATGATGCTGCATACATGACAGGTAATGCACTTGACAAGTTGTCTCAGCATGGTCCTTTCATAAAACAACATGAAAAGTGTTGAAAAGTACTGCATTGTTGGTGTCTGCAATAAACAAGTTCGCTTTACGCGTTCTCGCACATTAGTGTTCCGCACGTTTCCAACATTGACTTTCAAACAAGTCATCAGTGCAGAAAAAACTCATCGCACATCTCCATTGGATTTGGCCAGCATTGGGCTTAGACGGCTTAGACATGAAAGACAGTGACCTCAAAAATCATGTCTTGGGTTCGGATGGAGATAGTCAGATAGTCTTGTCGTGTCTGACGTCTTGTCTCCAATTTTGACTCAGATTTTTGGCGACTTGGAACATTCCGGAAGGCCTGGAAAAATATGACAAATGATACATCATTCTGAGTCATTCTCGTTGTTCTTATATGTTCTTATCATTTTTGGCAATTGAAACATGTGGACATCGACTTTTGACCCACACCTATATGAGAACAACCACTCCGTGATGGAATCGATATTTGATGATATTTGCAGAGAGCTCAGTGGATCTTGGCCAGCTATGCCAGCATTCAACTGATCCAGGAGGCACTTGTAGTATACAGTATACAGGCATGTAGTGACATTTTCCCATCTCGATCTGAGCTCCAAAAAAGCAAGCTTTCTATGAACCGCTTTGCAATTTGGTTTCCTGATTTCACTTGGAGCATCTAAAGAATTACGAGAACTTATTTTTCGGCTAAGCGACTTTAAGAGACTTGAAGAATTGCGGAGACTTGCCAGCTGTCCTCTAGGACTAGGAATCTACTTTTTGGGCTGCAGGTGACAGATCCTTTGGCCCTTCGGCAACTACAAGTAGGAAGCTTTACGGTTGGGTTGGGTCACCATGTCACACCCGCACCATGCTTACCAAAATTATCCAAAATTACTCCGTCCCAATCCAGACAATGAAAAACATGCCTGACAGTAACGCAGGATTACCCTTCCCCAATTCATGGTAAGTGTAAGAGTCATCACTTTTTTCATCTGCAAAGGCGGCAAGGATCGGCAAGGTCATGGCAAGGTCCAATGTCTGATAAATCTAGCACCTTTCTCAATCATCCATTAAAATCCATTAAATGCCATTAAACTCAATCACATGCAGAGGCAATTCAACGAATCCAACCAACAAAAATCCATCAAAATCCAACACGCCCCAACCTGTAAAATTGCACACCTTGCCGAACATCTTTACTTTCATCCCGGTTCAAATCGAGCTACCTCCAAGAAGGTCTGCACAATCTTCTCCTTGTCTGGCTGGCACTTGCCAGAGACCATGAGGTAAACGAGGACCAGAAGGTAAGCGGGCCTGCCGGAGGCATGACATGCTCCAAGATTTTTGCAAGCTTCGGCAGAGAAAAAGCAAAGGAATCCATTGTGAGACCCACCATCAGCAGCCATGACATAGTGTCTCCAGAAATGGGCCAGTCTGCCACACAGATTGACTGTGAAATGGAGGTAATTTGGGCGCCTCAATTCAGGATACACATGGATACACCATGTCACCATCATACACACCCATACACACCCCCACATATTACAACCTCCACTTGGCAAGTGTGGACTCTTTTACTCCACTCAACCGTTGAGGAGGAATCGCAGCCATGAATCGCTGTACAATGAGTGACTGCCCAGTCCACCACTTCATGTGAGGCACGCACGAGCAATAGGACACTCCAATTCACTGCTTGAGGCAAAGATTTGTCCGATCATAAGCAAGCCAACTTGACACGAAGCCATCATTTCGGTCGTGAAAGTTAAGGTCACCTATAGTTTTTCGATTTCTTGACATGGATGTCAAAGAGATGATGTCCAACTTTGACAATTTTGACATTGTTATGTAGTACTTGCATGTACTCATGTACTTGCTGGCTATCAGACCATGTGCACAAGCCCTGATTTCGAATTGATTGGTACAGTACAGTAGCAAAATGTAGCAAACATCCACTATATCAATAAATGGCATGAACTATCATGAACTCAATTTATGAGTGGTCAGGAATCGTCGTGTACTTGTCCAGTAGGTTGCTGTTTAGTCTTGGGTCGAGTTTGACAGAGCTCCCACAAAGACTGACAGTCAAGTTGTGCCTGCAAAAGATCGAAAATTCCCGATGTTGTCTGTCTTGAGTCTTGACATAAATGCACAAAGCTAAAACACAACAAAAAACTGTGAGTCTGACAGAAAATACTCACACTGCACATGTTCAAAATATGTCGAAAACAAAACTCAGATGCAGAATGTCAAGAACAAAGAGATAAGACATCATCGCAAGCGCAGCACCAAGTGGAGGGTGGACTCCTTCTGGATGTTGTAGTCCGAAAGGGTGCGGCCATCCTCCAGCTGCTTGCCTGCAAAGATCAGGCGCTGCTGGTCAGGTGGGATCCCCTCCTTGTCTTGGATCTTGGCCTTGACATTATCAATGGTATCACTGGCCTCGACGTCGAGGGTGATGGTCTTGCCCGTCAGGGTCTTCACGAAGATCTGCATGCCACCTCGCAAGCGCAGCACCAAATGGAGGGTGGACTCCTTCTGGATGTTGTAATCCGAAAGGGTGCGGCCATCCTCTAGCTGCTTGCCTGCAAAGATCAGGCGCTGCTGGTCAGGTGGGATCCCCTCCTTGTCTTGGATCTTGGCCTTGACATTGTCAATGGTGTCACTGGCCTCGACGTCGAGGGTGATGGTCTTGCCCGTCAGGGTCTTCACGAAGATCTGCATGCCACCTCGCAAGCGAAGCACCAAGTGGAGGGTGGACTCCTTCTGGATGTTGTAATCCGAAAGGGTGCGGCCATCCTCCAGCTGCTTGCCCGCAAAGATCAGACGCTGCTGGTCAGGTGGGATCCCCTCCTTGTCTTGGATCTTGGCCTTGACATTGTCAATGGTATCACTGGCCTCGACGTCGAGGGTGATGGTCTTGCCCGTCAGGGTCTTCACGAAGATCTGCATGCCACCTCGCAAGCGAAGCACCAAGTGGAGGGTGGACTCCTTCTGGATGTTGTAATCCGAAAGAGTGCGGCCATCCTCCAACTGCTTGCCAGCAAAGATCAGGCGCTGCTGATCAGGTGGGATCCCCTCCTTGTCTTGGATCTTGGCCTTGACATTATCAATGGTGTCACTGGCCTCGACGTCGAGGGTGATGGTCTTGCCCGTCAGGGTCTTCACGAAGATCTGCATGCCACCTCGCAAGCGCAGCACCAAGTGGAGGGTGGACTCCTTCTGGATGTTGTAATCCGAAAGGGTGCGGCCATCCTCCAGCTGCTTGCCTGCAAAGATCAGGCGCTGCTGGTCAGGTGGGATCCCCTCCTTGTCTTGGATCTTGGCCTTGACATTGTCAATGGTGTCACTGGCCTCGACGTCGAGGGTGATGGTCTTGCCCGTCAGGGTCTTCACGAAGATCTGCATGCCACCTCGCAAGCGAAGCACCAAGTGGAGGGTGGACTCCTTCTGGATGTTGTAATCCGAAAGGGTGCGGCCATCCTCCAGCTGCTTGCCAGCAAAGATCAGGCGCTGCTGATCAGGTGGGATCCCCTCCTTGTCTTGGATCTTGGCCTTGACATTGTCAATGGTGTCACTGGCCTCGACGTCGAGGGTGATGGTCTTGCCCGTCAGGGTCTTCACGAAGATCTGCATGCCACCTCGCAAGCGCAGCACCAAGTGGAGGGTGGACTCCTTCTGGATGTTGTAATCCGAAAGGGTGCGGCCATCCTCCAGCTGCTTGCCTGCAAAGATCAGGCG